GTGGGTGTGGGTGTGGGTGTGGGTGTGGGTGTGGGTGTGTGGGTGTGGGTGTGGGTGTGGGTCTGTGGGTGGGTGGGTCTGCGTGCCTCTCTCTGCTTCTCTCTTCTTATTCTTCTTATTCTTCTTCTTCTTATTTTTCTTCTTATTATTATTCTTGGTCTTCTTCTTCTTCTGCTCATTATTCTTATTATCCTTATTATTCATAATATTCTTATTACTCTCATTATTCTTATTATTCTTCTTATTCTTATTATTCATAATATTCTTATTATTCATAATATTCTTATTATTCTCATTATTCTCATTATTCTTATTATTCTTATTATTCTCATTATTCTCATTATTCTTATTATTCTTATTATTCTTATTATTCTTATTATTCTTATTATTCTTATTATTCTTATTATTCTTATTATTCTTATTATTCTTATTATTCTTATTATTCTTATTATTCTTATTACTCTTATTATTCTTATTTTTCTTGTTAATATTCTTCTGCTCATTCCTCTTCTTCTGCTTCTTCTTCTCATTCTTCTGCATATTCTTCTTCTTGTTATTATTCTTCTTTTTCTTCTTCTTCATATTCTGCTTCTTTTAACTCTGCTTCTTCTTCTTCTTCTTCTTCTTCTTCTTCTTCTTCTTCTTCTTCTTCTTCTTCTTCTTCTTCTTCTTCTTCTCCTTCCCCTTCTAACTTTTCTTCTTCTTCTGTCGGGCTCAAGAGTTGCAATCAAGTTTGGGCTTTCGGACGAGCAAAGACGAATCAGCGCCTGCCAAGTAGGCTCCGGTAGGGCCCCGAACAGTGCTCCCGGGCGCACGCCCGGCACCAGCGCTGCAGCCACGTCCCGAGGCATCCAAGACGTTGTGGTCCGCGAAGCGTATGCCCCCATTGTTCACGCAGAGGAGCGACGACGCAGCTGGCAAGGTGAGGGCAATGTGTCCCCATGGTCGGCCATATGCTACTCTGCAAAACAGAAGCGCTAACCATGATGGATAAGACTACGGTGCCTATGCCACTGCACTACCTGCTAGGGACGATGGGAGGCACCTTGAAGCATGGCCCGGCTCGACAGGTTCAGGGAATTCCGTGCCAGGAGTACCTCGGCTCTGAGTGCACTCTACAAACAGCAGCTGCTTTCCTTTCCAAGGGGGGGGGGGGGGGGGATTGCATTGTAGTTGGGTGTAGTTGGGTGTTGTACTGGAGCGAGCGGCGAGGTCAAAGGTCACGTACGGGTCGTCCACAGGCTCGGGCCATGAGCCCGGCCACGTTGGCCAGGCCGGGAAGCAGCGATCCCTCGGTCCTGAACAAACCCTAATCGCTAAACCCTAGACCCTAAACCCTAAACCGCAACATGCAGTTCTCAGATTCCATCAGGATGGCAATCCTTATTAAGCAGTCTGACAGCGCATGACACGGCCAAGAGAGCAACAGCAAAGGAGCGCAAAGGCCTGCACTGTCCGACGTGTGCTTGCAGGTAGAATGGCCAACGGTGTGGATGCGACTGCTGGTCGCAATTTCCATAGTGTTGGCAGATGCGTGCAGCCCTTAGCGAGCCAGCTATGCCAGCTTTGATGTTTGAACCGACGTGCACTAGAGCACCACTAGGGCACCAGGGCACAAGCCCTCTAGCTAGTCGATGCAAATGCAGCTATGCATCGCTCGAGCGTCCATGTACAGCTCTGGCTTCCAATCAGCATGTGACCTCAGAAAACCCACATGTCACGAGTCACTTCAAGAAGCTCGGACGCGGTTCGTGGCCTTGTGCAGTGATGTCCAGCTGTGACGGCGTCTTCGCTCCCTTGCCGCCACTTCGCGTAAACCCCGGAATCGCGGCATCCAAGTGCAAGTCCATCTCTGCCTGATCTTCTGGAACACCCGACTCAGATGAGCAGCTGCTACAGACCCTATGGTAGCAGTGGAAGCCACGTGCAGATGATCGTTTGGCCCTTACTAGTAGCTTCTTTCTGAGAGCTGGTCTGATGTGCGTGACTTGTGCCCGCTCCGCTTTGCTGAGGCCAGATTTGAGAAGGACCCTTTCAGATCTAAGAGGGCACCCGGACCCCAAAATGGCTCTGTACACGGTGACACGTTGCACGTCCATCCGATGCCTTACAAGGGCCAAAAGAAAGGCAAAGGGGCAAGGTAGACCAGGTAGGCAAAGGGAGGAACAAAGGGGCATTCAGAGCCCTGGGGGCCCTGTGCGCTGCTGAAGCAGAAGCCGTAGAGTGGTAGAACATGGTACAACCGTTCGGGGGAGCTCTTCCAGGACCTCTTTTCCCCTCGACAGCTCTTGCGATAAGACTTCGATGGTGTATCAACTGGCCTTCAGTGAGAGCGGTGAGCTGTTTGTAGTCCAGGGCGCATGAGCGAAGGCTGAAAGTGTGGCGGCTCATCCGCATTTCTAGGTCCCTCCCCTGTCACCATGCAGCTTCTCCCAGGTGCGCGCGAAGTATTCGCTAACTCTTCGAATTTCTGCTCCTATCTTAAAAAAGCACGCTCTTGTTTCAACATACGCAGGGCCACAACAAGCAGCAACACGCAGAAACACGCAAAGGATCGAACACGCAGGAGGAATGCGTTTTCCAGGCCACACAAACAACCGGCTCTTGCTTGGGAGAGGAATGCATTTGCGATGCGGCTCCAAGCACATCTTGCTTGCAGTTGGGAGGCATTTCAATTTGGAGACCATCCACAATGCATGTGTCGAAGGGAATGCATTCAGAAGGTCAATAATTTGTTCGCACCGGGAAGGAAGGGGGCAAGAGGGAATGCGTTTAGCAGCCCATTCAAATGCATGTTGGAATGCGGGAAGCTAAGGGAGGGTTCACAATTGCTGTATTCGCAAAGCCTTCTGAGTCCTGCTCCAGGATTTAGAGGGGCAGCATGGGTCAGCAACATGACATGTACAGACATGAGAGCTGTTTGAAGACTTCCTCTGAACTCTTCATGCCAACTCCACTGAGGTCTCTGCCACAATTTGGATCTGTGCTGCCGTCAAGGTTGAGTTGCTGCAGTCTGCCTCGATGCTGCAACAAAAGAGGCCAACCACGATGTCAACTGCTGACATTGCGATGCGATTGCTGCCAAAATGCCGAGACAGCTTTCCCGCTTATCTGCAATGACTGGGTGGGGTCAACGACCGTTATGTTGTTGGCTCCTTGGAGACATACTTTGCTCTGGTTGCAGTTCACCTGGACATTGCCGCCTCCAGATCACAACGGCAGTCAAGATCTGCATGTTCAATCCTACTCTTGAGATCATTCACGGCCAAAGGCCCGGCTCCTCAAATGCCAGAAACGAGAATATTAAGAAGGCAGAGGCCCACAAAAGCACAAATTGACGAATGCGGGTCATAGGAGAGTTCTCAGAGTTATGGAGAGTTGCGGAGAGTTGCGGAGAGTTGCGGAGAGTTGCGGAGAGTTGCGGAAAACAGGGATTCCCGGAGGGCGCCTTGAAGCGCTGCATCGGCGACGAGGATACCCGGGTCGCCGCCGGAGTCCCGCTGATCAATGCCAACCTTGATTGAGCACCAGCGAGGAAGACGGACAAAGACCAAGAGCCACAAAGAGACACGAACAGCGACAAAGACGAAGACAGCAGCCAAAAAGGAGGCAGAGAGACAGAGAGAGAGAGAGAGAGAGAGCGAATCCCCCGGCCTTTCCCGGTAAGTGGGAGCCAACGACAGCACCTGTCAAGCGGAGCTTTGAGAGTGGGAAGGGGCTGGCCGAGCTGACAAGGCTTTGAGAGGACTTTGGCAGGACTTCGGCACGGCGTCGGCAAGGCTCTGCGGCACTGTGCCTTGTTTGGAGCTCGCGCGGCTGACAACGGCAAGGGTCCCTTGTGCCGAGGTCGAGGAGCCAACCTGAGACCGTCGAATGCTCAAGTAGACGACTGTGTTTGGGCCCTCTTCTTCTTCCGTTCCTCTTGTTCCTTTCATACGTAACCCGCATGCTGCATTCTACACCACCTCACCCCGGCCGAAGACGCAAACTTGCGATGTTTGAGCTCAGCTCAACCCAGAGAAGTGACCACTCGCCCTCCCTTCGTAGTGCAGGCCTTCATCGGCTCTTTGCCTCCTGCAGCGTCTTCGATCCCTACGGCACTCCCCCAGCGGCCTCTGCGTCATCCTTTCTTGTCCAAGAAACCCGAGAATCAAAGCGGAAGAAAGGCCTTAAGCCCTCAGCTTTCAGACTCCGGATGGGCAAGCTGCGAAGCCTGGCCTGCATCCAGAGTCCGAGAATCCAGCCGTTTCAAACCCCAAAAGAGGGTTTGAAGCTTCAAGAAGCTGTTCCCTTTTCTCACGACCATAGCTCTCAGCTGTCCCTGAAAAATGACGACCGAGCTGCCCCAAAATTTGGGAAGGCAGCTGGGAGAAGGGCAAAAGTGACAGCAACCGACTTTCGCAAGCCCTGCCAGACTCAAGTAAGCTTAAATGCAAGCCCATTTCTGTTACATGTGCAAAAGATGGAGAACAGTTTACATAGAGTTTAAGCGTCAACCATGGGTCACAACAGTTCCCTGAGCCACTGACAATGCGGACGGTGCTTGCATTCAGGGTCAGATCTCCTGGCTGCAGTCCGTTCAAGCGTTCCGCAAAGAATGTAGATCAGGGACGGGTTTCGGGCTTGGCGACCTTGGTGACCTTTACTGATCTTGAGTGACTTTGGGGACCTCTAAGCTTGGGGACATCCGGGCCTTTGGCTTGCAGCGTGGACCCCATCTCCACGGTGAGGTTGCCAGATGCTTCGATGCTAAAGCTGGTCTCGGACTGCACGAGGGCTTGGTGCGTCACCAGAACGTTGCCATCGAACACCAGTGGGCCGCTCACGAGCGCAGATGCCTGAGGTGCCCCCACGAGTCCACGAAGAATGCTAACAAGGGAAAGGGAGGTTGTTCTAGAATAGGGTCCCCTTCAGGTAGCCTTGATCACGGAGCCCCTAATCCCCCAATAAAGGACCCCCCCCCCCCCCCCACCCCCCCCCCCCCCTGCCCCGGATGGAAGAGCCCCACATTGAGTGGAAAGTATTCAAGGTCCATCCTACACTTCCCCGATAGTTCAGAGGAGCATTGATGATGCAGTTGTTCTGCTCCTGGACGGTGCACTTCCAGTCGCCATAAGCAAGCGTGAGTGCAGCGGCCAGCAGCCATCTTCTCATGCTCAGCTCGTCGCAACAACACGAATGATGATACTCATAGCAACGCGGATCACGAAGCAATTCGCAGCCTACAGTGATCTAGTAGCTTTTGAAAGACGGTCCTGGCACAACATCTTTTACAAGGTTGTCTCATGTTGGCTCATGTTGACTCCGCGCATGTCCGAAGGCTCCAAGGCAACCTTTCGGCGGGCACATGGGAAAACATGCTCTCCAATGACCTTTTCCATTATCTTGCCAAAGCAACATGTCAAGGACACGTCGTCGCGATCGGGCATTCCCCACATTTTTTGCAGGCACTTGCATGTTTCAAGGTCGTGTTGAGGCGTCGTCAGCCTACGGCAAGCCTCACTGGATGCCAAGACCGCAGGGACTTCAGGCATCTTAAGTCGCTTCTCCGCTTCATAAAACGAGCGACCGGTGCAAAGTCCATTTCACAGCTCTGGAGTCGTCACTATGTCACAGCGGTGAGCTTAGAGCAACATCATCCAGCTGCCCCTGCAATTCGAGCAGGTGATGGCCAAGTGCAGAGGTGTCTAGAGTAGAGATGACTGGCAGGCTCCGGCGTTCCATGGAACCCCGAAGCCCGCCTTGCGAAACAGAGGCCACGCCGGAGCTTGAATTTCTGAGTTGTTTTTCCTCAAGGGAAAGGTCTTGCAAGAAACCTCTCTTGAAGAGTGCAAAGATCATTGGGGTGCACCATGGAAGGGGCTGGTAAGGGCTTCGCCAGGGAAAACAAATCTGCCCCCAAAAGACTGACCAACAAGATGGACATGCCAACACAGGTATGACTCGTATGACAGGCTCTCGTGCGAGACTAGACCAAAGGTCATCTCTGACAGCTTCTCTTAGGGGCAGAATCACCTGCACAACTTGCTACAAGTTCACCAGCATTGCCGTGATATCGTCAGTAATTTCCTGAGTGCATTGTGGCGCACAGCAGGCGACATAAGGTCCTAAACCACAGTTTGCAACAGCCCTGAGAGCGTCACATTGTCTGAGTCTTTCATCCACCGATCCCAACTCTCCTTCATCAGTCTGTCGACTGCCTGACCGCCCAGCACTTGCAGCACGACAGCAAACCAATAAAATGCCCTGCAAGGCCCATAAAAGAGCAGAAGCAAAACAAAAGATGCAGGCATGCTGCATACCCTAGCCCTAAACCCTCCGGTAAATTCTCAGCTGGGTGTGTCACATGGGAGCCATGCCTGTTGGCAGTCCGGAAACTTCTGTACCATTCCGATGGCCTAGACCAGGCAGGATGCAGGCCCATGGGTCCTCCTAAAACTAGGGTCTGTGCCGTATTGTATAAGGGGCCCCAAAAGGACCCTAGTGTGTCAGCAACAGAGCTCTATGCGGAATTCTCATGTCCAGCCTCTTTGTTCAGAATAAACTCCCAAACCTCACGTCGTCAACACACACAAGCAAGCAGCCTAAACTCTCCTAATTCAGCGAAGCTGCTTGGATCTTTGAGTCTTTGAACGCTCGAATTCTTGAACATCTGCTTAGCAAGGTCGAGATTTGTCAGACCCATCTAAACGCTTTGCAGCAAGGTGGCGCCATCTGTGCAAACGAGTAAGACCAGCTTGGAATACTTCTCGCGCTCTGCCTAAATGACCAGCAGAAACAAGTATGTCTAATGATCGTAGAACTTCAGATAACTGCGGAGTCATTCTATGGCCACGGCTTTGAGGTCAATGACACAAACGTCTGGCTCGGCTGTGAGTCCGGCCTCACACACTTCTTAAGAAAGGTCGAAGACTTCTTTCGGGCTTGCGCTCTGACTTTGAGCCTTTAACAATGTATGTTTCTCAATGGCACGACCCCTTCACAAGAATAATGACAAGTCAGCACACAAGTCATGACGTGAGCTTGCCGCCTCTTTGTGCGCAACGATGTCGCCCAACGCACGCGACATATTGAGACCTGCCGTGGAATGAGATAAACCACTACAAACTGATGTGAAAGTGGGACCGTTGAACCATTGAACCCGCCTGGATACATGCCGTTCTGTGCAAACACGCGGTGGTTGTAGTAGCCTCAAATTGTCAAAAAGGCCAATCAGTTCGAGCTTTAAGATACAATGTCCGGCACAAGTGAACACGAATCTCGCGCCCTGCAAAGAAGTCACTCAAAACCTCAGACACAACAAAACCCCGAAAAAATTGGGCGCACACTGGGCCCTTGAAGCACGCCCGAAGACTTGTACATTCTTGAAAGTGAACGATTCGATGCTGATTTAGCCCGCAGATGGATAAGCCCTAAAACAGTGGGAAAGAAGGTTTGGACTAGGGTCTACCAAGGTGCGGGCTCCCATGCCATCAACGTCTTCAGAGTGGGTTAAGGCCACACTCTGGGACTGTTGCTTCATCTCTTGCCAAAGACGGGGGGGACATGTCTCAAAGTTGCATTGCATTCAGGCTAGCAACTTTCGCACTATGTCAAACAGCCAAGCACCCGAGTCTGCACCTTGCGGCCAAGCAGCCGTCAAAGACCACGCGACCAGGAGGAGTAGCGCTTTCTATCCGAGCTTTTTCCTAGCAACGGGCGGTACTGACATTGATGGGCACTCCTCAACGCGGCAAGAGCTAAGCACCCAACTTTTGGAAGGTCTGGTTTGTGATCTGTTGTCAATTCCAGACTCTCCCACGGCGATGCGTCATCTTTCTTTTTCCCAAGAACACTCCTGCTGTCACCAACCTGACAACGAGCGAGAACAGACCAAAGCAACTGTGATCAAACTGGCTGCTTCGCAGGCGCATGCGCAATGGTCAGCTTGTCCAACTTCCTGTCGTGATACCTTGCGTAGCTGTGCTGGCTGCTGAAGGCCGTCAGGACTCTTCGCCACGCATGCTCAAGCAAGCATTTCGTGGCTTCAGGTTTCCGCGCTGCTTGTTCGTCTTGCAACATCAATACTAATACACAATGGCAGGGGGGGCCAAAAAGGTGGAGACATCGAAGCCACGCTGCACTATCGTACATGTTGTCCCGCTCGTGTCGAACTGTCCTTGCTTCATCAGGATCTCCTGAGTTTCGAGGAAAACCTGGCATCTGCGAACACAGAGTGAACACAGAGTGAACAAGAGGGAACACGGTGGGAACAAGTAGCAAGAGCTCGGCTTCCCGAGGGAGTTCGGCAGTGTGGGGCAAATTTGGGGAGAGCAGATTCGAACTCCGGCCTTGGTAAGGACGGCCCCTGGATCCTTTTCACGATCCGGGTCGTTCAAGAAGGCGCTGCACAACTTCCTGCTCTCCATTTGGTGAACTCTGAGACGTCACTTTCGGCAGGCCAAAGCGCCTCAAGGACAGGTCCGAGCAGTCATGACCTGCTGGACCATGGCCATCATAAACGCCGTACATTGCCTTGCAAACGGGCGCTCCAGCTGCTGACTTGTGACTCGTGTAGCTTTCGGTACGTTCGAACAGCCGGGCAAGATGCAAAATCACTCTCCACCACAACCAAGGAAAAACTGTCCTGACGTGCACGAGCAGAGGAGCATTACCGAGAGAAACAACAAAGAAAAGGCTGGCATGTCCCGTCCTGGTTAGGGCTCTCTGGCTTCAAGCCCTTTCTGCAGCCATATCCAACCGTTGCTCTTACCCAATCTTCCATCTCCTGCATTCCAAGAAGCATCACAGGCAGAAGGGCAAACAAATTACACAAGCTTTCAGCCTGTTCATCGCTGCCTGGCGGAACAAGGACGATCCTGTCCTGGGGGCAGCCCTCCCTAAACCCTAAACCCTAAACCAGCAGTGAGTGTCAGTGCACGCTTTGTGGGCTGTGGGTATGTGGGGGGTCCTTCTCGGCAAAGCTCTGACGGCCTTGGAGGTCTCTGTCGGTGATGGATGTCACCTGGGCAATCTGTGCACACTGAGGCGCACGGAGGACATTGTTGCTGTGTTCAACTTAATCCTGGTCGGAGCCAATAAAAAGCCAAGTTTTCCTTATGGCCTCAAGACTCGATGAGGTGCCGGCATAAACTGCTCTAGTCTTCTCTTCTCTTGCGCGCTCAAAAACCTGCAAGGCTCAGTACAAGGGGCACACACTTCACAGCACCAAAGGCTCTACTGGGGTCTTGCATTCGCATCTCATAGCGCCTCTGCGATGCCGGCCTGCAAAACAAAGACGAGGCTGAAGTGACCAAACTTGACCAAACCCAAGTTGCGACGGTGCGGAGGGCCTCCCTTTCCGTGGTGCCGCTCGATCGGGTCCCCACAATCGGGGCCGTGACATTCCCGATGCTCATGCGCTTTCGGTCCATGGCGGTGAGCTGACCTCAAGGCTCGGAAACTCTCGACACGCGAGAACTGAAACCACGGTTAAGATGGGCAGGCCACTGCAACTCAGGGGCGTGGAGAGTATCCGGCCGACCGTGGCTTTCCAGGTGCAAGCACCAACGAATTTCGGGAAGTGGTCACACGGAAGCAGCGTGATCTCTCTTGTCTAAGGTCTGCAGTTTGCATGTAGCGTTGCTCGCGCATTGGCAAACTCTGACAAAATCTGACCACTTTCTAATTGCAGGATACATAAACCAGTGGCGCTGTGCTTGCCCGCACGCTGAGCCTTACTCTGCTGCGCCAAAGCTTGAGCCATTGATGCAGCAAAGAAAGGAGCTCAGCCCTTGCCAGCCTGAGCAGCGCCTGGGTGCCGGACATGGTGGAACTTCTTTTTGTCTTTTTTGTTCGCTCGCAAGGCTTTTTTACAACCGGAATCGATCTAGGTTGCCGAAAGCCGGCTACTTCCTTTTCGACTTCTTCTTCCTCGGCAAGTACGAGTAACATGCTGGGGCCAGCGACAGCTAGCTGCATTGATGCTGCACATTATCTTCTCCAGACAACGAGACAAGGCGCTGCTTGGATGGGCCAGAGGAAGCTTGATTAGTTGTGCTCTTCACCTTCCGGGTATGGATTGTGATACTGACTATCAGATGCCTGACTTCCAATTGCAGCCTCCAAGGTCTTCTTTGTCTCTGCCGTGTCAGTCTCTGGCATGGCAGGCGGAAGTTCCAGGTCAGGCCTTGAACACTCGCTGCGTCAAAGGTCACCGAGTGCTTCTGGCAGCTAACCGCTCGTTTCTGAGCTCTCCACACGTGCGCTTGGGAGCCACCAGAGACTTGCCTGCTGACCCTGCAGAGCATTAACAGCTCAGAAAGAAAAATCTGCTTAGATGATTGGATCTCTCATTATCTTCCCGCTACGAGTAAGATGGATGCTGCTTGCTTTTTGCACTTGATTGTTACATGCACTGCCAGGCCTTACTGCAGGGCTGAAAGCAAACTCATCTTCTCCAGCGCACCTCAGACTTCTCAACGCAGTTTGGGGATATCATGGACTCATGACCTCGGGTTGCGGACACGATAGCCCATCCCGAGTTATCACTGGAGGCACCAGGATCCTGCGAAACACGTCGGTTGACTCAAACTGCCTTCAAAATGCAAAGGGTAACCCCCCCAGGCCCGGCCCGAATGTTAGACTTCGCCGCTTTACGTTTAAAGCACACAGATGGCTCACCTACGTCCCCAGTGAGTGGGTGGGGGGGGGCTTCTCTGGGTTCTGCAAGCTGCGTTAGGCTGGGACGTCTTGGCTGGGTTGCGTGGCCCATAGTCTGCACTAGGAACCCATGACGTTACTTTCGTCCTCCTCGCCACTGTTCTTCCGCTGCTTGCGGCGCCTGACGTGGACGTGGGCTATCAGTATGCTATCAGTTCAGGAGCCCGAGATGCACAAGCCCTTTATCGGCCAAGAGTCTCATTTCTTTTCGCACTTTTGCTAGCTCCTTGGCACCATCTCCATCTTGCCATGACATGTCCAACATGTGCCCGTTCAAAGGCTAAGGCAGCTAAGGCTTTGGCCATCGCCCTGCGGAGCCAAAGGCACCTCCAATCGAAGCAGATGGAGTTGCTCGGTCGCCTTCCTGCAAGGAGCACGGCGCGCTTTCAAGCAGCACTGCAAAGGGGTGTCCCAGTTCAGGCTCGTGCACCCAGTGCACTTCCACAAATTGCAACATAGATACCCCAGGCTCCACGCGCCCATGCTTGCATGCGATAAGCCAATGGCTATCCGACAATACCAGAAACTAGATCTATACTCGGGTGGATAAGGTACAAGCGTGTGAAGTGGTGAGTTGTCATGAGTTTCACTCCTCCGCAACCCTATTAACTCCCACGGAAAACCGAGGAAGGCATCACAAATTATTTGACTTCGAACATCCCCACCCTCTCTGGTAGAGACTGGGACACTCTGGCAAACTCTGGGGTTGGGCACTCCAGGGAGACTCGGGGTTGGGGCTGGGCACTCCAGGGAGACTCTGGGGCTGGGCACAGGGCTGGGCACTCCGGCGACACTCAGTTGCACTCCAGGGAGACTCTGACACTCTAGAGTTGGGCACTCCAGGGACACTTTGGGGTTGGCACTCCAGGGATGAGCGAGGAGTAGACCGGGCGAGGAGAAGAGTTCCGGGCGAGGAGAAGAGTTCCGGGCGAGGAGAAGAGTTGAGCTTAAAATCTAACAACCCCACACCGAGGGTGGGGAATAAGCTGTTTCAGCTCCAACTTTCTGCGCCTCACAACTCGAACAGTCTTGTTGGCAGGACCACGAGCCTGCCACGCAGCGACACGTGGGAACTCTGCAAACAATTCACCATGCAACGGCCTTCCTGCTGCTCAGTGATGGGGAAGCGGGCGGCGTGCCTCTAGCAAGGTTCACTTTTCTGATGCTGAAGTCATGCTTCCTGTTGCCGTGCCATCGGGTTGGAGGGATGGAGTCGAAGATCGCGAAGCCTGCATAGCAGAACTTACACAAGAGCTGCAAACATATCGGCAAACGCATTTCGTTGCTTTGGCCAAGTTGTGCTCCCACCTCGGATGTGCGCGATGCACAAAGAAGAGGCGAAGCCTGACATGTCGCAAAATCTTCTCTGGTCCATTAGGCTGTCAGCTGTCCCCCAATCGTGGTAGGCTTGCCGGCATCATTGCCGGCCTCGGACTGGCTATCTGAAAATGCTGAGTTGATGACGAGTCTCTGGCTGCCAAGTTCTTCTTAAGCCTCCCGCGTTCCGGGGACGCTGCAGCTGGGAGATGGGGCAGGAGGCACGAAGTCGTCCGCATCAGGTCCTCCCCGCCACAAAACCAGCACAGCTGTGCCACGGGATCATGGGAGTCTCGCCGACTCTTCTTCTCCAAGGCGTGAAGACACGAGAAGGATGGAGAGATGAAGAGAGCAGAGGCAGACCGCCCCTTTCCCTCTGCGCACATGGTTTTGCTCGCCTGTTTGCATAAAGGCCATGTCAGGAAAAAGGACTCGCAGGCCAAAACCCCAAAGAATTTTCGCTCCCAGCTTTGGTGCTAAATTGCGAGGTCAGTTGCTGTCCCCGACAGTCCTCAGATTGTCGTAGATAGCACATATGCGAGCACGGGCCTGCTAGTTGTATCCACGTTTCTCGACTTGAGGGCAGATAGTTGCCGAATTTCTTCCTTTGTGTTGCTTTCCCTTTCTTTCTTTCTTGGGGGCATGGGGGCAGAGCCCCCCAGCTGATGCCTGCTCCGGTATTCGGGACCCCTCGGTTGACTGTTAAGAGCTGTGGCAGGTAGGCCCAGGCCCCAGCTCCCACTCCCTCTCTGTCTTTCCCTTCTCCTCTTTACGGCGGCTTTCCGTTTCCATTTCTCACAGCGTTGTTGTCGCAAGCTTCCGTTCGCTTCTCGAAGGGCCTGTTCTGCAAGACCGTTCTGACTGATGTTTGGTCCTGGCATGTTGGGTTTGGCCGCTTCCGTCCTAGCTCTCTGTGTGCTTCGGCGCTTATGACTTTGTTGCCGTCCGTGCCTCCCCCTGCTTCTGTATTGGGCTTCTGAGGTGGCGCTGCTCTTACTTTGGCCGATTTGTCTCGTCAATGTCTGCTTGCTTCTATCTGCCTTGTCTCTTGCGTCCGCGGCTCTTTGCCCGTCATCTGCAAAGCTTTTTGGGTTTCTCGCCCCCTCCTGACGCATTTTTGCCATGATGGTTGCTGCTGCCTTTATCGCGCCCTGTTTCCCCTTGGTCATCGGAAGCCTCCTCCCTTGACGTTGCTGCGCGCCTACATCTTGTCGAACTTGCACTCTTCGTGTTGCCGTGGTCTGGTAGGGGATGATGCTGATCTCCTCGCTTGCTGTTCTTCATCCGAACCAGGTCTCTCCACGCCAATGGTGTGGCCGGCTGGTTCAACTTTGCTCCCCCGCCAGGTTCTTGAACTTATACCTGATCTTCTCGGCGTTCGTCTCAACGTGCTTGCTCTGTTCTCTTTGGATCTGTTATAATAACAACTTATTCTTCTCTTCTTGTTGTCTGCTGCTTCGTCACATCTCGCACTTTTCTCTTCTTCTTCTTCTTATTCTTCTTCTTCTCTCTCTTCTTCTTCTTCTTCTTCTTCTTCTGCTTCTTCTTCTGCTTCTTCTTCTTCTTCTGGACATGAGGAGCAAGCCCCCCGCGCACTGGGCGCGCCCGAGGCTGAGTCAGGTGCGTGCGTGAGAAAGGTTGAGGGGGACTGTGCGTCGGTTGGGTCTGGTGCTGTAGTTTCCCGCCTTGTTGGCGAGCAACCCCCGCGCTTTGGATCCCCCTCGTGAGGCGCCGTGCTTCGCACTTTTCTCTCTCTCTCTCTTCTTCTTCTTCTTCTTCTTCTTCTTCTTCTTCTTCTTCTTCTTCTTCTTCTTCTTCTTCTTCTTCTTCTTCTTCTTCTTCTTCTTCTTCTTCTTCTTCTGGACATGAGGAGCAAGCCCCCCGTGCTGTTCGCGCGCCCCCGTTTTGGGGTAGTCAGTGGTACGATATGTCGATCTCTTCTTCTTCTTCTTCTGCTGGGCTTAGGGGTGCCCCCCCGCGCTCGAAGCGCGCCCGAGGGTGAGTCAGTCAGGTCCAGTGAGACCACAGCGACCAGCGCACTTCTGTCAGGTCGGCGTGACACTATGTCGATCTCTCTCTCTCTCTCTCTCTCGCCATCTCCCCATCAATGCCCTCTAGTCTGCTCACCATCCACTGCTTCATGTCTCAAGTCTCCTGCGAGGTCGTGGACCTCTTCCAGCAGTGTGCGAACACACCTGGGGGTGAGCATGAATGCACCATCTGCGCGGAGAGACTTGTCGGAAAGGTCCGAGTTTGCAGCTCCACTGTGCACTGCCTTGGAGCACAGCGCGTGCATGGCACTGCTTGTGCCTTTGAGCTGAGCCAAGTTGCGCGATGAGGTCAGGGTTGTAGCCGCCCTCCAGGGCCAGGAAGAGCCGGCCCTGGCTTCAACGTGAAAGCAAGTCGAAGCTGCCCCCAACTTCCACCACAATTTCCGGCTCTGCCCCTGTCCTGGCAGTAGTGTCGGGCCAGACGATACAGGCAACGAGTCATCCTGCAGAGTGAACTCTCGTGCCCCCTTTCATGTCTTTGTCCCACTGCAAGACTAAGAAGGATACAGTTGCTCCGACACATACTGTCACAATGCTGTCCAGCCAAACCCTTCTGGGCTGACACGACAGTCCCCAAGAGGATCACCTCGCACCTTGGCGAAAGCGCCACAACAAACGCAACGAGTCTCCCAGGAGTCATGTACATGACACGTCCTTCAGAGCGAATGCCTACAGCTAAGACAACTAAGAAGAAGCATCCAAAACTAAAACGCAACGCGCTGCATTACCGTCTTATCTTCCATTGTAGGGCATGCGGTGTCGAATCGGCATGATGAAAATCGAAAGGCAACTGAATTGAAGACTGATTTCTGGGCACCCCCTGACGCTTGTTTCAAGCGACATCACAATTGCTTGTAGGTCGCTGGGTCACCAAAGAGTCCTGCACGAAGCTATCAGCCAAGTTGGCTTGAAATCGTCTTTGTTGTGTGGCCACCTGCACCTCCTCTCTCAACAAGTGCGCGCACTCTTGCACTTCTGGTGGTTGGCCATACATCTGGTTGCCCCGTGGCACCAGAACCAGCTCTACGCAGGGCCATGGCTCTTGTCATGGATACCTCACATGTGGCCCGAGATTCATGGCTTTTTCGTTGCCATGATACACCTGCGCTTTGCAACGGCGCTCCCCTTCACGCTTTCCTTCCATACGTCACGAAAGGCTTCTCGAGTTTCGCGGCCGGTAACTCATGGTACCTACATTCCTCCGTCGCACTTTGTACGGAGGTTGTGCTTGAAGGGGTCCACTTTTTAAGAAGCAGCAAGAACAGCCCTTAGCTGAAATGCAGACGCGCACTGCGCTTGGAGTAAATGATTTGCAGGACAGCTGTGGTAAGTTTCGGGGCTTCTTACAGTTCTGAAGCCAGCGGATGAAGGGCACCCGCTTCCGCCGCGCAACTGACCTTCAAGCCGCCCCCGAAACACCACCGGGGTATTGAAAACAATAAGTATCGTGTTATCATCACGGCTCGTTTTGTATGTGGCTGCTCTTGTCGCCTTGATCGCGCACCTCAACTCAAGCTTAACACACTCATGCCTTTAACGACATGTCAAAGTCGGCCTCTTGAGCTTCGCAAACTGTTTACCCGTAAACTTCACAATGGGTTGGGCACTGCCACAGTGCACATGAGCTCTGCACAGCGTCGAATCCAGCCGAGATGAAGATGGCTTGCGGCGCAAACTTTTCCACCACAGGGCAGATCAAGTAGCCTGAGAGTGTCACACCGACGTGACGTGTGAGCCGACGACCAACACAAGTTCTCGTCTGACAAACGCATGAAAACACTCCACCGGCTCAGGATGCGGCGCATGATATACGCGACATCAAGATCCCCAAACCCTTTGTCGAGAGGCACATTTACGTTGTAGCCTCTTGCATCGGACTTTCCGACATCCTCTGCATACCCTGTCCCGGGGAAAAAAGTGCTGTCATATCTATGAAGACTGAAGAATAAGACGCTGTCGTCTTCGGCGAACACGTCATTGGTTCCATTCCCATGATGCACATCCCAATCAATGATGGCGACACGTTCAAGTCCATGTTCTCGTTGAGCGTGTCGCGCAGCCACAGCTACATTGTTGAACATGCAGAAGCCCGATGCTGTCTCAGGACCGGCATGATGCCCAGGAGGACGTATCACTGCCATGCCGCACCGTTCAGTGGCGGTGTCATTCAAGCAGTGGTCGACCAATGCCAGCAAACAGCCGGCTGAGAGGACCGCGCAATGAGGCGTGTGCTCATTTGCATAGGTGTCCAGCCCGAATGGCCTGACAGGTCAGCAGGATCAGGTGAAGCCAAATGCAATTGCATCCATTCAAATTATGTTACTTCGAACATCCCCACCCACTGTGGGGTTAGGCACTCCAGGGACACTCTGGGGCTGGGCACTCCGGGGACACTCTGGGGTTGGGCACTCCAAAGAGAATTTGGGGTTGGGAATTGGCGGAGACTCTTTTGGGGTTGGGCACTCCAGGGAGACTCTGGGGGTGGGCACTCCGGGGACTTGGACTCTCGTTTGGGCACTCCAGAGAGACTCTAAGGCTGGGCACTCCAGGGACACTCTAGAGTTGGGCACTCCAAGCGACACTTTGGGGTTGGGCACTCCAGGGATGAGCGAGGAGTAGACCGGGCGAGGAGAAGAGAGGAGAAGAGTTGAGTTTAAAATCTAACAACCCCACACCCAGGGTGGGGAAAAGGAAAGAAAGACAGAAAGAAAGAATGAAAGAACGAAATAAAGAGGCCAGTGAGCCAAGCAGCAATCCCCAGTCCTTGCCCTTCTTCTTAGCTGAAGAAGATTTAGACACACGCTCGATGTGATTCTCCGTGTGAACCCGCAGCAACTCCTCTTTGGTTGCTTCTCGGGATGCAACTTTCGTACATGCCGATTGCAAGCCTGACAAGTCCAGCTGCTTCAGTATTTCTGCAAGTCTCGCTGGTCTTTCAGGATGATTGGTTGGACCTGCGTGAAGCAGCAGAGCCTCATCACTGACCAGTGCAACGCAGCCCTGCGAGTCCCGCAAGTTATTCGCTTCCAGCCACGATTTCGTGGCGCAGGCTCTTGAGCAAGCCTGAGCGGAGGTGCTGGAGGTGCTGGAAGCACTGGCATGAGGACCTGCCAGCCCTTCAGGCTCCGCAGGCTCCGCAGGCTCCGCAGGCTCCGGTCCAACGCCTGCAGCTATTTGCCCGGCTTCCGGCATGGCGGCGCATGTATGGATTCTTATTTCACACAGCGCGCAAGTGCTAAGGGCACCGACCGGTTCTCTGAGCCCATCCATCCCAGTAATTAGGGTCAAAACACATGGTTTCTTCCCATGTCCAGAAGGTCCGACCATGCTTGCCTTCAAAACACCGATTTCGAGGACCAGATGAGATTTTCAGGTCCCGAGTAGATAGGAGGGGTGTGTATATGGCTGCAACTAAAGGAGCTTGTGCCTCACATTGCTTGACGGCTACATCATGAGACATTGCAGCTTGCTGAGCGCTCCTATCATGTCCGCTTTGACCTGATGGAGTGTGCCGACGGTCGAAAGTACACAAATGATCGAGCCAAGGTGCAAACCGAGAATGCGCAAGCTTCAACAATTTTGGAGCACTGCCGAACTTAATCCAAAGAACTCGGAGAGCACACTGTGCAGACTGAAGAAACTGTGCGGACCACTTTTGCTTCCGCTGCCCGGTCACGATGCTCTCCAGAACTTCCAGCCGCGCTCGCCGCATTCGGTGTGTTGCTCTGACCTCGGTGTCGAGAGCAACGCTGAACCATGCCAGGGCATGACAGGTCTGGGCTTGCACCTTGCAACTTCTAATAAAAGCTGAAGTGGCGTGACCGAGGCCGTTTCGACGGCGGGACCTCCACAGAATAAGAATCCGCGGAATGAACTGCTGCTTGATCGCCCAACACTGTTTTTTCAACCCTTTGCAGCGGCGAGGGGCCTGTTGTGTTGTTGTTGCTCTTGTTGTTGCTGTTGTTGTTGCTGTTGTTGTTGCTGTTGTTGTTGCTGCTGAGGAGGAGAATTGTTGAGCCTTATTGAGCCTTGCTGTTGACCTCCAGGCCCTGAGTCCTTTAGAAACGGGATCCGGCCGGCAATGAGTAGCACGACTCCAAGCAGGCGCCCCAAAACGCCAGTGCCTCGACCGGGCCGACAGCGCCCGCACTCCGCTTCTCCGCGCCCTGGCTCGGTTCTCCCTACACCAACTCAACGGGTTGAGGGCTGCATCTCATCCCCTGCATGCAGAAGAAGCGATGCTGGCTTGACCATGGCACAATCCATATCGTTGCGCCCAGCTATACGAAATCGTGGCGCAAGTGCACACAACCAAGCCCTTCCCCTGTCGAAGGATACTTCCATTCCTAATCTTTTCATAGTTTGCATTTTTGCCGAGGGGTGGAGCTTCCCCGTAAACGCACCTCCCACTCGAAGAATGCCATGACAACCGTCAAATTGTCTTGACTTCCACGAGAATACGCCTCACACGCGAACAAAGCTTGCAGCAGTGGCACCCGCTCAGCAGGACGGCTTCCTTCTTCCACGAGTGTCTTGTCAAGGCAGGCCTTCTGCACCAAGTCGCCGCAGGCTTTCCGGGCATTGGCTGATGCGTCTGCCGCATCTCGCAAGAAGTCGAGCTCGAAAATGATCTGGCCACTCGAAGACACTCCGCAGTCTTCTAATTGTTGTCTGGCCGACTCATGAGGCTGCAACCCACCACACGTGAGGTGCCTCCTCATTGCTGAGCACATCCGTGATTCCATCCTGGCTGAGACAGCTAGGCTTCGTTCACCATCCCCCCAACGAGCGAGTCTGCATGATGCCTGCAGCGACGCAACTTCGGGATACTCGTTCGGGGTACTAATCTTCTTACATTCACATTGCTTCACACATTTCCGAACACACAGCTTGCGAACGACTCTATGCACCTCAACACATAAACTTCGGGAAGGGCTACGCCTGAGGGAGCCCGCTGGCACTTCTGGAGGCTTCGGAACAGGTTCTTGATGATTCAGGGACGATGACTGAGCTGTCACCGAGTGCCCCGCACACATCAGCGCAATGAATCGCACAGAGGCGTCCAACTCGAAGCTTCGCACCTGGGCAAAGCAGCCTTGATTCTGGGCAACATCACAGGAACTGAAACTTACTTACTGGAGGATTGTAGGATTTTACCGCTTCTGCACTTTACACTACTAGCATCCCTTGCACAGTCTTTGGCAGCGAGGCATGTCCTGGATTTTCCACAGGCCGAGAGGTGATGTGGTATTGGCCACACCCGAAACGACTGGGGAAACTGGGGAAACCTTGAGGCAGCAATGACTGGCAGTTCATTGTTGGATCTTGGCACGGGGCGCTGGGCGTCGCAATGAGCAGGGGCTTCTCCACCTAACAGATCAGACTACGATGCCCTGCTTTGCCAACGTAGTTTCGTATACTTAACCCTCCAGAAATGCAAGAAACAACTCGCCTTGAAGTCGCGATCCCCCAAGGCCCTTGTCACCGCAAGGGCCACTGGCGGCCGTCCGACAGCACCGAGCCCGGCCGCCTTGCATGGTGCCCTAGCCTATCCGAAAGAAAAGGAAGCACTATGAAGCATTTGCAAGAATTTTGGATCCGGGTGGTGTTGAACGTGAGGGCGGATGCACTGACTCCAGGTCCAGGGTACCGAGTGCAAGGAAGAGTCCTCAAGGAGGCCATTCTTTCAAGCGTTCACTTGCGTACAAGAGCAGCTTTTTTGGTAGAGGAGCGAGCAGACGAAGAGCGGTTCATGTGCAAGCGAGAGGAGACTGGGGGCGACTTGGTCCGTTGGGAGTAGCTACATAATGTTGCAGATCATTTCGCCAAGAGTACTGCTTAGGAGTTGCGATGACTGCCTATCCCCTGGTCGAGCGAGAGGAGAATTACCTCAAAAAGTACTCTCGAGGGACCCCCCGTCTATCAGGACAAAACACTCTGCGTGGCAGGCCTGTGAGGCCTTGTTCCACACCCCTCATGGAAGCTACCACTGAATATGCCGAAGTTCCGCTACATTCAGAGGCCAGCTTTCGTGACCTCAAACGCAGTACTCGTAATTGATCTTGTTCTTAGGGAGCGACACCTCAAACTTGGAGAAACACAAGAAAGTTTAGGGTGCCATGCTCCGGTCATCTTTGAGCCAATACTGTAATAGTCCCTGGCCTTGGCCCGACGAATCTCGCGAATCTGACTGTCGAAGCCCGAATGGGCTACCTCAGCTCAAGGCGTACGGCAGCGTATCCAATAGAGTCAGTAAAGCGACTACCACAACATACAACCAACGCTTTCAGATGCATCAGCATACATGTGCTGCACCGGGATATTTCAGTCTGTCGTCAGAGTCCTTGAGCCCTGCACTGGTTGGCTAGAATTTAGTATGGTGAGTGGCATGTTCGGCTGTTGCGCGCGAACACATAATAAAAGCTTGGGACTGAGCCCTTATCTCATGGCACCCATAAGCTAGGGTGGTACACGCGCAAACACACATCCCTCAGGTCCAGTCTCGTTTTGCTCCATCGAAGTTCCTTGGAGGACCAGGTTGCTTCTGCACTTCTCAAAAGGAGACTTTCCCTGCAACCGCATGGCCTGAAAATTCAACCTCTACCACTGTACCCTGCGTCACAGGCATCACAGTGGTACTTTCTAGGCCTCTTGGGGCTTTAAACGTTAAACCAGGACTACAGTCAAAGATGAAAGCTGCTTCCAGCAGGCACCCAGGTTCACGATCATCCCACCTGCCTCACGCACCCGGTCTGCCTCCGCTGCCGCCTTAAGCTTAAAGCTGATAAATGCGAAACACAACACATGTGATACAATGGTAAAAGCAACCACCTGCAAGTGTGCTATGATCTCAGAGCTGGGCACTTGGGCGGTGGTCCTGTGTGAGTGGGACCGTTGCCACAGTCCCAGCAGAAGTGGTTCGGCACAGAAGCGCGCGAGAATCGCCAAGCCATGCCACGGACAGGAGTCGTCCCGTGAGCAGGGCCATAACGACAGTACACCCATCAACTGCAGTGCCTTAACATGCCGGAGATAGAAAAAGACTTTAGGGCCTTAGGCTGTTGGCGAGCCGGCGCGACCAATCAGTCGCCAAGGTTCGGTGCTTGGCCAGAAACTCTTCGTCCAGCTCTTGGCACACAGCCTTCAGCGCCAGCCCAATCTCCTCACTGCCCTTTGTGGTCGGCTGGGACAAGTGCTTCAGGAGTCTCAGATGTAAAGACTTCGCGACGAACTCCGCGCAGAGGGGGCCGCGGTGCCCATCGTAGACCGCCAGGAAGGCGCAGGGCTGTTCCTGCTCTGAGAAAAGGCCACCCATCTAGCAGTTCCTCAAAGCCTCAAAGCGCTCTGACCCGAAAGCCTACCCCTGCAAGTATGGCATAGCATGGAATGAATAGAATGAATAGAATGAATAGAGTGCAGGCAACGCAGGCAAAATGCGCTTTCGCACGCGCTCTCGCACTCCCCGGTCCAGGTGGTCAATGGGCATCTTCAGGGCCTGAGCGGCTTTCGTGAGGTCAGGGATCTTCACGTGCCGGTCTTCCTGATGTGGCCGCCGCCCCTGGAACGGAATCTTTTAATTGGAGAGTCCTTCCTCTCTTGGGGTCTGAGGACTTGGCTGCCAGCAGAGCAAGAGCGTGGAATCAAGTTTGCACCGGTGGCTGCAGCTTTCATGCAAGCACTGAATTGGGCAACCCTACTTCTCTTCAAGATCTGCACCCTCTTCCGCCTGCATGAAGGTTGATTCTGCCAGCACCTTTGCCAACTTGGGTGGACGGGCATTGGCGGCGCGCAGAGTGTCGATCATGAGTGTGGCGCTACTCAAGAAACCGGGTTCATGTGTTACATTCCCGTGTACCATGCGACTGCCAGGAACTTCTGGATACTGATGGCTGTCGACTGTTAGCTGCGGCAAAAACTGTGGAGCTTTCATCATGACCATCGTCGCTTAGTTAACTGCCGGAGACTGGCACTCGAGGTCGGAAGTACTGAAGAAGGAAGCGGCTTCAAGCCCCAAGTTTTGCATTGCGGGGCTCCTTTGCTCAACAGGAAGAACGCATCAGCAGTTGTCGGCGCTCCGTCCTTCTCAGCCCTCCGTCGGGATCAAGCCGGCCACTAGCGGAGTCACAGCTGCTGATGAACGCCATGCTGGCCCAAGAGTGGAAAAAATGTGCACAGTGTGTGGCTCACTGCGGTGCAGGGATCTTTGACCGCCCGCGCGTGAACCCAAAGCTGGGACGTTTCAACGTCGGATCCCTTCTCGAGGCCCTCCGAATCTGCATTTGCGACACGCTGATGGGCAACAAAGGCCAAAGAGTCCTACGTATGAACCGTCCCAATACATTTAAGAAATACAACCCCTCAAAAAAAAGGTCTCTGCCAGCTCTGAGCTGCAGGAGCTTATGGGCTTCAAAATGGCCTGTCCTCAGTCGAGAATTGGGAGCTGGAAGCCTTGGGAACCTTGCCCAGCTCCGACAGAAGCGTTGCATGGTTCAGGCGATTGCGCTTTGTAAGCAGATAGCTCATGTTGTGCTCGTTGGGTGTGCAGCTCAGTGGGCAGACCTCACCTTGGAGCACGTGACGCACACCCCAACACATCCGACGCAAGCATACAAAGAGACAGAACTCTTCTCTGTTTTAGTGATACTACCCCCCCCCCCCCCCCCCCACACACAGCGAAGGCGCAGCACAACAGCAACGTGGTCCTCTGACTACCCTCCCAAACACTCTGTGCAGCTGTGCAGCATGTAAGGGGCTGGAGTGCTCGTACCTTCTCGGGATTGTTGGTGTAGAGCCGAATGGACCTGAAACTGAAGCCCCTTTTGTGCCGTGGGTACTAAACAGGTTCTAAATTTAGAGGCACGAGTGCAAAGTCCACACAGCATTTTGGCAGGAGACCGCACGCCGAGGCCCTCCAGCACCTTCCTCGAGCCCTCGAAGGTCCTCCAAGCATGGGAGGTGGAGGAGACAGCGAATCACCCATGTCGGTCAAGGCACTCACTGCCCTCGAAGCCTTCAAAGCCCTCAAAGCCCCCAAAACACGCAAAGCCTCCATCCTTGCTCATAGAACAGCCGAGAGTCCGCAGGTCCGCCTCGAGCCCAAGCGAGAGATTGGCATCCACCTGAGAAGCCCAGGGGCCCCCAAACGGAGTTTCCACAGGACGCGTGAGTCTAGCGCCGTCGGCATCGGGGCGAGCGCTTCTTCCAAATGTGGTTGACTGGCTCAATGTCAACCGAAAAAGGAGGCAACTTGTCAGTCTCTGCAGCTCAGCTGCTGTGTCCAATCCTTTCTCCTGGCCAACACGACAGCTCACGAGATCAAAGTCGCACGGCAAGCAAGTAACCCACAGGTGCCTGGAGCTCGTACGCCCGAATCTTGTTGACCAGGCCGATGCCACGGCCCTCATCACCTGCACAAACCAACACGCTTACTCACCCTACGACGACGACCACTACCAGTGCGACTACCACCACCACCGCCACCACCACCCACCAGCACCACCAGCACCACCAGCACAGCACCACCAGCACCGCAGCACCGCCACCACCACCACCACCGCCACCACCACCACCACCACCACCACCACCACCACCACCCCACTAGCACCACCACTACCACCCCACTACCAGCACCACTTCTACCACTACCACCAGCACCACCAGCACTGCCACCAGCATTACCACCAGCATTACCACCAGCACTACCACCAGCACTACCACCAGCTCTGCCACCACCAGCTCTGCCCACCACCACCACCACCACCACCACCACCACCACCACCACCACGACCACGACCACGACCACGACCACGACCACGACCACGACCACGACCACGACCACGACCACGACCACGACCACGACCACCACCTGAACCCTTAGAGGCCTCGAATGTAGAGAAGCACCCCGTTTGTCTCCATGTGAAGGACATGAAGAAAGCCTGGGTGCTAGACAAATGGCAAGCACTCCGTCCCGGGCAGACAAGACTGCAGGGGGCTGGCACGGTTAACTAGAATTTCACTACACTCCGTGCACCAAGCTTTAGACCTTTTGGTTCCTTGTGGCCTAAAGAAAGCAGAAGCAACACAGTACCCTGAGCAAACCTGCTCTGGCATGCCAAGGCACTGTGAAGCTGCGGTCCTTCAGCACGTTTCAATGCATTTCAATGCATGTCAAGTACAGTTACACGGAGCTTCCGAGCACGCATTTATCAATGCATGAAAGCGCAGGAAGTCTGGAGAGCAAAGGGCTTCTGCGAGGCTCTGTGAAGCTGGCAAATCCATTCGCAAGCGAGGGGCCGCAGTCGCATCGCTTCGAGCCCAAGACGTCGCCGGTGAAGCACTCGGAATGCACGCGGACCTTGCAAAGGATCTTGACACGGAAAAAGGGGTGACACAAGGTTCAGACAAGTGAAGACCGTGGGTAATGATGGACGCCAATAGCCTGATCAACTGGAGGGCCTCATGCCTCACAGATAACGCCAGGGCTGCCAAGGTTCCGGGACTTCTTTTGCCCCGGCCACTTCGCCCTTGACAAGGGCAACAATCTCTTGGCCTGGCTTGCTTGTGCTGTAGACCTGGCATCGGTCAGTAGGCAAAACTTTGTCACTAGGATGCAAACTTTGCAACACGCAACAAGCAGTTTGGCGCGTGGGCATGTGCAGGAGATCAGGAGACGTTGGCATCGGGGTGGCTGGCCTTCATTTCGCACTCGGCATCGATTGCCTGTGACGACACTCGGTGGATGCTGCAAACTCTGCTTCAGCCGTCAGCATCTACCTTGATACACAGACATGCCTGGCGTTGCCACTACTACGCAGCGGCCTCGACCCACATGCGACAGCTACTCCTCAAGTTCACAGGTTCGACTGGGTGACCATCACTTGCGGCCGCAGTCCTCAGAGGGCATGGGGCATGAAACTGAATCATACAAGCATACTTGAGATTACTTAATACAAGTATTCGTCCATCTGCAGACCTACTTAACTTTCCGTCTAACTATCTATCGCTGGCATAGCCTGCACCACAACTGTAGATGGGTTTAGGGGCACCCTGGAGCATCACTGAGCTGTGATTCATGCGTACCTGGATCTAAGAACCCCGCAGTGGAGACGAAGACCTTGCGCCATTCCTCCCGTTTGTGTCGCCCGCGGGGGCACCGTAGACCACGATATCTTCTCCCACAGCACAGCTATGCAGCTCGTGAAGGCTCATAAGCCCGCCTCCAGATCCTCCAGAGGCTAGGGAAGGACCAAGGCCACCCAGGAATCTTGGGCTGACTGTAGCCACAAAGTTGGTGACCAGCTGAGGATTTCTCAGAAAGCTGCCAATGACTTCCCGGCCACCTTCGACCATCAGCGAAGCGCAGCCGAACTGTGTGTAGAGCGCGCTCAGCATATGCTGTAGCGATGCGCGGCCATCTACTTCAGGCACGACCACGACGCGCACGCCAGGGAGCGCTGCCAGTGCCAGGGAGCGCTGGCGCTTCTCCTCGCAGCCGCCCTCTGTGGTGACGATCACGAGCCCTGCGCCAGCGCTTTCTGCAGCTCGTGCCACCAGGCGCGAAGTCGTTGGTGACCGTAGCCTGGAGTCCAGCACAACTGGCAGAGGACTTCGACCTGGAACCAGCCGTGCTGTCAGCAGCGGGTCATCTACCAGAAGCGTGCCCACTCCAATCAAGATGGCATCATGCATGGTGCGGAAGCGATGTGTCATGGTCATACTCTGCTGCCCACTGATCAGGACCCGCTTGTTGCCGGCCGTAGCGATGGACCCATCTAGACTTTGAGCATAAGTCAGCGTCACCGCCGGCAGGGAATGCTGGGGGCGCAGGTTCTGCGCGACGTACTGCACCACTGCGCTCCCATCACTGGTGCCTCAACTGCTATGATGAGGGTGAGAAACTTGGTGAAGCCCTTCGGAGTGCTTCGGGCTTAGATGTTCAAGGGATGGAACTGTCAAAGCTGGGGCTCAGCTTGTTGGGAGCCGAGGTACCGTTAGCGTGGCTGCTGGACTGGCAAAAGCTTCGCCGAGACCCCGCATGCCTGGAGCAGATGTTAGCCTGCAAGCAAGGCACCTCCCTCTCAAGAACTTCAAAAAGTTCGGAACATCGCAACAAATGATGCGAGGCCACCGCCCTTAGCAATACACTGCCCACGACCACCACACTACACTGTACCAAATGAGCAGGTACTGCGTTCGGCTTCCCCGTAGTAAACACCAGTCCCCCAGCTGCGCAACAGCCGTTTATGTAGATTTCTCCTAAGATGCACCCTGCGGCCTGGGCTACAGGCGGCCGCGCAAGAGCATACCGCGCACGCGCCTCATCGAGGTTTAACGGGTGTGCAGCGGAAAGCGCTTCAGTTGAAGTAGGTTGAGGTTTTAGCTTTTCCGGTCGAAGGACTTGGGCTCTGTAAGATTTGCAGTGTACACTGTACACTTGGGGAGGGGAGGGATGTCGGATTCGTGTTGAAGCGGCAGAAATGCTTCCGCTTTCCCTCCACTACCCGCACTGTCTCCCTACCTCTGACGGACATCTCTTCACTGGAGCTTGGAGGTCCGAGAGAACGGCTTTCAACAAGGCCCCCGTCGTGAAAGACGTTGCGGCTTGTACGGTACGGCATTCTTGCACCAAGCAATTGTTCCGGGTACCACTCAGGGACAAGGGGGACATCATGAAAGATGCTGAGGGGGATGACGGGGCCCTATTGATGGGGCCATGCAGACAAACCCAGAAACTCAACATACGTGCGAGTTCAATGTAGAAGCTTTGCCAAACCTCAAGATCCTCAAGTGGAGTTGAAGCTCTTTGATTATGTGAATAAATGTGACTAGTCTTTTGTACCACATCGTCCTACATCAATTGCAGGGGCTGCGCGGAGCCACTGCCCCGGCTTGGGTGGAGGGCTTGAGGCTAGCGTGTACAGCTTGGAGACCTTGATTCTCAAGCACTGTACCCAGCATTCTTTCAAGACCACGCCATTCTGGGTACCCTAAACAGAGCCTGGCTTGCACTCGCATGCTTTTGATGGCAGCGTGAGCTGTCATCTTCAAGAGTTCCACCCCTCGGATGTTTCTTCCCTGAATCTGGAGGAGGGCCCTTACTCTCTCCTTAAATGAGGGCTCGATACATTCAGGATTTCTCGTACATTGGGGCAATCTCGGGGAGCACATTGGGGGGATCACAGTTCATGAGCCAGGCACCCTCAAGGCCCGTGGTAGGCCCAGGCGCCACATGGCACGACCGAGGGACATCGAAGGTAGGGAGCCTTTAAGAGTGGGATTCAAGGGCCACGCTGCATTCTATTTTATCACGAAACACCTCACTGAACCTCAGCTCTTAGCTTTAACTTACGGCCAAGCTGGGTGCAACAGAGAAGGAGAAAAGGGCACACAGCGAAAATGTGGCAAGGCGGCGCACGAGGTCCGCACACGTAAGAGAGCTTTTTGTCAGCGAGCGTTCCTTGCTCGGTCGGGATCTGCGTAGCCGGTTGGCCTAGCTAAAGCTTAAGCTTGTCCCACCCTGCCCAAGCCACAACAGCGACGGCGAGAGCTCCTTGCTTCAGGGCTTGTGCAGGGGAGGTTTTCGGGACAGAAAATCCACACCGGTGGAAGGTACAAATAATTGCACCATCTCCGGGCTTTGAAAGCAGGACTGGCCCGTGGTCGCTGTACAGCGAGAAAAACGGAGAAAGAAAGAGCAGGGCAAAAGAGCAGGCCTACTGGGTCCTACGGGGCCTAAGGTCCTACAAGGGCCTCGGGTCCTACGTGTGTCCTAGGGTCCTACAGGAGGTCCTAGGGTCCTACAGGGGCCTACTGGGAACCCAGCTTCCGGCTTGGTCCAGGAGTTGCGAGAAGCAGACATATGTTGCAAGCATGCGTGAGGCGGCACAAACACGGCTGCAATGCCAAACATCGCCAGCGAGGGTGACATGCGCGAAAAGTCTTAATGACAGCGATGTTCCATTGGCACGATTTGTGCACTTGCTGGTGCGCCGACACGACGCTGCAGGAAGGCAACATGAGCACTCGGCTCGAGGTGCAACTGGGTCGCGGCGCAAGTCCCTAAACCCTAAGCTACTCCACCCCCAACCCCCAAACCCTAAACCTTAAACCAAGGCATGTCGAGAAGTGCGAAACGGCCTAGCCTCCGACACCTGGGAGTTGCTGCTTGGCAGGGAATCCCGGCGATATGCAACAGGCTGCGCGGTCACACTTGACGACGAGGCTGAAAGGAAAAGGTTTTCACCGAAAGAGGGGTTTTGTCGGGAGCTGTCCGGATTGCCACACTGACACTGAAGGTAGCCTCTGTTTGGGCAGGCGTCTGTCACGAGACCGGACGCGGTCTGACAGGAAGTCACAAGAGCAACGTCCACAAAGTTCATAGGCCGAGGGCTGATGGGCTCGGCCCGGGCAGTGGTGAGGCAGCAGGCAAACATGGCAGAGGCGAGTGCTTGGGGCCGTGAAATGGCAAACTCAGTGGCAGAGGCTTGTCTCTTGGCCTGGTACGTTTGGTCGTCAGTTAGGCGGTTCTTGTGGGTGCGCAAACGGTCGGCGAACAATTGCGTTGCGCTCTCCTTTGTAAGCCCATCGGCAAGTTGCCGTTCGGAAGACACCCACCTGGGGACAGCAGAGGCCTCAACCAGGCGCTGCTTAGTCACAAGCACTTCCACGGCAGTACGTTTCTCAGCCCCAAGACGGGCTTGCAACTCATCTTGGTGAAGCAGGTCGTAGAGTGCCTTTGCGTCCACAACAAGCGCAGAGCTGTGGGGCAAACGGGCGGCATCAGGAGAGTTCAAGTCCAGCTTAGGATCAAAGAACGCTTTGAGAAACAAGGAGGTGAAGTAGAGGGCATCGGCTGCTTCGGCTGCGGCCTGGCCTTCCGCAGAGAGGGTACTGCGGGCAACACGGGGTAGCTTGAAGGAACGCCAGTCGAGCACGTGGTAGGTGAAAGCATTGCCCTTTTCCAATGCGTCCTTGTGGCACAAAGTAATGAGGTAGCCACCCTGGCTGCTCAGGTCATCTCTGCACGCGAAAGAAGCGTCAGAGTAAGCCACCACAACCAACTCATCCACCGGGCCAAGGTAAGGGTAACTTAAGCCAACATCCGCATTATGCTTAGCAAACCTCAGGGCTTTGTTAGCAGCTTGCAGGGTCGAAACTGTTGCCTTGGTGGTAAGGCCGGCAAGCATGGAAGTGTGAGGTTGGATATGCGGCGAGGACTGGGTGGCAACCCACTGAAGTCCACCGAGCAAGGCACGGAGCTGGGCACGCTCCCTTTCGGTAACAGGCGATGTGGGGTCGCAAAGCCTCGAGTTCGGTATGGTGATGGGATGCAGTTTGGAAAGGTACTTGGCTTGATGGTAACGCAAGACGCCTTCGGGGCTCTGCTCGATCTCAGCACCGAGGTACTCAACGGAAGGCTTGCGCTCATGCCACTCACGGAAGACAAAGGTCTGTTGCAGACGGTCCCGGGCGGAACAGTAGCGAGGGTCGGCAGAGTTGCCAATGGCCAAAAGGTCATCCACGTAGAGCCCAAGTGCACACACAAGTTGCGGACGACCAAGAGAGTCCAAAGTCTCCCAGTCGTAAAGCAAGAAAAGGCACTGATCCAAAGGATGGCGAACAAAGCCAAGGCGCTCCAACCGTTCGGTTGCTTCACAATACCAAGCACGAGGGGCATCCACTAGCCCATACATGGGCTTCCGCAATTTCATGACAACAGAAGGCTCGGTAATCCCAAGCATCTTGCGAGCGTCAGCCGGCAGACGAATCCACAAGGTACGAGCGGTGGAGTGTTCCTTGCCCTGCAGGAAGGCTGTGCTGATGTCGCCCGTGGCGGCACCCCAACCCAAGTTGGCGGCAAGTGACAGCAGCATGTGCCGAGACAAACGAGTCAAGGTCGGAGCAGTACGGTCAACAAGACCCCCAAGGGCATCGGGGTCCTTGAAACCTTGGGCAATCAAGCGGGCTTTAGCTCGAGGAGAACCGTCGGGGTTCTTGGACCACTTCAGGATGAAATGGGCTTTGAGGATGCGCCCGGACGGTGCGGAAGACTCATGATCGAAATCCCAAACCGAGTTTTGGAAGAAGCTGGCAAGCTCCTTGCTCTTGGCCTCCTGGAACAGAAGGCGGTCACTGAGACTCAAGGTCTTCTCATCCAAGTCGGCCTTGCGTTTAGCACCAACGTAGGAACTGTGTCCATCGGAAGCCTGGTAAAAGGCGTCATGCGCCTCCTGCCTATACCTGGGCTGAACCTTGAAGACTGTCTTTCCAGTCCACCAGTGGCCACCATCCCGTTTCGGGGCATGAACTCGCCACCTGTCATCGTGGCGGCGCCGGCCGCGATAGGTGTGCCTCACCTTGCTAAGCATGTGCACAGGGACTGGGCAATCCCCAGGGGAAAGAGGATCAAAGGCACGATCCCGGGCCACGAAGTGACGGCGCACAAGGTGACGGCCATCAAATTCCCACTGGTCCTGCACGGAGTCAAGGTGCATTTGGCCATCGCCGGCAATAGTCCAGCCAGGTGGCAGGCAAGGAGTGGACTGGGGTAGCACGTCACAGAAGTGGGCTTGCTCTGTGAGGGCCGGCTCGGCACTGGGAGGAGGCGACCGTGAGCGGTCTGCGGCAGGCTGGCGGTGGAAAGGCAAGGTTTCTGTACGGTCGATGCGGGCACGGCGTTCTGCAAATGTCTCCTGCGCGGGCACACGAAAGGGGCCAAAAGGCACAGGCTCGGGGGCCGGTGGAAGGTCAGGCGAAGGCTGAGCAGGCGCAGGCTCAAAGGCAGGCTCGGGCACGGAAACCTGAGGGTGCATGTCGGAGTCTGGCAAAGGCACGGCGGCGTCGTCAGACAATTGATCGGACCAATTGATCGGACGCGTCGTCCGGCAAGGGCGCTTCACGAAAGTCCACAGTAGGAGTCGGAGGGTTAGGTAAAGGAGCGGGTGCAGGCAAGTCCACGGAAGGTGGTGTCACATGCGACGGGTCAGGAGCCACTGCAACATGAGGACGGGGACGCTTGGGGTCCGGCTCAACAACCTCATCATCACTAGGCATGGCGTGGGCCTCATCCCTGGGGACCCTCCGGTTGGTCCTCGGCAGGTCTATGAAGGAGGTAGTGCCGCGGCCACGAAGGGTTTCCAGGGCTTGCGTGGGCGAGGCAACAGGCTCTGAGTCGGAGAAGTCACGACGCAAGTGCTCCGCGGCAGCTCGGATAAGCTGGGCACCGTGCACTAACCACACAACGGACTGGCGTCCGCGGCTGTCTTGCTCAACCATGGTAACAACGGCAGGGCCACGCCAACGGATGCGGGGGCCAACACCAGTACCCACGGTAGTAGTAAACACGCTGGCCAACGGCGAACACCGACGAAGTCACACGGCTTTGGCGAAGCAAGGCTCGACGCAAACGCTCATCATTGTCAGCGGACATGATGGCTTTGGCTGCAGAAGACTGAAGGTCAAGCTTGCGACGAAAGTCGGGAGAACCATCCAAGTGACTAGGGTTAACGTTGCTGCCTAGGAGCATGCCAGGAAGGTCGGGCTGGTATCCCAACACCCACTGTGTGGGCGAATAGCCTTGCACACTTATGGTATTATTTACTTGGGGTACAAGAAAGTCCAAGGCGCGACGCAAGTCGTCAATTGTGGTGCCTCCAGTGTCTGCCATAAATACGTCAATGGCACGCCTGAGAACCTGATGCCTTCTTTCGACCTGGGCTAAACGTTGGTGTGCCTCACCGGGACTAATGAGCAACTCAACCCCATGGGTAGTGACCCAGTCACGCACAGCGGCAGAAGCCCAAGAAGGATGAGCGTCAACTTGCAACACATGCGGGGGCCCAAACAACTTAACCCAACCACGTTCCAAGGCACGAAGGAACTGCTCAGAGGTTTCACTGACGAGGGGACGTGCAACCACATACTTGGTGGCTGCGTCAAGCATGGAAAGCACAGGGACCGTGCGGCCCTTAGGCAAGGTCACCCAAAAGGTGTCAGCCATGAGGCGCTGGTTGAGCTTTGTGGCAGAGCGAAGCGAACTTTTGGGAACCTGGTTGGGAGGAGCCAGCTGAGCACAGGTAGGACAAACATAGTCATGGGCGGCTTGCAGAAGGGCATTGGAAGAACCTCGGGCGCGAAGTTGTTCAACCATCTGGTCCCGGCTGGGGTGCCCCAAGTTCTTGTGCAACCGGGCTACAATGCGCCGCGCCTCGGCAGGGCGCTCTGTAAGCAACTGCTCCAACACACCAGTGTTGCGGTGAGGATTCACCACATCTGGCTCGGAAGGTGCGGCAGGGGCAACAGCAGGCTCATCAGCGGCACGCTCGGGAGTGTGCGACACAGGAGCTGGAGGAGGAGCAGAAGAGTCCACGGCAGGGATGTCGGAGGAGGCCGAGGCAGAACCAGGCTTTCTCAAAGACAGGGCGCGCCAGTGCAACATCAACAGCAGTCTGCAAAGCATCGGCAAGCTTGCGACACATTGTTGGCTGGTAGGCAGCAGCCGCGGCCGAGCGCGAGCCAATGCGAGGGGATTGGCCAACCAAAGGCAAGTGAAATGAATGGCCGGGGCACCTGATGCTCAGCATTTCACACAACTCGGGATGAGTAACCTGGAGCCTGGTTGCTTTCTTAATTGGGGTGAGTCGGCCGTGCTGGTTGGGAAGTCGAGCACCAACAGCACACAGGTCAAGGGTGGCAGCCCAACCAGAAATTCCACGGAAGGCTGGCGTCCTCCAAGCAAGACTTGTCTTAGGATACTCAATCACTGCGACATGACCTGTGGACAGCTGGAAGTCGAACACACGACGAGACAGCTTGAGGTGGCTTGCATGGTGGAGCTGGCGGTCTAGCTCCAAGATTTCTTGCTGGTAGCTGTCACTGGAAGTCAAGTTCTGGAGCGGGGACCACAACAAGGGACACGGAGGCGCCAACCACACAACATGCGGGCGCTCATGGTGCAACAAGTTCAAGAAGCGGCGGCGCTCGGAAGGCTTTGTAAAGTCCCACTCAGGAAGGTCAAACGTGCGAACATCAAAACCACGCCGGGTCATCTCAGCAGACAAGTTGCCAGTGCCAGAATAAACTTCCCAAAACACAGGCGGTGTGGCAGGTGAGGACCACAGGGCTTCCTCCAAGGCCTTATTGGTGGCATTGACTGCCTGGCGAGCGGACACCTCCAAAGACTTAAGAAGCTTAGGCGTTACGGGCGAAAGGACAGGAGCATGAACGCTAGGGTCGACACTTGTTTCGGCAGAAGGAGAGTCCAAGGCAGTGGCACTGTCGGCATCGGGCGCCGAGGCGGTGGGGAAGGCAAGGTCCACGTCAGGGCCCTCACGGCCCGCATCAGCAAGGTAGTCGGCAAGAGTGAGGAGCGGCAAGCGCGGGTCACACGGGGATGCCAGGGTAGCCAACTCCTCGGTCACAAGGTCAAAGGCCAACGGCTGAAGAACTGAGTCGGAGTCAAGGCCTTCGTCAAGCTGCAACATGAACTCACCACCAGGGCCAAGCAAAGCGGCGGTCGGTTCACCGCCCAACACACTGCAAAGGTCAAGTTCAAAGTCGGTTCTGACTTGCAACGCCTTAAGGATAGGCCGGCCAACGAGCAGAGGCGTGTCGCCCTCAACGATGAAGACTTGAAGTCGTCCGGGCACTCCACGCACAAACACAGGCAAGTGCACGGACCAGGTAGCAAGGGCTGTGTTGTCACCACCAAACCTGAAGCAACGGTTTGCACGGGAGAAGGCAAGGTTGGCTGGCGACACGCCTTTTGAAAGCAGGTGGCTTATGGCTTGCATAACGGGACGGTGGCCACCCAACATGGCGGAGGCTCCGCCGTCTTGCTGTGCAACAAGGTTGCCGTCCTCAGTGACAACCAAGGCAGCATCAACAGCATGGGCCAAGTCCAAGGCACAGGGCAAGTCGGCGGCAACGTGCACAGTGTCCCGAGGACGCTTTGAAGGACTTGAAGCAACGGAGGGGCTGGAGCTAGGTGGCATGGGGCACTGCGATGCCCAATGGCCAGGCTGACCGCAACGAGGGCAAGTGGTGGCCTTTGCACGGGCAGCGGCTTTGCCAGAGTTTCCCTTAACAGGGGGACTACGACCCTTAGAAGAACCCTTACTCTTAGACTTACCCCTACCCTTAGGGCGGCTACTGGGGCCTACAGGGATCTGAAGAGAAGAGGGAGAGGAGTCGGCAGAAGGAGCAAGAGCGACCACGGGAAAGAAGCCTCGGGAGGCCTTGACATCCGCGAGACGGCGGCGAGCGTCTATGTACGAAGCATAGGCCTCTTCATAGGCCTCGTCGTCATCCTGGGCGATGTCCTCATAGTAAGCGTACTCGGTCTCCTCAGGCTCAAGAGCGTCCAGGTAGCTGTCGTCCTGCCACTGAGCGTCCTCCTCATAGACCTCAAAATCCTCGGCCACGAAGGCGGTGTCATCGTCGCCGTCCCAGTCGGACCAGGTCTGCCCATCATCCGCCAGATGGGCCGATCCATAAGATCGGCGCCATGTGCCGGATGAGGCAGACTTTGAACCACCACGGTGCCAGGTTCGGGTAGGCGGCTGTCGAGCTGCAGCTTTGTGGTCCTGGCCCAAAAGGAAAAACATCGACTCCTCGATCTTGTCAGGGGTCAGCTTGGCACCGACCTGGCTCAGGATCAGCTGTTTCTGCTCGGGCGACAAGCCCGATTTCTTAAGCAAGATATAGCCCTGCACTTCGCTGGGCAAGGCAATGCCGTGTTTCTCAAGCTCACGAACGGCATCCCTAGCCTCTCCAGTGTACTGCAAGAGCGTCTGGTCTGGGCGGCGCTGCAGAGCATAGAAGTACTTGTCTATAGCACGGGGCATTTCAACCCGATTGTCGTAGCGGAAGGCTTTGTCCAGTTCTGCCAATACCAAATCAAAACCATTTTCTTTGTCGGGGGCCGTCTCCGAAAGATGCTCAACCCTGGCCCACGCTGTACCGGTGAGCGAGGTCAGCAGGTTTATTGTAGCCTCAGACGTGCGCTTCAACAGCTTCATCTTCTTGAAGTACAACATCAAACGCTGTCTGTACTCACGGTAGCTCGAGGGCTTGTTGTCAAAGACAGGTATGTAGTTGTCACGAACAAACTCAGCAGAAGTACCTGAAGGGCCAGCAGAGGGCGCGGAGGGAGAAGCCATGGCGTCGGAAGGCTAACAGAAGGACAGGGACAACGGCCGGAGAACACTGCAGACGCGTGCCCACGGCGGCACAGCGCCGGTTGGCTGGCAAGGGAAAAAGCTATCGGTAGCAATGTGGAATCTGCAGCGAAGGGGGCTGTGGAAATGCCGAAGATGCAGTCGCGGTCGTTTTCCTCGAAGAAGCGCTCCGGCTTCGAAATGTGCAGCTCCGCTGCAGGATATGCCTATGGCACGACGGAGAATTGACACCTAAGGTGTCTGAGAATCGCTACACGTAGCTCAAAGGAAATCTGGCCAAAGGCATGCCTGCGGAAAGCGCGAGCGATGTTCACAAGCTCTCACATCTTTGCCATGATCACAGCTGTAGTTTACAAACTCGCCTCCTGATGCGACTGAACTGACATACCCCAAAAACCATAAACGGAAGCTGTGATCGGGGCAGGATTTGGAGAAGTCGGATCTGTCATCCCTGTTGCTGCTCTCCGCCGTTTGGCGGACAACAGAGCTCCACTGTACCGGAGCCTCCACGTTCCTGTCACAAGGAACTTCCGCAAAACATCCTGCTTCTGAACCTTTGTCAATCCGTCAGCTAACTGATGATCTGAGTCACACCAGAGCACTTCCGTATTCTGAGCCTTGAGATGTTGAAGCAAAGCGAGAAGCTCCAAGGAGGTGTACTCGTCACGCATGTTGACACCGATCTCGCCCTTTTGGATGGAGTCATAGAGAGCCTTAGCGTCAATGACCAAGTAGCCAGGGACCGACTTCACTGCCTCAGATGTCTTAGCCAAATTGACTTCGTAGCCTGACATTTCCGCCCATTCAAGACGACACCACATCAGGTCTTGCTCTGCATCAGCAAGGGCTTGCGTCTCTGCAGCGAGACTGCTGCGAGCGACGCGGGATAGTTTTCCGCTTCGCCATGAGATGGAATTCACTTTTCCATAGCCTTGCTTTGCCGCATCCACGTGCATGGCCCCGATGATGCATCCTCCTGTGCTTGTCATATCCGGACGATTCGCAAGCGCAGCGTCGGACCATGCAATGAAGCATACATCTTGCATGGACTTCGCTCCTAAGGATTGAACATTTGTAGAAACATCTCGTCCTGCATATACTTCACGGCATAATTTGTTCACTGTCGGAATCATGCTGGCATCACGTTGTGCAATCATGGATTGCAGCATGGAAAGCTTAGATGCATGTTGAGGGGCAGTTTGAAAGACACGCCACTGCACTGAACCCAAAATCGCTCGGACTTGACTCACCTCAGACTCGGTCATCTTACGATCCAAGTTGCCACGAACCTCTATCTGCTTCAGTTCCCGACAGAACTCGCTATGGTCCAGAGTGAAGGAGCAATCAGCATGTTGAGATACAGAGACACCGCAATGCATGAAGGAGTCATGTTCCCAAGGAGTCCATGAGTATTTTGCATGAAAACCCTCCAAAAAGGCTATGTAGGCTTCATCATTCTCATCTCCACCCATTAGGAAATCATCAACATGACACGTCACCAGGCCAACTACGACCTTCTTGCCGTTGACGAGCTTGGTGATCCGCCAAACGCATGGATCAGTAGTCAACCTCTCGCCTCCCAGCCGTTCAATGGTGTGATGAACATCATCATACCACTCTCTGGGAGCCGAACATAACCCATAGCACGATTTCAGGAGAACAACTGCCTGCTCTTCACTGACTCCCAAAGCGGTCGCCAGTTCGGGAACTGGCAGCGCGTGGATGCCTCGAGCAGCTTGCGGTGATTCGGCCTGCAAGAAGGCGGATTTCACGTCGCCTTTAAGAACCCGCCAAGAGTTCACACTACAAGCGTTCAAGAACAGTTGCCTGCTCAACCTGCTCATCGTCGGCGACGCGGTCTGTAACTCGAGGAGAGACGGGTCGCTATAACCGAGTATGACGATTCTAGCCTTGGCTTTCACCCTTGAAGGGTCCGCAGTACCCTTAAAGGTGAGCACCCAACGCATTTTGAGTAGCTGCTCCTTGGGGATGACCTCCTCAGCTGCTTTGCACGCAGCAGTCGCCAACCATTGCCGAACTTCTAGTTGTTTTGCCTCGTTCATGGCCTGCTTCTGTTGGACGTTGAGTTTGTGCCAGCTGACCTCTATCCCCTTTTGCACACCTTTTGCCACAAATTTTGAGGGACATTTCACAAGTTTCCTCCATTCCTGCTCGTCTCGCGGGGCATCAATCTCCACGGCAAAGACATGATCTTCACATTCCTGGGATGTCATGATTGACGCTGAGGCCGAACCCCGGGCCCTCGAAGAAGTTGAAGACCTTGCAGTCTGTCCCTTGGGCAAGTACGACGGATCGTTCAGGAGCCGGTGCACATCCACGTCTTCCTTCAAGAGATCCCCTAGGACAGGAGATCTCTCCCTTTTGCGAGGCCGATCATGTTCTCCAGCTGGTATCAGTTCCTCCTCAGAAGAACCAACTTCACCTTGTCCTTCTTCGCGTGGCTTGACTGGCAACCTCGGGGGAAGATAAGGAGTCTCTGGCTCTACAGGCTCCTCCAGTTCTTCTTCACGTCGCTGCCTGTCCGATGGTCGGGGAGGAAGCTCTCGGGGCACATCCACTTGGCGAGCTGGGGTACGCGATCTTAAACCTCTGCCATGTCTCTCGTCTCTTCGAACAGGGCGAAGGGAAGTTTCATCATCGAATTGTCCAGAACCAAGGAGAGATGTCAGCGACGACAAGGTCCATGGGAGTGACATTTGTCCCGAAGCATTTGCAATAAGCCGTTCATTTTCGGATGCATGTCTCAGCTGGGAAGAGTGCGTCTTCTTCAGGCGACCTTGGGATATGATCCAGATGTAATGTCCTGCCTTCCGGGTGGCTCCATGATCCTCAACCCGAGTCTCAGCAGCCAGTACTCGGCCTGGACCACACCATCGCCCGACGTTGACACGAGCGCGGTCGATGAGCATGTTGGCTCCTCCTTCAGCTGGTGGCTTGATCCGCCGGTAGAACACCGTGTCCCCCGGCACGAAGGTAATGCTTCGCCTCGTCCGTGCATTCACAGCTCGAGAGAGCATATCTCGCTCCCTTTGCTGCTGAAAGGCTTGTTCAGCCCTTTTCCGAAGCTCAAAATGATCTCGCATAGAACTTGGCTCTTCAGCTGTGGCATTCTGCATGGCAACCCAATCTCCAGGTCCATCGACCGCATGTCCTCCAGGAGCCAGGTCACGACCCACAGCCCATTGTAGAGGGCTGAACCCGTGATTTCGGGCCAGAGAGTTGTGCGCAGCTGCCATCGCATACGCGGCCCGAGTAGGATCAGTCGGTTCTTGTCGAAGGAAAGCTTCCATTTTGCTTCGCAAGTACCCTATCTCTCTTTCCACATCACCGATAGCGGCATGGAGCTCGGCAGGCACATGCTCGAGGACAATTCCTCTCTCAGCACACCACAGCGCCAACGAGGTTCCTCGGAAAGCTCCTTCAGGATCCAGCTTGATCGTATTTGGCATTCCAAAGTACTGGCACCAGGCCTTCTCAAGGACATCAATCACACTCACGGTGTCCATGTTCTCGGCCGAATCCTTCGAGTGCACATTCATCTCGTGGATCACCGCATAACCGGATGCCTCGTCCATCATGACCAAGTAGTGGTAGACCTTGTCTTCAAACTTAAACACCATGCCATCAAGCTGGAGAGTGTGCCACAACGTGTCCGACTTGTTCAGGTTCACGGCCGGAGCAGGAAGTTTACTTTGTCCTTCATGGCACTCGCTACATTTGTACTGTTGCGCTGCCGCCAGCAAGCGATCATCCGCGCCACGGGCCCGAAGATTCTTCACCAACAAATGGGACGAAGGATGCCCCAATTTCCGATGAAGCTTTGCCACCACATCCATCACAGCCTGAAGTTCTTGCGTCGTCATGGTTCTCAACACGCTTTCATCCACCACATAGGCTTCCGACACCTCATGCTGAAGGGCCATAATGCACGCCGCACACGATGTCAAACATGAGGCCGTGGTCGGACCTTCGGCTCGGCCTTGTTTTGCCACTGCCACATCAACCATCTTCAGGAGATCTGAATCAGTACATCTGATCTTGTGACCCTGTGGGACCTTGATCTCAGTCCACCCATCCTTTTCTCGTTGATCATGCCAGAAAGATCTAGACTCCCAATAGTTCCACGAGGGACTTTCAGGGAGTATATCCCAGATCACGTGGCCACCTTGTTCACGCACGGTTTGTGAGACCATCAAGCAATGACGCACAACCTTGCGGTGACGATGTTGGGATTTGATCTTCTTCTGGTAAGATGCCTGCTCATTGTCAGCCATCGATGTCAAGGATTTTTCCACTTGGCCTGCTGGGACATGAAGCCATACATATCGAGGTTTCAGCTCCTTGATGGTATCGCAAAGCTTTCGCATGCCGCCCTTCGTTGTCATATCGAAGCCGTTGTGTGTTCCAGCCTCAAAGACTTGCCCACCTTTGGACTGAACCACCAGACTCAGAGGACTAGACATGGGCCCCATCGCCTCCAGTAGATCTGTACGAACCTGTCGGCAAAAGGGCTGCACATCTGCCTGCACATCCTTTTCATGGTTCTCGAGCGCATTCACAAGGAAGGCCTTATCGGCATCAGGGAGGACATACTGGATGGGCATCATGTCTCCCCCTTCATCACCCGCTTCAGTTTCCAGCACCTCTTCGATCTTTTGGCGGCGCTTCTTAGCAGGCGGTAAGGGAAATTTTAAGGCCTTCAGGTCATGCCGGACTCCATCAGGGATGCGATCTTGGCCTCGAGATGTATATGCCAGAATCGCCAGGCGGTCACCAGTCCACTCACTCGTTGCATGAAGTTGTCGAGGTCGGAATCCGACGCACCGATGGCGAGTCTCAACTCGATGCCCAAGTGCCTTCGAACCATCCGGCTTCGATCTCCAACTCAAGACGCTGGGATCCTCGGGATTGAAGGTTTCAGAATGAGCTTCAAGCCACAAATCTCCTCCAGTATAGGATCCAAGTCCGAGAAGCCAATTCCAAGACTCATCTTGGTTGTTGCTGTCAGTGTGCGGAACAGCCTTCATATTCAACGCAATGCTGATGGAAGTCCATGTTTGGCCTGCGGGTAGATGAGCACTAAGGAATGCATTCAAGTACTCACAGAGGCGAGGCCTTCTGATGGTGATTTTGGTCTGACCCACAATTCCTCCATGAGTGAACAAGCCAAGGACTGCCACCCAGGACTCAGCACGTTTGGATTGCAGGATTGACCGACTTGGACCTGGAGCTGAAAGATCAGCACCACGCAGCAGACTTTCACATGCCTCAAAAGAGTAGTTCTTAGTGGCCAAGAGACTTGCTGCCAAGGCCTCAGACTCAGCCTGCTGGAGATTGTAGGCCTCCTCAACCGCCAGCGCATCAAAGTCCTCTACTCCTGTCGACTGGCATACTCCAACTCTTCGGCCGCTTGTTCTCGAGGCTTCTTGCGTCCCGGAGCGGCGTTCATCTCGTCCACATTGATCACCGGCGGTGGCGGGGACGCTGTCGGCAAGACCTCGTAGCCTGCCAGAGATGATGCTGCGCTGGTGGGACTTCTGGCCACTGTAGCTACAGGAGCCTCCGTCATGGTTGCAGCCTTCGGCTTCACTTCCTTTGCCTTGAGAGCTCTCACCTGGGCAAGGCGTTGTTCCGCCGACCTCTCGGCTGCATCCAGTCCAATCGTGCGATCCTTCAGGTTGATGTTCTCTTCCAACTTCTCGCCCTTGGCCTGGATCTCGTGGATTTGCTTCTGGGTGTCCGAGCTCAAGGGGCCGGGCGAGCGATGCAGGGCATGTGCTCCGGTACGAGGAACATACAGCAACCTCAGGGAGCACGTGCGGCAAACGCGCCACATTGCGTGGGAGTTGGCCCCGGATTTGGACCCTCGTCCCGGTGGCTGAACCTCGTGGTTGGAAAAGCACGGTGCCCCCACTGCTCGAGGATCCTTGGCACTGCGGACTGTAGTTGATGACTCGTCCAAGGAAGACGCCATCTCGGCTGCCAACACTTGCTCCTTGATCTTCTCGATCTCGGAGGCTGCCGCCATGAGAGTGAAGCGCAGCAAGAGTGAGCAGGGGAAGCAATGTCGCAGGGCGCATTGATGTTCGAATTTCTCGAGCCTCAGTGCCATCGGGATGTGCATGGTGCTCATGCGCCACAGCAGTCACGTGTACATCACTGTCAGCAGGGGGACCATGTCTTGCATCACGAAGGCTGACATGAACCGCATCACACTGTGCTTCATGAGGCTGAGCGGGCGCTTGCACTTCCTCTCTGATCACTGCAAAAACTGGGCTTGCATCTTCAACGAAATTTTGCTCTTCTTCGGGCTCCTGGAGAATGTGTGAAGGTATGGAGTCTAGCCGGAACCCTTGCTCAAGCCAGTCACGGGCCAGGTTGAGGAGAAGATGTCCTGACCGGCTCTTCTGAAGGGGTATTCCTAAACCAGGATCCACAGCAGCGAACACGGCTATACTGCGGTTGGTGTCGATGATGGCTTTCATCTTGTTTAGGGTTCGGATACCGATCAAGATGGGGACACGTTCCACATCGAGGGTGAAGATGCCTAACCGCAGATGCAGAGACCCAACAGTCTGATTCAAGAGAACATGGCTAGTCGCGTGCTCACACAAGCCGTTTCCGAATCGGAATCTCCTTCCAGGATTGGCGCGAACTTCAAGCTCCTCAACAGACCCTTGAATCTCAAACCGCTTCTGCAATAGAGACTCAAGCGCAGGGAGGCTCCCGACGGTCTCCGTAGCGCCGGTGTCGAGCACTGCGAACCCTTCCATCTCAGGACTCGATCCAACGAACTCACCGTTGGGCACTGCTGAGGCGAACGTGTAGTCGGGATCGATCTCGTGCTGATACTCCGCGCCATCGCTGATCATGTACACCGGGGCATCGTCAATGAGGAAGGATCGAGAGCCACCCTTGACGCCGCCCTTGGAACCCTTCGAGCGAAGCCTCTTGGGACAGTCACGGAATGCATGACCCTTATCTCCGCAGATGAAGCAGCCACTGAAGCTTGGATCTCCAGGGACCATTGCCATGATGTCTGTGGTGTGCATTACTGAGCCATTGGTCAAGGAGGTAGAAGAAAAAGAGGATGAAGACACGCCTTTCCCTTTTCCTTTTCCTTTAGAACCCTTACCTTTACCCTTAAACCTAGGCTTACCCTTGGACGATGGAACAAAAGGATAAAAGCCACGGCTCAAGGTCTTGGCTTTCATCGCCTGGCGCGCCTCCACGAAGGATCTTTGCTTGGCCTCGGCTGCTGCGAATGCCTCTGCCACTTCTTTCTGCTGTTCATCAGGCAGCTCTGCCATGAATGAGGATTCATACGCAGTCCAGGACCAATAGATCCCATGGTCATCATGGTGGTAGAACTCGCCATCGCCGCCATCCATCCACCAAGACCAGCTCCCGTCTGTCACTTGATGCCAGAAGCCACTGGAGTCTTGATAGCTCCCATCATCCATGCCACTGGAGCTCTCATAGACTTGCGACGGAAGCTTCGCGCCTACATGGAAGATCTCTGTGTGCTCCAACATTTCACCAATTTCATCCTCGTCGGCAAGCACCATCGCCCATTCACCATTCTCCTCCATCCAGAAGGTCCGACGGGGACGCTGATGAAGAGCCTGTCGGCGCTGCTCGTCTTGAGTCAACTCTTCCTCCATGCCTCGCATCGCGTGCTCCACGTCTTCAAAGCGGAGGCTATTGCCCGCCGAGGCCTGCACAGCCAGCCGAGCAGCGGTGCTCAGACCTGCTCTACGAAGAAGAAGCCAGCCTAAGACTTCGGACGGTAGCACATCCTCCATGATCTCCTCGTAGGCATCCCACATCTGAAGATCTTGAAGGGCATGCTCCGAGTCTTCAGAATCGCTCTCCTGTCTCCGGAAGCGACGTGACTTGCTGGATCTCCCGAGGCCTTTTGCTTCCAGTTCTTTCTCAAGGTCATCGTCAAACTCAGCCTCTCCCTCATCTTCGCCAAGACGCGAAGACTGCCCGCCGGGAGAAGTCTCTTCTTCAGGCAGCGGTTCTTCTTGAGTCTCTTGACTTCGGCGCCGAGACGAAGGAGCAGAGGAGTGAGACTCTCCAAGGGCCGTACGTCCGCTGCCGCCAGAGACGCCATACTTGCTTTCAGCTGCCTTTCTCGCACGAAAGAGGGCAATCTGGACCTTGCGATAAACTTGCCGCACCTGAGTTGCCCACGAGGCAATCGAGGTGCCGGGCTGTCGCCGAAGGCGGATCATCAGATCCTCTAGCCTCAGGCCCACGTCTGGAATGGCTGTCCTGCCCAACCGTTCCCTCAAGAATCGAAGGAGGTATATGACTCCATCCCTTCTCACCAGGGCTCTGTGGTCGACCTCCTGGGTCACCACCCACGCACGCCCTGACAGCTGGCTCACCAGCTCAGGTGCCAGGCGGTGGCGATTTCGACGCCTTGTCTTTTCGAACAGCAAGCGGACCCGCCGAACATAGTCCGGCCATGAGGAAGCATCGCCATTCCAGGGGCAGGACTGAAAACGGTCCTCTTTGGAATCAGCCATCACCAGCAACAGGATCTCTCAACGGTTCTGCAGGACAAAACTTGCACTGAAACGAATTGAAAAAGGTGAAGCACGACCTCCGCCGGCCTGGACTCTTTGCTCTCGTCTTGAACAGATCAGATCCAACACTGGTGCTTCTCAGCGAAGATGTCAGAAAGCAGAATCGCGCAGCGGTAGCCTCAGGAACCCTTTCTCGGGCTCCGCTACCAATATCGGTAGCAATGTGGAATCTGCAGCGAAGGGGGCTGTGGAAATGCCGAAGATGCAGTCGCGGTCGTTTTCCTCGAAGAAGCGCTCCGGCTTCGAAATGTGCAGCTCCGCTGCAGGATATGCCTATGGCACGATGGAGAATTGACACCTAAGGTGTCTGAGAATCGCTACACGTAGCTCAAAGGAAATCTGGCCAAAGGCATGCCTGCGGAAAGCGCGAGCGATGTTCACAAGCTCTCACATCTTTGCCATGATCACAGCTGTAGTTTACAAACTCGCCTCCTGATGCGACTGAACTGACAAAAGCAGCCTCAAGTCCACAGTGGTGAGGCAGAGATAAGGCAGCAGCCGTGTGCACACACACACACACAAACTTGCACAATGGCAGGCAGAGGACAGAGCCGAAAGGGGCGAAGGTCAGGAGCGAGCGCAGCGGCAGCAGGGGCCAACACCAAGGGGCCTGGGTCCGGAAAAGGCGGAAGCCGGGGCGACCGGCTCCGCTGCCAACTTTAACTTACGGCCAAGCTGGGTGCAACAGAGAAGGAGAAAAGGGCACACAGCGAAAATGTGGCAAGGCGGCGCACGAGGTCCGCACACGTAAGAGAGCTTTTTGTCAGCGAGCGTTCCTTGCTCGGGATCTGCGTAGCCGGTTGGCCTAGCTAAAGCTTAAGCTTGTCCCACCCTGCCCAAGCCACAACAGCGACGGCGAGAGCTCCTTGCTTCAGGGCTTGTGCAGGGGAGGTTTTCGGGACAGAAAATCCACACTTAGAGTCTGGCAGCTGAACATAAAAACCACTGTAAACCACCCTTACAAGGACACTTTGAAAGAGAGCATCTGCATCTAGGAGCTGCATCATGCCTGTTTGAAAGCCAAAACTCAGAGGGCACGTTGAACCTGTCAGATCTCGACAAGCCCGGCATCATGATTTCTTCCGTCATGAATACAGTCTCAGCAGAAGTGTTTTTTTCTTCATGGGCATGGGGCTCAGAACATGGCGGACCAGGCGGGGAAAATCAAGATCCTGGCATGCAGAGCCTACCCACACCCTGCTCATAATCTTGCGGCGACGTCGACTGAACAATTCAGCGGATTCCACTTGGCCGATGCCCCAAAGGACTTGACCTTGCAGCATTTTGGAAATCACAGCCACTTGCTTCCTATTCCCACCCATGTACAAGTAGATACCACCAGCCTTACATTACAAGCGCGTAAGTGAAGAAACAATCTTGCCGTCTGCCATGATGCCATGGCCAGACAAGCTGGCAGTGTCCGTAAAGTCTACAAAGACCCAGAACCCTAAGCCAGAGAAAACGCAGCAACGCTCCTCAAGCTGCCTGGACATGAGGACATCTTCTGCTACATGACCGAAATCTGTACGCAACATACCTGAGAGCGCAGCTGTCTCGACGTGAGTATTCCACTGCCTGTGCACGCGTTTCCCGCCTGACCCCTCCACAACAAAAACAAAAGAAGTTGAACCCTATGCCCAGTGCTTAACCCCTTTCCTCAACAGGAATATGGAAGTCACAGTCATCAAAGGCAAGGGTCTGCGAGCAACGATAGCAAATTCTAGCAGCGTTTACTGTGGGACTAGGTCCCAGGGGTTGCAGGGTTGAGGATGCCGCGAGCAGGTATGACCGATCCCCGACTCAGAAGTCATATCTACACCCACCACACCGCAGAGATGTGCACAAGCTTCCCCTTGACCCTAGATGCCCTAGAAGCCCTCTCTACATGCCCTCGACATTTCTACATGCCCTACATGACCTAAAACGTCTGAAAGCCGCCAGGCCTAAAGTTCTCTTTTCCGGGAATTTCGGCATCGCTGGGTAGCGGCTTGTCCTCCTTGTCGAGGAGCTTCCTCGTGTTGTGCTATTTCGCGTTTAGGGTCGTAGGGTTTAGGGTGCGGGGCTTGGGGTTTAGGGTTTCGGGTACAATCTCGGATCTGGGAGGACGCGGAGACAGGGCCGAACAAGGAAAACCAAAACGGCTCCAAAAACAACCAAATGTTTGGACAGTTAGACAAGCAAAGCAAACCAAGAAGTCCGAGCCGCTTAACTTGGCTGTAGATGCGAGGAGCCTTGCGGACCTGATCCCGAACGAAGCTCCGCAGCATCTCCTTGGAACCGGACAAAGGGGGTGATATTTTTGCCGCTGGTTTGCGACTGTTTATATCCCTCGGTCTCGTGTCGAGTACCTCCTCAGGACACAACATGCAGGGGGAGGGCGCAGCGGGCGTACTAGCAGTCGGGATGGACACGGACACACGGCCTGCATCCCATCCACGACTCAGAAAACCCAAAGCGTCTTCTCAGAGGAAAAGGCAAAGTAACATCCCAAGAAACACGCCATCATTGGAAAGCGTCTTTCTGAAAATGCTGGCAAAAGTGCGTGAAACACCAGCTCTGCGCAAAAAGACACGCGTTTAGTCCACGGCCGCAGCGCTGGAGTGACCCTCATCTAACTCAAGAGACTCTATTAAAAAAAAAAACATGTGTATATAGGAATATATGTGTGTATATTAGTATGAAAATTTTATTCATATTAGTATGAATATTTGTATTTAACAATATGTACTTTGGTGCTTGCGCAACTGTTGAGATGCGGCCCCGACACCAAGGTGGAGGCCTCGACGAAGCGGATGCTTCTTGCCCGGCGATCGAAGTCGAAGGTGCGGTCCGTGAAGACCCGGCTGAAGCGCTTCGCCTACAAGGAGGGTTGCCAACGTTTCTGTACCGGATAAATGGATAAATAAATGAATCAGACGAGGGGGAAGATCTTTCGGGTAAAAAACTCAGGAGGCCTCCTCGGCGATGTTCTTAGGCTTCAGCCGCAGCTCTGAAAGCAGACCGGCTTTGCAGGTCTCGAATTCCTGGCAGTCAGTAGTGTTATGATTGTTGCTATAGTCACTATTGTTGCTATTGTTATTCTTGTTACTCTTGGGATTATTGTTACTACTGTTACCATTGCCATTATTGATACCATTGCTACTATTGCTATGTTGTCCTCTATTATTCGAATCTTGTGACTATTGCGATTTGTATTCTTACTGCTTTTAGTATTGTTATTGCATTTTTATTCTTATTCTTGTCATTCTAGGGCTTTAAATGGCGCTGGGCGGCTTCCCATGGCTTCCCCAGGGTTTTGGCAAGGGTTTTCACAAGGTTTTCCAGCCCTGCTCCTCGTCTGTCATGGTCTCTTCCACAAAGGAGAAGTGCTTATCGAGGAACTTCTCCATACATCCTCTGACATAATTCGGATTGAACTCCGTCTGAATGAAAGCAAGCAGATAGGGTGCCATCACTGGCACAGATGCCACCAGATGTACCTTGGCTCACTTTGCTTCTACGGCGCCCTCGGCCTTCGCGCAATTTTACAGACCTACAAGAAAGCTGCAAAAAGCATCCCAGGCACAATGTATCCTAGCTGTTGCTGCGTGCGCAGCAGGTCAAAGAACTTCGACGATATCGCCTTGTCTAGAAGAAAGGTCCTTAGCTGCGCCCAAGCGCGGCACTGCAATGTAAAGTGCCTCGGCTGCTAACCTGAACTTGCCCAGGTGCAACATCTCATTCTCTAATCCACTCTGCATCTGAATCTTCAGGAACACCGCATGGTTGGGGTCTTCGGCATCCGTGCCTCTGATGAGACGAGTTCGGCTCTATTCGGCGATTACGATCATAAGCGTCCAAAAGACATCCAGGAAGCCTGGAGTTCAGACACAAGCGGCATTTCCGTAAACATGTTTGTACATCGGTAGTGCGTGGCCATGCGTGGCCCACAGGTTCAAGTCCCCTGTGTTTGTTGAGATGTGTTTATGCCTCATTGCAAAGAACTGTGCATCGAGATGAAGGGGCTTTAGTCTGAAGATCTTCGTGGGTCTTTTGAGGGCTTTGGGAGATGGAATGCGCAGTCAGGTACTGTCCAGCTCCCAGAGAGTGGCTCCATCAGGGAGACAAGCCTCCGCGCGTGTCGGCAGCACTGGAAGCGCCTGAGCTTCCCTAAACATCCCTAATCTGCCCCCCCCAACTTCGAACATGTCTACCAAGGAGCCCCCTATCGCCGTATATAGCGCATACAGCACGAAGAGGTGACTTTGTGAAACATCCAACTAAACATCTGCAAAAGCCCCAAAGTATCGCAGTCTCTCAGGCCAGGGCCTTGCGGAGGTTGAGGCCCTGGGTCCGGAATCAAAGGGCATTCTTATAAGAAAGACTTGGGAAAGGGGAGACTGTGGGGTTCTCAGGCCACGCTGTGTCCAAGCTGCCTTTCACTCCCTTCCCCCGAGTACCCGGGCCGCCATCAGCTTCGAGGAAAGAAGTCGGGCGTCGTCGGCCGTGAGATTTCCCAGCATCAGGGACTGGGCAGCGATCTTGATTCATGGAATTCATCAGACCAGTGAATGAAAGGTTCTGTTACTTCTGCAGAGAACTTCGGTCTACTTTTAGCTATGTGAGGCAGCCTCTACATGAGCGCCGCCCGCGAAAAACTGCTCCACGAGGCCTGAGCTGCGCCAGTCTACTCGAAAGAATAGAACCGAATGACTTGGATCATGCAGTGCCATGCAAAATTCCGCATTTCTGCTGTGGGGTCAAGATTCCTTTCAAGTCAGCGCAAGTGATCTTGTCGAACGCCTCAAGCCGTTGGTAGGCCTCAAGCCGTCATTGCGCAAGCAAGTGTATCAGCCTGTCCCAGCACAAGCCTCCACAGGCACTATGTTTTCGCCGAGTCACCGGGAAGGACGTCCCACGCATCGTCAGTTCATCCAGGCGCAAGTTGCTCTGCACGTACGGAGGTGAATGAAAGGCCTGCCGCGAAACGGCGAAAAGGAGTTGCAGAGGATTGTACAGGGCAATCCCGCAGCCACGCCAGCCCTGCAGCAACAACTGAACTGACCAGAAAAAGAAACGTCTTTCAGCTAGCTCTGGCCTGGTTCCGGAGATCATCTCCCATGCCGCTCGCCTTGGCAGATCCTCTGCAACCCACACTGTCAAGGATGCGGAAAGCCGACATAAGACAACTGAGCCGGTCACCACGATGGAAAAGATCTGCTCTGGAACCTCTACCATGGAGACCATCTTTTCGGTGACTGCCTCATGCTGCGGATCATGCTGCGATCATGCTGCGCTCTCGCGTGGCCCATGGAGCCTCTAGCAGGCTCCATGGCTACGGCACGGCTGAAGGTCGTCAAGCTACATCAAGAAGCACGTGCAGCTTGTCATTGTAGCCTGCAAGCACCTGGGCGCTTGGTACTTGCCGACACTCGATGGAACATGAAACCTTTGCTTCGGTTGACGCACTTTCTCAGAGACCCTTTCAAACCGATCCTTTCGGAGATGTTTTCAGATGCTGTCTGGCCTACGCCAAGGATGCGGCAAGTCGCAGGCATGCAGAGCCTATTCCAAGCCTCGGATGGAAGAGGGGCTCATACCGCGCGGAAGCCATTCAAGCCAGGCAAGCCCTCATATTGCACCAAGTCTCGAGTACTCGACTCCAGCAACCTCCGCGTCGTAGGCGTACTCCTGAAGAGCCTCGGGCCAAACAAAGAAGAAGAAAAAGTGCGAGGCTCTTCAGTGTTTCACTTGTGTTTCCGAGGGCATCGGGACATTTCTCTGAGCCCCTGGATGTCCCTGGGCCTCCTCCACACATCGGCACCAGAGCTCGGTCTTGGTGTAGTTCGCCGGATCCTCAGAAATTTTGGCGAGTGGATTCTGTGGGCTTCCGGTTCCATCTGGGCTCTGAGGTGTTGAAGTTTTCAAGTGCCCGCATCACACCTGAAGATAAACTCCAAAGCCCACCTGCGTGAAGAAGGGCGAGTAGATGGAGAAACTGACCCGGGCCTGGAGGACACTCCCAAAACACAGCTCAGCTTAGAGCGTCGTGGAGGCATTCATCAGGGATTCGCAGAGAGGGCGCATGCCTTTAATCACAACGTGTAGAACCTGCCCAGATGCTTACCAACCTTAACTCTTTGGATCCCAATGGCCTTTGGCTGCTTGAATGTGTCGTCTTGCTTGTGAAAGACGCACATCATGGGCTCCGTGCCCTTCAAGAGCACTGGTAAGGCCTGCGAGCACACGAGCTTGGACGACTCGCACCCTCTGCCCTCCCAAACCTAAACCGCCCCCCCCCCCCCCCCCCCCCCCAAAAAAAAAAAAAAGGAACCAAAGCGCGCAAGACCGCTTCCACCTGCGGCTCCTGCGGCTGGGGCTTCAGCGATAGATCCTGGCAAGCCATGAAACAACTCCACTCCGGTCGGTTGCAAGTGTAGCGTCAGACTACAGTTGTCCGATATGGGCGACCCTAACATCCCGAAGCCACACACAAACACGTTTTCTGTGGCTAGTTATCAGGCTTTCATGATGGAGCAGAGGTCCTCCGGGATGAAGGGATTCGGCCTCACTCACAAGCAAGCTAGGTACTGGAAACCCATTCATCTTCTGCATGGCGCAATCCCATATCGAATCCCAGCAAAGACATGATGAAAAGTACCTGAAGCAAACACCTTGGCCCTCGAACTCTCAACCTTTGGAAGGGTAAGGCTAGAGCTTCGGCAAGCTCAGCCCAAGCTCGGTAGTGATCTTCTTCGATGCCTTCGACTCAAGGGATCCAGATCTGACGTTGTCCCCGACGATCTGAAGTTTAGCGATTTGTCATATGGCTCGGTTCGTCCCCCCCCCTTGTAGAAGGCCCACGCGAAGCTCTTCTCTCACCCTTCTCCATGGCCCTCTCACGGCGCAGACAGGCATCCAGGAACCCTCACCAAACCCAGGAAAGCTCGATTTAGGGGGGGCTGTTCTGTTGGAATCGTAAGAGACCACAACTCGCAGATCTGGGGAGAACCCCATTCTTGGACCTTCAGCCCGAGGACGTGCGGGGACAAGCTTCCCAATTTTTTAGCGGCTCTATGCTGCAAATGCCCAAGTTTTTGTTCTGGTTTAGGGCGTTGCTGGGAGTCTTTCGGACCAGCTGAAGTTGAGGGTGGGTGCGATTCATTCGAAGAGCCAGCCTCTGCCGTACCGCTCGCATTCATGGCATCTGACCAGGCTTCCTCGAGAAAGAGAGGGTGAGGAATGCTAGAAGGAGCTGTGGCTTTGTCGTCGAGAAATTCTGTGCCTTCTCTTGTGCGTTGTGCATAGTACTAACTTGCAGCTCCACCAGCAAAGGTGAAGAATATGAGCTCCCGACTAACCACTTGGGCTCTATCGGAAGCAGCTGCATTGGAGAGCCTGGGTCTAGTTGTCACCACGCAATGTCCAAGGGTTAACTTAGAACACATGTGCAAACACGAAGCCGTATGAGGTATCCGTCATCGTGCAGCGGTCTGCGAGCTTCTTGGCTTGCACTTGGACCTTGGCTGGTGATGCACAAGGCGCTTCTGGGGAATGCGAATCCGGGTCGCTGGCTCGAACGCTGCCTAAGGACAGCTTGGAGAGCAAGGAGACGATGGCATCTGGATCATACCTCGGAGGGCACAAATAGGGCCTTGTGAGGGCAGACAAACATCACCACATTCGACAAAAATCGATGCAATACACTGAGGAGACGTCTCGTAGAGCATGTAGTCGCCACAAAGCGCTTCTGAGGGCCTTGCAAGGCATCTCAGACCCAAGCGCACGCTTTCGTCTCCAAAGGACAAAGGGGCGTTGAGCCACAATCTGCAGGGTTCCATACAAGCGTGGAGAGGCACCGGAAGCACCTGTATCTGAATGTCTTCTCCCATTTTGGGATCTAAGACCCGAGCGGCATCTTCTGCAGGGTCGAAACAACTTGAGGGCAGAGTGTGAATGGCGAAGCGTCCTAGCTATCTTCTCAAGCACCCCCTCTTGCAATGGTGGCATCGCGCTTGCAAGAGGCGTAACAATTTGGCAAAGCAGAGGGTCCTCTCTGAACTTGAAGCGGATGTCGCCCAACCTCACGATGAAACCAACACCTTACCTGGAAATGCACCAGGGCTTCCTGAGCGGTAGGCTTCTGCATCTCATCGAAGATCCATTTCTCTGGAGGCATCTTCTGCAACCTGAGCAAAGGTTGTCCCCACCTCTTTGCGGATTCTGTTACATTCTGTTGCTACAGATACCAGTGATGGCAGCAACGAGCAGTGGAACCCGGTGAACATGCTCAGGCAGATCGCAACTAGCAAGCCCTTCATCGAACGTGCTGGGCTCCCAGCAGACCGAGGTAGGCAAACAGGTGCTGCCTGAGGGTCCAGGCTATGCTGTGGCGGCATGTTAACCTGTCGTGTCCTCGCAGCTGACAGCATTCTTTGAACCACAATCCCTAAACTGCACAGGTTGGACTTGCAGCCGGACACATTTTGCCGCATGCGGTGACCCCTTCCTCTCCATTCTGAAATTCTTTGATTCGATATGTCTGAGCCAGTTGAGAAATGAGTGATTTCCGAGCCACTGACCCTGAACTCCAAGGCCCTGGAACACCTAAACCACCAGCTCAAATCATCCAACAACTTGGGCCTGCTCTCCAAACTAGTTCATTCAAGATCACAACTTGGAACAGCTTCACAGCGCAAGCAGGACTCTGTCGAAGTTTCTGAGTCTAACCGTCTAACCTGCAGGACGGTGCTTACTCAAGGAGAAAGATGAATGACACTGCCCACTTGGATACGGTGGGGGGAAGGGGCATTGCTACCAGGGCCCGAAAATCACAGAGTTGACTACATGCGCCAAAGCAGAGGTTGCTGATGACGTGCGCGCCTAAGTGCAGAGCGGTGCAGAACCCATCTTTTTGGTCCGAGCGCTCAAGTCTGGCTTCGCTTGGCCCGAGCGAGTTCACCAATTGCCCCCGCCCAGGTCTTTGATTCCCTGCTCCAAGAACCATTCCTCCCAGGTCTTCTTTTGCTTCTTCCTGAGACCGATCCCAGCGATAGAAGCTCTTAAGAAAGTCTTAGATCCCAGACTCATACTGAAAGCTGACCCACCCACAATCACCGACCGGTGGGGCTGGGTTGAGGAGTTGCGGTGGCTTCTCAGATGTCCCTGGGCCATGGGGGCCAGAATCTGCCATCACAGGTAAGCCCCCAATCCCATGGCGACATGAACCCCCCAAACAATCCGTAAGCATCCCCTAGAAAACCTCCAGACTGCCCCCTGCAGACCTTCAGGTGACCCCAGTTGTCGGGTGGGGAATATGGATTTTAAATGTAACACGTGCCGTGCTACCTGATAAGAAACGCGCGACCTAGCACTGACACCGCCGACAGACACGCACGCGACGTCAATCACAGCTCCGCTCCGAGTTTTGCAATGGCCTGAGACTCCCTCGCATGCTGGTGAAGGCAGCAATTGCATACAATTGCCCGCCTGAGCCTCCCGAGCCTGCGTATTCGCGCAACATTTTGGTGCAGTTGCCTGTGGGTTGTCCTGAATGGTGTCCTGCCTGGGAGCTGCATTCCTGTCCTGACGTGATGCCCTCCATTTTGTACTTAAACCCGATCACTCCACCCATCGGGGAAACTTCAACACGGGTTTCCTTTACCTTTTTAGACTCTCGACTCCGGGCCAAGGCGATACCGGTAAAACAACACGACTTTGTGGGGTCTTGAGCTGGACTTGACATCTTCGGCCACAGCGTCGGCTTGTACGCAGGTATCTCCACCGGCTTCCTCGCCCAACTAAGGCCAGAAACGCTCTCGTAGACGCAATGCCCATTCTCAACCTGGCGAGCAAAGCAAGACTTGGCTAGCCTCGTTCTACGATGGTAGCCACTTCTACCTGCCAACTAGCCACACGGAATGAGTTCGGCCACGACTGCCTCAGAACTGAACCTCAAGCCCCTGAACTTCCCTGAACCACGCATACGGATGGCTCCAGTCAAGCGGCACCCCCACCACGGAAGACACTGTTGCGGGTTCTCTGCCCTCCAGTGTAGCTGACAGTCAACCAGCCTTGGCCGGAGAAACCAGTGCGTTCCGCAAGTCAAGCACAACGGAAACTGGTCAGATGAAGGAAACCCAGGCGGCTCAACAAACGTGAAAGCATACAGCCGAGAAGCACTTCTCCTCACAAATGTAGCTCGTTTTCCCAAAATAATACCTGGATTCCAACATCTCTGGAGTGACCACTTTTCCTTAGCAACATCAGCTTCTCGCCAGCGTGCGACTGACTGTACAACTTACAGCTTCTAGATTCCAGCCTTTATGGAAGCCCTGTCTGGGCAAGCGATCTGCAAAGAATCTCTGCAATCAGACATTCAAGACAGTTCTGGCCGGATCAACCCACCATCCCTTCGGCTCCACACAGGAGGCCCTGTGTCCCGGCTTCGGGAAGGCCCCTGTGCACTGGGCGGAGCCAAGGCGTGCGACGCGCAGCGTTTCAGACGCAACAACAATAACAGCAACAAGAACAACAACAAGCCAACAAGAGCAACAAGCGTGCTAACACTAACAACCACAGCAACAGATACAACGTTGACAAGAGCAAGAGTAGCAATAGAAGGAAGAAAAGATAAGCCATGATTCCGTCTTTCTGGTATGCACCTGGAACCGGCTCGCAGTCAAAGAAACGCGCCTCCCCGAGGTAGCGGGTGTTGTGGGTCTTGTTCGAGCATTTGGAGGTCGCGCAGCAGTTCCAACAGAAGGGAATCGTCCTGAGACCATCAGATATCTCAAGTTCGGTGCTTCATTGAATTGCCGCGTTACCGCGCTGCGGGTTCTTTTGTTGTGCCCCCCCATGCCACGTCCACACCAGTCTGGGAGTCATCCCGTCCGCCAAGCAGCTGCTGCTGTTCGTGGCGAATTGCCGCGATGGGGGCAAAAAGCAACACGATGAGACAGCGCATATGGAAACGCGGACCTTGACAGCTTTCTGACAAGAACATCAAGGTGATTGCTTGAGGTGACGGGCTTGTAGAGAAACCAACAACACTCCAAAAAGAACTCTGCATCAATCAGCAGCAAGGGGCGTTCGTCAAACAACGGGAACGGCAGGCGGCGTATGCGCGCGAGAACTTGTCTGAGCCAAGTCGTGGGCCCGACGGCACAGGTCTAGAGTTCAGAAGCCTTCAGGTCCATTTGAGAATTTGGGGGGTGTCCTCTCCCCACCTCTAAACCCGAAACCCTCACGCAAACCGTAAATCCTTAAGCCCTAAACCCCCAAAACCCTAAAGCACTGAACCCTGCAACTAACGAACCCTTAAAACTCTTAGAACCCCAGACAACACCCACAAAACCTTGAAAACCTAGAAACTAAACCCGAGAACCCTAAACCCTAAAGCCTCCCTCCCACAAGCCCCTAAAACCGAAAACCCTAAACCCTAAAACCCGAGATATCCTAAGTCCTAATTCCCGCCCTGGGGGGGGCTGCACATTGGGAAATGCCCTTGCGTAGTGCCTCATCTAGAGGACATGTGCCAAGAGCCCTGCCCAATCTCCTGGACAGAGTCCAGGCCCTTGTCCGTCAGATCAAAGTTCACCTTCAGCAAGCTGAAGGCTCCTTCCTCACAGGTCACGTGGGGACAAAAAGCAGTTGACGTCAAGGGACCGATTGTGGCAGGTGCTCTGAATGGGGCCCACATTCTGCCCAGAGACTCTTGTTCTCCTCTGTGGGTTCAGGGGTCTGATCGACATAGTAGGGCTTATAATACGTATAAGGTCTGTAGGGTTGTTAAGGGTTTATAGCGCTTGTGGGATTTACAGTTCCTTTATACTGTTTGAAGGGTTTATAGGGCTTACAGCCTTGTATGGGCCGGGCTGATCCGGGAATCGGCTCGCTTCATCCCGGCGCAGTCAAGCAAACACGTAGCATCTCGATGCAGCAGCGCTCCAGCCAGTTGCCGTCGCCCACACCGCATCCCGATATCAGCCTCGGCGGCTTGGCACAGTCCGTCTTTTGCTACCTTGAGTCGGAGCCCAGGCAAAAGCAAAATGGCAAGTGCTCAGGGGCCCCTAAACCCTGGTCCTAAAACAGACTTTGACTGGACCTAAGCCTTCGAACAAAGATTATCCCTCTCAATTCAGAGACTATCAGCATGAGAACCATTTTCGCCCCCACGTGCTCTGAACAGCCGAGCCACCCCTGCTGCTTCAGTTTCGCGATGACCTGCAATGACGGAACACGAAGGTGAGTGCATACATTGGGCTTCCTGGCCCAGGGATTTTGAAAAGGAAATATCTCTGTATTCAGGAAATCAAGAAGACCCTACCCAAGGCTGCAACACAGAACCTCCAGAATCCTTCAGGAGCACTCACGGTTCACGAACTATCGTCATGCGGGCGGCCTTAGGGTATGACCACGTGACAAGCAAACGACACTCTGAACCACGCAGGCCCTTGGCATCCCTGTGTCCTACATCTCAACCGAACAACTTGTTGGGGGTCAGGCTGAGCCCTCGCCCTCGTGGCCCAACCTGTGATGTCGTTGACTTGGATATGGGCTGTTGAGACATTGGAAGACAGTGGATCACAATGGATGACAATGCATGACAATGGATGACAATGGATGACAGTGGGTGACAACTGCTTGGGCTTTGTGGGGGCTTCTCTGGGCCGCAAGGTCTCCTCCAAGGTTCAATTGCATGGAGCATGGACTGCGGCCCGCTTCGAGGACACACGGTTCAGGCGAACCTTGAAAGCTGATGAAGTTGGCAAAACTCTCTGCATCGCTGTGCTCCAGGCAGGTGAGAGATGTAGAGCGAAGGCTTGGATCTCCAAAGCGGATCCTTGCGCAAAGAGACCCCGGACCCCGGACCACTAGACCAGAAGCACTGGTCGTTCAATGGCCTTTGCAAGAAAGTCGGTCATGATGAGGCATACCACACTAAAGTCCAGACAAAGCTGTATCGAAGCGCATGAACAATGGTCGGCACTTGCAGACGGAGGTCCTGGAAGGGAATGACCCAAACGAACGTCAAATCCTGGCACCGGTCATTCCATCGGCTTCCGCACAAGCTGCAGACCAACTTTCAAGCCCTGGACTCTCCAGACACGACCGGCACAGTACAAGCACAGGCAGTACAAGCTTCGTGTGCGCTACGCATTCTCACCAGGTATTCTCACCACGTATTCTCACTGCGTGTGCGAAACGTGGGACCTTGACATCCTGAACTGGGTTCTGCAGCAGTTGCTGGTGCCACTCGCTGGGCAGAAAAGCCGGCTTGTCACTGACCTGGTTCGGGGAATCTGCTGCGAAACACAGAAACACGCTGACTTCGGCACATGAGCCTAAGCAGACTTTACGCACGACTGCAAAACAAGCCTCTGCCAACCCTGCAGTGAACTGCAGGTCGCCCACTGACGACTCGTGCCTTCTGCCTTCTGGGCTTGCTGAGGTTTTTGCACTGTCTCCAATGGGCATGGTCAAGCCCTTGTTGACGATGGGACCAAACCTCAAAAGGCGCCGCACAGAGGCACCGAATCCAGACAGCTTAGGCAGCATCGTGGAATCGTGGAATGTCGTGGATTGCGGACGCCCCTTTTTACATCTCACAGCCAAACATTTTCGGTGTATGGCGACCTATCGGACAGATACAATTGTCCGATCAGTGCTGTGCAGCACTACAGCACCAGTCAGCATTCCGTCTGCATACTTTTGACTTTACACTAAGGTGAGCCGGCAAATCCTGGCATGCAGCGTTGCCATTGTTCCGTGAGCATCAGGAAGTTGCGGCTCACCTTCACACCGGGCGGCCTGCGCCAAATGTGGCTCTGCGCTGGCTCAGGATTACACTCCAGGCCCCTCAAACATGTTTTTCACAGCGGGAAGAGCACCTGGGAAAATCAACGGCCAATTGGTCACAAACACCTTCGGTTCTGAGTCATGGCCTGTTTCTTGCATCCCAGGGTCATGTCCGCAAGCCTAGAGCTTCCCGCGATCTTGGACTTCGGTGACTTCGGTGACTTCGGTGACTTCGGTGACTTCGGTGTTTGGTTCCAAGTGAAAAGTGGCAGAGCGCTCTGCGCCGCTGATAGCTGATGCCATCTCGGGGTCGCAAAGGGACCACATGTCCATGGGGTCCCGACAGAATTCAAAAGGGGACGAAAGAAACCGTGCAAGACAAGAATCTCTTCAACGCTAAGGAAGGGAGACCTGCAGACCAAATCCCTTTGAAACAGGACACTGTGACCATACTTATACCGACAGCCAGGTTGAAGTCAACCGAGTCGCCGATGCAGGGCCTTTGCATGCTTGGCCATGCAGGGCCATGCATCCGTGCGATGGATGTGCGCCACTGACGTTGCAATGGCATCCATATCATCTGCAAGAGAGTGGGACTGGACTAATGGGCTTTCGCTGCCTTGTCGCTTGAAGCCTCTTCAAAGTCCGGGAACAGGCGCAGCGGTACATGATCGGAAGTCACAAGCAGTGACACAAACCACATAGTGTGATCCTCGCCGCACCCAATCCTTGTGCATGTGCTTTGCTAAACACAGCATAGGGAAAATCATTCGAAGGAGCTTCGAGACAAAACGGTTGCGTCTAAGGAATCTAAGGACTTCCTGATGGAAGCAACCTAAGGGAGCCTCCACAGGAAGTCCAAAGCTTGCTTGACGCCCTCTGCACTGCTCTATGAATCATACCCAATTCCCTGACCTCCATATTATGTTTTCAAGTTACATGTTCGTTTCTCTACAGAGTTCGCTGACACGCGAGTGGCGAAGAATCAACGAGATGACTCAACGCGGCTTGCAAGCAAAATTCTATCTCCCTCACAGCCGGTGAGGGACCTCCACCTCCCTCACAGCGGGTGAGGGACCTCCATACAAAAGCATCGACGGGGTCCGGCTCCTAGCCAGGATCCACGCAAAACAGGCCTCACGCAAGAGCCGGGAGAACTTACGAGTTCTATGCCTTCGAATCACGTGCAACCTTTCCTGACTCTGTGCAGCCCTTGGAGGAGGCGACCGGTCTTAAAGTTCGGCCCTTCTTTCTGTCATGGTGCGTGCAAGAGGAATCAGGAGAGCCTTTCGTGATCGAGCTACAGGCAGACGAGACAGCATCATCCCTGCTGGCAGGAGAAGCACCTGCAGGTCATTTGACTCACAACTCTGCATCAAAACATATCAAAACCCTGAAAACAGGAAGCACTGCTGAGCTTCTGAGCTTCGGGCCCACCGGCACAACTGCCCTTGCACGAAGCACAGCGCGAAGAGCACCAGCAGGATCACGCGGAGTCCAGAACGTGCAGCACGAGGAGACAGGTCAGCAGGAGCCTTCCACCAGCTTAAGAAATGCATAAAAGCGATCCGTTTCCAGCCCTCTTTCTTGGAGGTCACCGTTTGATTCTCATTGATCCTCAATTGGTTGCCTCCTGCCGCGAAGGCCGAACTCAGGCCGGTCGGGTTTCTGGGCCCCTGGAATATCTAATCCGCCTTTATTAGGATGGGCATGCACGTTGAGACATAGGCATGATGTAGCCAAATGATTGCCCGTTTTCATGAAGGCTGCCAAGGAGCAAGTGCTTCTGACCTGGGCAATTCCATGTCCAACGATGAACAAAACCGCGTACAAGCATATGTCAGAGACAAAAACACAGCAGGCTTCCAACATTTCCTGTAGGTCGGACGGCCAGCTGCAAAAGCGCCACAAAAATGTGGTATATATGCTGTGAATTGGGTCTTTCGGAACTGATGGGCTAATAAAAATGAAGATATAATGATTCCGTCCTTGGCAGCAATGACTTGACTGGGAAGGATTGGCACAACACTCTGGTCCGAGTCGGTCACAGGCCACTCAGGCAAGGACGCGTGGACGGGGCCCCAGGCTGCCGTGAAGTATGTCCTGCTCCGCTCATGGCTGCTATGCCTATGCTCTGGTGTCGGACACTTTGGCTGCTAAGGTGCCATGAGATAGAGGGTTCGTACGAAATGACAAAGTGAGGGCTAAGCGCACTCGCCCTGTCACACCTTGAGACTCTCACCGCCAGCTAACCAACCAAGCACCGTGCCATCCAAGTGGAATCTTCCTCACATCCAGAGCCCCTTTGTCCACAGCCTTTCCTTCACCAAAACCCTATTCATGATATAAAAAACAAGCGAATGGAATGACAGCGCGTTCCTTTACAGCCGTATTGGGGGGCGTGAAGGCAGCGTCTACCAGCCCTATATGGGTACATGGACCTTTTGGGGATCAAAGGTTGGGTCACACCTAAGTTACACAAAAAAATCAAAAAAAGGTTTTTTCCTGTTCACGCGCTCGCTGGCTCACTTGTTCCCAGCTTTACCATTCAGAGAATGCACAGCGAAAACGATCAACAAACAAATCCAGATTATTAGAGGTCGCATTCCTTTTAGAAGAAGTTTAAAATGACTGGAAAGATGCGGCCGCACCATGAATCCTTGACCAGTGCAGAAAGACACGGAAAGAACTGTGTGTAACAGCGTGAATGTCATGAGCGCACACGACACCAAAGATAGGAAAGCTAGGCCTGATCCAATAGATAGGAAGCAAAACAACATTGGAAAGGATGGGGTTCCTTTTCGCCTAACATGAAACCCTAAGAAGTGGATAGGGGAAAAAGGCCAAAAGAACACCAACAACTACTCAATGAAGGTGAACAATAGAAAGTGTACTAGAGGATGATAGTCATAAGTTCTCAGTGTCAACATCTTTTCTCCATTATCGTTTTGAAAACCGAAAAATGTCATTCGCAAAAACAACATGAAGATGTGCTACAACATAACATGTATCATGTCCTCTTAGATCTACTGCAGCATTTCCCTGCGAATACAAGCTCTTGTATCACTTTCTGAACCTACAGTATACGTATGATGCCTCCCCAATCAAGACTTCCAAGAAGATAACTAGATTCAGATGACATGGAAAAGACCATTGATTGGTTGCCATAAGGTAAAATCCCAGCATACCACTATGGAAATGAACTTCAATGCAGGAAGTATTCAGAAAATCCCATATGAATCTTGATAGAAGAATGGATCTTTATCTCCTCCCTATATCCTCTTATCGATGAAAGAAAAGTCTATGAGAAAGATGAACCCCACTAAAAAGCGTGCCAGACAAGATTGGTAGTGTCATTACAAGCATGAAAGCTATGCTCCTTGCATGTTTAGCTTCCGGTTTGGGCATGTCAGTGATCGGCTCCTGAGCTTCCGGTTCACCACAGCACCAAAGCAGTATGGCACCTGAACAGCTGCAAAATGCAAGTCCCACAGTCCCGAAACTTGCAGTCACAGCCATCGCCCATCCATCACCGTAACCACCACTCGCTTTTGCCATCTTAACTGTCGCTCCTGTGAGCCCCTCCAAAGCTTTTGGGAACACAAGCCGTGGGAGCGCCAGCACGCGCGCACAGCGGATGCCCACTCGCAGGCCGAACTCCCGGAAGGCGGCTGCCAGCCGAGCTGAGGCACCCAGCGCCCCGGGATGCGCGACAAAGGAGATGCCTGGCTTGTCAGAGACTTCAGATAACTCAGATACTTCTCAGATACTTTAAATACTTCAAATACTTCAGGTACTTCAGATACTTCAGATACTTCAGACACTTCAGACTTCTTTGTGAAGGGGCGTCGATGCTGCACTGGCTTCAGAAGTGCAAGCAGCAGGTTCTTCGAAACTGTCTTGATCATGCTCAAGGTGAAAGCAAGAGGCGGAGATGCCTGCGACCATGCCGTTTCTTTCTGGGTTCACCCCCGGAAGCAGACCAAGACTCCCTGCGATGATTTGCCCAACTGTCGGAAAGTCATCATAACCGATTCGTAACCGTAACCGAATCTCCAACAGCGACTCCCCAATCCCGCCTAAGAAATGAAGCGGGGTGGTGAAGAGCTGCAGCGGAAGGGGCAGGAGTATCTGCACAACATCCTGAGGACTGCCCAATTTGGCATATTGGATGCTGAAGTAAAGCAAAACCAAAACCCCGAAGAAGGACCCGAGCATGCTTGGGGTATGGGGCTTGGGGCTCAGAGTTGGGTCCTATGGCTTCCTGAACCCAAAGCCATCCGAAACCCCAAACACCGGAAGCCTTCGAACCCCCCCCCCCCGGGCCCCCCCCGGGCTCCTGAACTTGGAAACCACGGATGGTCTTGATGCCCCTTGCCATCAGGCTGGTGGTGATCCTGAATCGAAGGCTGGAAGTTACTGATCTGCAGCCCCTTAAAAGAATTCCCGGCACCCGGCGTAAGTTTAAGTCTAGCTTCCACATGAAGATCCTGACAGGTGTGCGCACCTCCAACCCTTCTAGGTTTCAGCTTCGCCTTCAACCCAAGAGGCCAGGGCTTAGAAATCCAAGCCAGAATGTGGGAAAAGGAAGCGGGCAGGAAGATGGCGGGTTGGACAGTGTTGCGGGTTGGGGGGTTAGGGTAGCTGCCGGTGGCTCAGGGAATTGGACGCCGCCTATCGAATCCCCAAAAGGGTAGAAGGCAAACTCGGCGCTCAATAGCCCTCGACTCGGGAGCTTTCCTCACACAGAATTTATTAAGCGTTCATCCCAGCAGCTTCTCCGGCAGCACGAAGACTACAAGCGAGAAGATCAGGTCCCGTGCCACCCATGCGACGATGGCTGCCTGCAGCAGCAGGAGACAAGCTTAAAGGTGCTTGGACGCAACGAAACATTGCAATTCGTAATCGTGCCGATGATAACAATCACGATCATGACCTGTTCCTGGGCGGCAAAACCTTGATTGACAATGTCCGTTAACACTCTAGGGCGACACTGCTCAGCTTCGAAGCTCGCAAACAGTAACCAGACAAACCCACAAAATGGCAGAAACTGAACTGTGCAGGACATGCGTAGCACAACAATCACCAGGTCAAAGGCATGTCGTGTAGCGTTGCAGGGCAATTCATGCTGCTTGCGATCTCGGCTTTTGCTTCAGCTTGATCTACCCCGGCCCGCCCCACCTTTCACGGAGAAAAGCAGCAGGCAGATGGATCACCAATTACGTTGCCTTCATGCAGTACCTACTGAACACAGGCCCGAGCTGCACTAGGAGGCACGAGGCTTCCACCAGTCAAGTACGCGTCCTCAGGAATTGGTCACTTTCCAGTTCATGCTGAAACTCTTGGAACGCAGACAAACAGGCTCACTGTCGAAAGGAACGCGCAAGCACCCAAAGCAAACTCTGATGACAGACCGAAGTCATGGCCCCTCAAAACTGGAAGTTGCGGAGGTGACAGCTTCTGCCATACGATTTCGGTCCTCCCTTTCGCTCTGAGCATTTACCTGAAAATCGGGCGTCCTTGAGGCACATGATGATGCAGTTGACTGTCGTGGTGCAGAGCCAAACCTTTGGGGTGAGCCAGGCTCTTGCATTGGAAGGCTTTTCACGGATGGGCGTACTGTTGGCGCATATGCGTAAGGTGGCATACAGACCTCCTTAACATCCATAGTGAGCCGACTTGGGTCAAGCAAAATCAGGGACGAACTAGAGATTAGAGAGCATGCCACAAAAAACTTGTCAGAGGCAGGTCACCATGACTGCTGGACGCCAGCCCGAAGATTCGCAGATCGTGCGCGTGGCATTGGCCGTCCCGTAGGTGCTCGAGAAGAGCAACCACGTCCACAACACGGCTGGCAGCACAAGCTCTGGGCGCCTCCGACGATGTCTGTTCCCTTAACTTGCGCCTTGACTTGCGCCTAGCTTGGCTCCCTGAAGCTGGTTCAGGACCCCAGCTCGCTGGCTTTTTAAGCATTGAAGTACTGAAGGGTCCAAGTCGCAGCACGCAGTCCTTCATCACAGAGCCGAGCATGATCAGCGCTCCGGGTGAGTCTGGCTTGCCCGCTCCTGGGCTCAATGCAACTCGCGCGAACACCCATCGAAAAACCTAAACCCCCTGAAACCCCCTCCGTTTCTTTTCGCTCTTTGATTCTTTCTGCTCTTTCTTTCATTGGGCTTGGGGACCAAGGCCCCCAGACGAGCTTCCAACAGCTTAAGAAAGGCCCCGGCACGTCGCTTGCTGTTCACTGTCCCCACCGGCCCTCTAACCATCACCTGTGGAAGCAAGCCTCACGGGAGCAAGCAAATACGAGCTCGTCTCCGAGTTCCCCTTCTCTCCCCCCACCTTATATCCTGCCTTCTCCCCCCTTCATCCCCCTTCCCGGCTAAGGTCTGCTCGGAGCATTGCAAGGTCCATGGGCGCCAGAAGAAGGGCCAAACCCAAGCCTGCACTCTTCGTCTCGTGTACGATTTTTCGTGCTTCCGCTGGCTCTAAGCTCAGGATGATCCAGGCTGAGGAATGGCTTACAAGTACTTACAGGTACTTGCAAGTGCTTACAAGTACCTACAAGTGCTTACAAGTACACGTCTAACTCTTGGCTTGAAGGCATCGGGGCGAACAGGCCCAGCCTACGATCAGTGCCGCGGACACATCGGCAAGGAGAGCTTGGAGAAGCTTTGATGGACCTCACGTGATCACGGTGAGGCCTTTTTGGGCTTTGACTGAAGGTGTGTTTGTGTGTGTGCGCACCAGCCTCAATGCTTCAAGAAGGTGCATGCACGAGAGGAACAAAAGTCTAGGGCTTTTCCTGAACAATGCCAGCCAGGCACGCAGAGCAGAGCAGCCTTTCACAACATGCACGAAAACATTTTTTCTGCGAACCCGGGCATGAGGAGAACCTGGTCTAACCCTGGGAAGCCCTTGCACAGCCGGAGGCACGATGCCGGTAACTAGCGCAACCTGTTCACGTGCGGAGTGATCTCAGACAGCCGTGGGGATCCGCAAAACACATCCAAGCCAGGCTGGTACAATCATCCGGAGTCACCGAGCTCCTGGCGACTTTCGGACTGATCTGTCCACTTGTTTGTCACAACCGGCTGATGCAGAAGGGCCGGAAGCTTGCCAGTAGCCATAGCAGCCATGAGTTGATGGCTTCGGGCTGTACACCCCCCTTCTCTCTTCTACAGTTGCACGTTTCACCCACAGCTCTGCTATGATGTGGAGTGCAGGTGTAGATAAGTAAAAAGTTGCTGTGCAGTGTGTGTTCTTGCTGTCTCTTTATGAAAAGGCTTTTCAGATTTATGTGGTCCTGCAGATTCTCTGAGCCTGCAAAACGACATACGTACGGCTTAGGCAGTCAGGCCAGCGTAACAGGCACACACATCGGCAACGTGGCGCTCTCGATGCGGGTACTTCGTGATGCCGGTGCTTCATGCTCGCGTGGCCCCCGGGCGCCCGCGGCGACTAGAGCTCAGTGGCAGGACACGGTCAAGATGATCCTCCTGCATGTAAGGACTTCGCTTCTCGGCCACCATCTTGTGCAGCTCACCCGGCGGCTGTTTGCCAAAGACACAGAGCCTTGGCAGGGCAGCGCCCAGGCTTCTGCTGTTTACTTCCCACCGAAAACTCCAGCATGCTCCAAATTCTCAGCAAGTTCTCAGCAAAGGGCGTCATGCCATTGGCCGAGTACGTGGACTCCTCGGCTAGGTTTATGAGGCTCATTGGCGATTAAGGAAAGGAAGGGATAATCAACATTTTCAACATAAAACTGCATATCGGCCAAGAACCCAAAACACATATCCAAAAAGCCGGGGTCGGAAAAAAACGCGTCTCCAAAAAACATCAAAGCCCATCGAAGGCCCTCTAATGAGGGAGCCTTGCCAAACGTTTACCCCCTTCGCATCCGAGGCTCGTAGAGCTTCTTCATCTCCTCGTAGAGGTCGATGCCCCGCTCCTTCGGCTCGTCGAGGAGCACCTTCACTTCTGTGATGTTCATAATGGGTGTCTACTTTAAAGGATTCCCTTGTTGTAGGGACCCCAAGAAGGTACCCCAGATTTCGGAAACGCTGCAGAATTTATGCTGTAGTATTAGAGTATGAGAGTCAGGAAGGTGACGTCCGAGGCAGGAGCTTGCAGCAAGCCCAATGCTGTTTCTTGGCCTTGACTCCGATGCCTTAAGGGCCTTGAGCATCTTTCTGTGGCCCCCAACTCCCTGCGCCGTGCCTTGTTGTTGCCCACCGCCACATGGAAGGGGTGGTCTGGGTTCGCGCTCATGTTCATGATGCCGACCTGCAAGCGGCAAAGAGAACCGCGGTCCATACTTGAAAACATGAAGTATTCGCAGCAATGCTACTGCTGCTGGCAGAACCACTTCCAGCAGAACAGGTTAAGAAAAATGGACATACTCAGACCACGCAGGTTTCTTCGCTACCGGGGGTGACTCTTGAAATGGAAGGTCTCAGGCAGGAGCATAACGCCACCAGGGTGAGGTCTTGCCGGCCTGGAACTCGGAGTCAACCTCGTCTTCGTGTGTCTCTGACTGTAGGGTTTAGGGTCTGCACTGTAGGGCCTGTAGAGTGTAAGGATGGCTTGTGCACGGCACCGCTCAGGCAGCACGAACGTCAGGAGGCATCAGTCGCACACTTGTGTCTGGAAGGACTGAAGAAGGCTGGGTCCAAAGAGTTTCGAACACCACACGCACGAAAATTTCCCGCAAGCGCGCACTTCAGAACCGCAACGTGGCCACCTGGGGTCCCGAGCTGCATTGATCTCGCGCTCGGTGCAGTCCTGGTCTCATTACAGATCATTGGGCTCCTGATGCTTGCGGCCCAGGTATCAACCCTCGGGTTGAGTTTGTGAAGGTCACCGAGCTTTTGAGAGACTTCAGATCCCAACTCTCCCTTCGGCCCCGGGTCTGCAGCCTGGTCTTCAGGGTCTAGAAGCTTTTCAGAAGCTCGTATGAGTTTATGTTTATGGGGTGATGAGACGGCGCTCCCGCGTCAGCAGCGGCTCGGTGAAGAAGCGCGAGAAGCGGTCCAGCGCCTCCTCCAGGCACTCAGGCTTCACCTCGAACCTCAGTCGGTCCATGTGTGTCCATGTCGCAGAGTCGCGAGTCTCGTGCGATCTGCGTGAGGCGTCGTTGTGGGGGTTGTCTCCACATCTTCCCTGGGAGCTTCTTGCTCTAGAGTTCTCCGGTGATCTAGGGAGCCTGAGGGCAGCGCATGTAGCATGTGAAGTAGCAAAGCGTAAACGCATTTGCCATGCCACCGTTCTGATTCATGAACTCATGGTACTCGCCTGGCAAATTGGTCTTATGCTTGCCGGTTGTTATTGCCTTGACGGGCGGTTTCTGGATGGATTGCCAAGCGATCAAGAGTGCCCATCCTCCAAGCATTCCCACTCGCTCCGCAGCTTTCAAGACTCCCAACTTTACCTGAAAAGCCGCGGCTGCCTTCTTTGGGGTACTTTGTCGTGCCCGTGAAAAGCATGTGCTCCAGAAAGTGAGCTAGTCCTGGTAGGTCTTTCCTGCACAATGCAAAGACGGGAGGCAAAAGCCAATGAAGCGAGATGAAAGTACAAGGGACCGCATGCACCCGGAGAATGTACCTTTGCCAACTGAACCCAGGCATATCCCCGGCATGCTCGAGTCTCCGAAACAGTCTGAATGCCAAACACACGACATGACAGCCGCGTCGACTGCCACAGTGCTGCCTTGAGAACCCTAGAGCCCTAGACTCTCACGACTTCCGGCCTCTCGTGGCACATGCCCACATTCACACAAAGGGCAGCTCCAGCCTGAGTCTTGCCATGTCTCACACGCTCATCACCCCGTGTCCCTCTCCACCCGTCGGCACCTTGTCACACTCTGGATCGGATCCGATGATGGCTTTCAGCTTGTTGTCCAGCTCCACAAAGCTGTAGTCCTGGTGCGAGACTGCAGCCAAAAAACCAACATGATGGTGGAGCCATGTGGTTTGAAGCAGGGTACGACTTCCGCCCTTCTTTCGCAGGTCACCCTTGCGAGCTCGATCGCACGTTGTTTCACACATCGTCACGACCTCTACAAAGACTTGGCTCGTGTTGGAGAGCTTTGCCCGAGCTTTACTCATCCACCAACATCGGGTCACACTCAGGCTGAATGTACCTGAGCTCGTGTCAGCTTAGCTTCTCTTATGAGAAATGGGAGTTGAAACAGGCGGCAAATCGAAAAAGGCAGCACGGGGTTGGCCAAGAAGCCAACACTCGCTGCTGTTCCATGCAGGTGCAAGCAAGGCGCATGTTCACGTACTCAGACCTGTCCTGCGCTAAGAGTCTCAAGCGGGAAACATCCCCGAATTCCCCAGATTCGGATGCTGCCATGGGAGAGCAACTGTGGCAGCATTGCGATGCATGACAGTTCCTTGCTCTCGTGGAAGGCTTTGACCACCTCCTCTAGGGGCAGCGTCTCAAAGGCCAAGTTGTTGACCTCACGCCTGTCACGCATTGTCACAAGATGTACAAGCCGCAGGCTTCCATCCTGCACGCCAGCCTGGCCTTGCAAATGGAGATTGCAGAGCGACTGGAAAAGGTTTGTGTTGTTTATGGATTTGGGGTGTCGCTGCGCCTTGCCATGTAAAGGACCAGGAGGGAGGCAAGCGAAGCGGCCGGAGGTCCCAGCCAAATGTCCTGTCGTGAAGAGCTTTGGCGAGGTGGCGGCTAAGACTTGAGCAGCCTTCTCGAGCTCTCCCTTTGAAACCTACGACGCTTATGACACTTTGCAATTCCATGGACACTCAACCATTCTACAAACGACATGCATTCACCTTACCATCCAAATTAACTTTCAATAAGCAAATCTGGAAGCTCCGGAACAATATGATGCCGCGGGGGGCCGCACAGAGGGCGGGCCAAAAAAGCACGAAAACCCCAGTTCAGACCCATTTCCTTTTTTGGGTCCCTCCTGGGACCCCCAAACCTGCTGAAGCCGCCCTACCTCCTGAACTCATGACTCGCGTGGCGCTGCACCAAGTGTGCTACTACCAAGGATCCAGCATGTGATCTCCCCCCATGAACCGTGGGGTTACAATCAAGTGCCTGCCTCCTGGGTAAGGGCTCGGAGGACGCCGACCATAAGCATCACCTCTGCACCAGTGAGTTCACCGAAGGAGTGTGACTCAAACTTCTGCACAGGACAAGGAGCGTAGATGGCCAGCACGATGAAGAGCTGGTCCATGGCCTTCAACATGCAGCGGAAAAGGAAGAAAGGGAAGAAAAGGAGATATATGTGTATATATAGATACATATATCTATATATAAACAAATATGATGTAGCATACGTACACACACCGCGAAATGAAAAAAACAGGAAAAGCTAGTTGTTTTTGTTGTCTCTTGTATTTTGTTGCGCGTGTTGCCTTATTCTTTATTGCGCTTCTTGCGTTTCTTGTTGCACTTTTCTGGCCTTCTTGCACGTTTGCACTTTTTTGTCTTTTTGCACTTGCTTTTGCTTTTTGTCACACTTTTGGCCTTCTGACTTTTGCACCTTTTGCTTCTCTTTGCATTCCTTTCATACTCTGTGTGCCTTATTATGCTTGTCTAGGTATAGAAACAGTATACTCAAAATCTTGTTGAATGCTATTTAGTATCCTATGAATGTAGCGTTCTCGCTTCGAGTAATTATGTAGGACGTAATTGAAACTCTGACAAAAGAGTATGCATGTAGGCTAACCTCGTATGTTTAAAATCATCAAAATCCAACAATCCAAAAATCCAAAAACCCAGAAACCCAAACATTATCCGAGCAAGTTTGGATTTTGGATTTTTGGATTCTTGGATGTTCTATGCAAAAGACAAGCATAGAAACGCACACCGTGTATGAAAGAATGCAACAAAAGCCAAAAACTCCAAAAGTGCAAAAAATAAAAACCAAAAAAAGTGCAAAAGTGCAAAAAAATGTGCAAAAGTGCAGAAAACCAACAAAAGTGCAAACGTGCAAAAAAAATAAAAGCGCAAAAGTGCAAACAAAACAAGAGAAGTGCAAAAAAACAAGGCATAAACGATTTAACAATAAGTACAAAGACCCGGGAACACATCAGAGCAGACAGTGCCTACAGGAGCTTTCACATATCGAGGTTGGTCCATTTGGGGGGGAGGAGAGCGACCATGTATATCTATGTATATATATATATGACAAAATAAATATGACAAAATAAATATACACATGAAGCATCATGGCAGCAGTGCTCCGACGTGGCCTGGACCCAGAAGATCCCCCCCGTGTCTGGCTTCTTGCTCTCGCAGAAGAGCAGAAGGTAGCCGTAGACAAATTGCGCCAGGAAGAAGTAGACCCAAGTGAAGACCTACGAGCCGCAGTGCCTGTTCCCGTGCATTTCTCCGGGATCCACCAACTGCGGATGCTGAGGTCCCCGCGAAGATCAGCGGGGAGCACGAGGCAAACAGGAAAAAGATAGAGGCCATGAGGACAGATCGTGCCTCAACACAACAAACACAAATTGCAAGCCCTGTTTGGACAAGCGACTTATCATTGCGAGGGCAGGGCCATTCTGGAGCCCAAACCATAGTAGGCGACATCCTCGGGCTCCGAATACTCCTTTGCTTCCTCCTCCTCAGGCAAATGCCAATGTCAGGGAGCAAAAACAAGAGATGACCCAAAGAGGGGGCTCCAGTCCTCGAAGGCACAAACCTTGCGGTAGAAGAACCACTTGGCCTCAAGAAATTGCCACATAAACGCCCGCTTCAGAGCCGCGGCCCCATGAGATTCCCAAACCCTCATGAGATCAACACAGCCTTCTCCAGGGACTTCAGGGATCATGTACAGTGCCTACACTACGCTCGAAGCTGAGTCCCGGCACCAGGTTGCCCGTGCGGAGCAAGTCCTAAGCTTCACCATCTGAGACCGAACAAGGGCAAAGGGCGGAGCTTACCAAGCATGCCCCGATGTCACCAAGGCTCTAGTGGCAGCACCAGCCACCCAAGGATGACATAGTTGAAGTAAAAGTGAGATGCCGAGGGCAGCGATGCAGCAAGCCTTGGGAAGAAATTTAGGCGTAGAACAACATAGAGCCTCAAAGGGCTTGCTCTCCACCACTGGAGCTGAGCGCTTCACAAACTGATGATCTTCGCCGGCTCCTGTTGAGGGGTTCGAGCTACAACAGAGCAATTCCTACACCCTCACTAAACTCTGAAGACTTCCCCAGACGAAATAGGCTCTGTGCCAGCCCATGCCATATGCTGTAAAGCTTGAACTAATTCACCCAACACTGGAGCCATCACCCCCGCACCAAGAGTCCTGCATGATAATGATGAAGGTGATGGTGAGGCCTCGTCCGAGGGAGGTTACCAGCACCACGAAAAGCCTTCGCTGCTTTGCTGAGACTTCACAGTGGACAGCTTCTGTGCACTCTGCTCTACCAGGCATCTCGACAAACTCGGCACTAGCAGACCCAGACAACCAACGTTGTAACACCCACTAAAAATGCAACAAAGAAATCACACAGTTAACACAAAACGAGAAGCTGCCTAAGGCTGGCCCAGGGGCAGAAGGAAGGCAGCAGACCATTGCTGCAACTTCAGCTGCTCTACGCTGCCAGCCTTCAGGTGTGAAGTAGTGGTGATGATCGCATGTAGCACCTGAGCAGCCGAAAAAAATGACATGCGAAGTCCCAAAGAGAGGCCGAGGCCGAGGGCCGTAGGTGTCTGGGGTACCCTCCCCAAGAAACCCTGCACAGATTGCACCCATGACTTTTTTGCCCGGGGGTGCCGGCCTGGGCGACAGGTGTCCGCGAGCTCATGGTGCATCAGAACCAGGAGGCATCTTGGCCACCCCCCGCCACCCCCAAATGCCCCCCACCTCCCCCCCTGCCCCCCCCCGGCTGCGCCTCTGTTCCCCTCATCACCCAAACCAGTTGTCCTTGCGTGCTTGTTTTACCACTCCCACATTTCGAGTGTGTTACAACAGGGTCCTGATTGCACGAAGCCTCTCAAGCGCGGAAGCCTAACGGCACCTTCTCACCCTCGCTGGGCAGGCCCCAGCTGAGGCAGGTCGCGTAGCATCAAAACTTGTCCATCTTGTCAAAACCGAAAACTTCTTGAAACCTTCGAGAACTCAAACACTGCCATCTGCCGGGAAGCATTCGGTAAAAAGGCCATGAACATCTTCAGCGTGGCTGTGGCCAGAACGCCAGACAGCAGGTTGCCGATGGCAGGGTGTGCGTCCACAAACTTCTTGACAATGGGAACGGTGCCCTGCCAAAATCATGTGCTGTGCAATATACTTCAACCTGACTCCTACAATGCCCTGCATCCCGAAAGTTCTGACCTGGATGGAGCTCAGCGTGGTCCAACCAGAGATCGCCACCACGATGGGGATCCAGAAGAGAAACACTGCAACTAACGCCAGCCTGCCTTAGCAGAAATCTTGCGAGCTTCGCGTGACTTGGACTCCGACTCTAGATGATCAGATCTAAAAAGACTCGGACCAAAGGACAAGGCGCAATTCTGCTAGCTTTGGTCTGAAGGGGTCTCCGAGGAGCTTTGTTTGAAAGATTCATGCCAAGACATGTAGAGATCCGAAGTTTGGGCGAGCATCCGAGCCATTTCCACGAGGACGCATTGATGTCGTCCTCCGCTAGGTTCTCGTACAAGACGTCGTTGGAGTCTGGAGCCATGAACCTCCGGTCAGTGTCTTGGAGCTGCGAAAGCACCCAACATCATAGCGGGTTGCGAATGGATGCACTCACACTGGCAACAAAAAGTTCTGGCGCGATCAATGCAGTCCAGGATCATCCTGAATGCCTGGACGTCACGAGTGCACTGCCTTGGCTGCTTGTGTGTATGTGCCATTCTGTTCCATTCGACCTCTGTTCTTTTCCCGAAGAGGCAAGGGGGGTGGGGGGGGGGAAACAAGCTGCATGGATGCTGAGAGCTACGCCAAGCTGTCACAATCTCGGTAGATTACGTCCTAATCTACCCACACAGGACTCGGCTGCTGAACTTTCAGCAGAGCTCCACTGCTACATGGATACCTTGCGATTTCTGGCTGCAACCAGTCCAACAGTGCCCCGTCCTTCTGCTGTGACTCACTAGTGACGAGGACCGAGACAATTGCACAAAGCCATAGCACTCCCGCGATGCGAGGCGTTGGGACAGGATGGTCGTAAAGGTCACAAAACCTGAGGAGGAGCCCACCTGCTGTCAGTCAAGCTGCAACGTGCACTATGATTCAGGGAGCACGCCTAGAGCTTCTATGTCTTGGTCGTAAATCCAAGTCAGTCACATCGACCGAGGGGATATAGTACTGTCCTGCATTGTGTTGGTGTCCCCTGCAAGCAAGTGAGCCGCCGCACAAACACTCCTGGACTTCTCTGTAAAATGCTACCTATCAAGAAACGCCTTCTGGTCCGGTCGTGGGCCCTGCGCAGCAGCTTCGATGGCTGCCTGTTCGCGGGCGACTCGGCTCCTCTCCGCAGTCAACGAAAGGGTATAAGAAACTCGGCAAACGTTGAGGGAACCCTCCCCATGCCCAGGGAGCCCTGGGATATTTAGACGTTAGAGAACCCCAAACCTTCAACGGGCTTCCTAAACGCGGCGGTCCATGTGCTGCTTACGATAATATACAGACACACACATTCTGTGTGGCTGGTGCCATGTCAGCTCTTCGCGCCTGAGATTCCCGATGGCAAGCCTCGGCAGTTCGTGCAGGGCTGGGAGGGTAATGCACAGCGGGACCAGTAATTGCGCTCGTCGTAGGGTATGCCGATGGATCTTCCCCGTTGCTGAAGACAGCTCGAGAGTTAGCCCTGATCCCTTCGATGAGCTTCTGGCAAACATGCAACGCTTCTTCAAAGGGCTTCCGGAGTGCGAGGAGTCGGAAGCAGCGGCCCTCACCCCCTTAAAGCTCACTTTCTGCATCCCCCCCTACGTGTTCCAAGACGGTATGCAGCGCACGGATGTGTCGGCCTGTGCTTCTCCAGCTCCATCTCCATGCCCCTGTCGTCGGAATTGCCTTCCTGCCGTGCCTTCGCACACGACTTGCGATATCAACGTCGCTTAGACTTTTTTCCACATTACCTTGTCGTCAGGGTTACACCATTTGGTTCAGTTCTACTAGGCAGAAGTGCACGGTCATGGCGCCCATTGTCCTTTTGTACAGCAGCGCGCAGAGGGAGGCCCTTCCAGAAAGAGGCACTTAAGGGGTCACGCAGAGCAGAGGCAGAGCACTGAATTGGTGCGGAGTGTGGTGGAGAGAGCCAAGCTCTGCGCCGTCGGTTTTTTGCAGCTGTGCAGATGCTTCATCCGGCGGCTTTATGGCAAGCTTGGTGGCCAAGGCGGAGGCATGGTACGCTTTAGAAGCCATCCTTGCGAACCCTCTAACAAGGCCTACGCGCCTTCAGTACAGATTCGCAAAACTCAAAGCGCCCATGCCTGGTTGAGACGGTTCGAAACCACGGCCGCCTCGTAGCGAGCGGCTCGGAGCTGCTGTACCTTTTCTCTTCTGCTTCGCTCTTTTGGAAGGACCCGCTAATGCATGTGCTTGGATGGGGTGTCCTGTCGGGCTTTCAGGAGGGTTTGGTGGTGGTTGCCAGGGCGTCGCTGCCAGGCACCCCGTGGGGCTTCTCTACGCTTCGGGAATGTTGCAGCACGCGTCGGCATGCATGTTGGGCGCAACCATTCTCTCCGCAGCTGTTTGGACGAGTGCTGCTGGCACTTTACACCATACTGCATCCGTTTCGTGAGGTTCTTTACTGGCATGCCTGTTGCCAGCTGCATTCCTTACGATACTGCGCTGTCCCTGTGTCCACAGTCTCGAAGCCTACCAAAACAAAAGGCCTGAGCCTCGTCTGATCATCTACAGCTGCCCGTCTTACGATGCCTGAAACCCGGACTCGATGGGGGGATATTGAGGACAGCCTTTGAATGTGCAGCCTTTGCACAAGACACAAGTCCGTTGCGGTGTGCACATGCCGAGAGCTAGAAAATAGAATGTGCAGGAGATCCAGGCCGCACTCTGGACAATGATTGAGGCCAGACAGCTAAGTGCGTGGCTAGCTTTGGCAGCCTTCCTGGCCAGAACATGCAAGCTACCATCATGAAAGACCGGTGCAACAGCTGAACATCTCAAGAGGACGTATTCTGCATTATCTGTAGATAGTCAGCAGACAATAAGCCAAACAATACCCGGAGCTTCCATGCCCCAGAGCCACCTGTTCTGCGGATCACGTAGGCACGCTCCACGGTGTGCATGGACTCCTCACTGAAGACCTTGGAGGGCCCCTCTCTCATTCAAGACTAATGAGACTAAAACTGCAAGAGCTTTGGAACGGCCTTGCTGCGAAGCGAGTTCGGACTTTGCAAGAATCTCATCCGTTTGGCAATTTCTCTGTGCCGACCCTTTCTTGATGTCGACTGCTGCACCTAGACCAATGCCAACACTCTAGCGGCTGATGGGTTTTTTGGCGAAAGGCTGTGTCGAAGTACTCCTTCAGCGCGCTATCCGAGCGGTACATTGGCGGGATGTTCCGGACCATCACGGTGGTCGATCGAGGCCTGCCAGGAGTCCCACCCTGTAGAAAATAGAACTGGTTGGATGGTGTGCCCTGACCTTCGCGGGTCTGGCAATAGATGACCAGCACAGCACTACGACGCCCCGCTCTACGACGCCCTACGATGCTCTACGACCCCACAGCTGGCCCAGATGCCTCGGCAGCGTTGCTAGCCATTGGTACCGGCGCTCGGTAAATCCGTCATGCGCCAGCTTGATCCTCGGAAAGCTTTCACCAGAGTTCTTCCTTTCTACCTGCAAAGCCCTTCGAAGTGCAAAGGAGTCTGTTTGAATCCATTCTGGATCTTGGCATGTTGCTCCCCATGCGATTCTTCTCAGTGAACCGTCATCAGCGCCGTCAATGCTTCTGATGCAAAAACGAGAGCTGTCTTGCAGGTGAGCCTCTGCCATGCGCTGATTGTCACTACAAACCACACCACAGCGGCATGGAACCAGAGCATCCAGCTGTTCCTGTTTGGCAGGGTCTGAACACGTGAAAGAAAGTATACTTATCATGCTCGCGTGCGGGTTTCTCTCAAGTCCACCTTAAAAGAAGCGCCTTTTGAACGTCCCTTCTGCACTCCTTGGCAGGTTGCCAATGTCCAACCGGCTGAGGAAGTCCAGCGTGTTGTGGGACTCACGGCTTGCCACGAAGTGCAGGGGCAGCAGCACTGCGAGCATGAAGGGGCCCAAGATCGACATGATCCGGAGATTGAGCCGCACAAACTCCTGACACGATCTCTGCCGTCTCTGCCGTAGCTCTCTTCTTTCTCCCAACCACGACTCCACGCATTCCTAGAATCTCACATTACATTTTTGAACTCGACGAAGACCTGCCAGGTACTCCCAACCAACAGCTACTTCGGAGGCAAGCTGTCCGAAACCTGAACCACGAAAAAGGGAGGGAGCGAGAGCGCCACTACTTCGTTCAGTACAAAACTTGAAGCTTGCTTGGCACGCAGACAGTAGAGTTGGATGGGTGACAGCCCGGCAGCCTCCGGAAGAAGCGGCGCAAGAGCGCACGGAAAGAAGAAGCAAAGGCAAAAATGAATAAAAACAAACTGTCAAGAGAGAGAGAGAGAGGGATAGACAGGCGCCCAGTCTGGTGAGCAGCTTCGTCACAGGTGGCTCTCTTGCTTAACTTTTCCTCACCTCTAACACTCCCTGAAGCAGCTGTAAACCCCGAATGTCCTGAGCACGGAGGCTTGCTGACTTTATCTTAAGCCTTTAGACTTCATCCCTGTCCAGCAGGGACCAGCCATCCAGTCCCGCCAGCCGAACTTCGTCATCTGGCCTGAACGCACCGCGCACCTACAACAGCCTTACAAGCCTTACTAAACAGGTCCCTAGGGACGACGAAAAGCCTCAGCACCACACGTAACAGTAGTGCCTACCCAGTGCATCTGTCAATTATGAACCATTGTCACAGTCCGTATGTCTAGGAGTCGGCATATCACCCAACTGCTGAGCCGCTTCACGACTGGTGCCTTGCCTTGCTTCTATGCCTGACACCGAACTTCAAGAGAATCACTACTGTACGCCACTATGCTTCAAAGCAGGACCCAACCAAGGATGACGCCGTTTGTCGCTCACTGCAGCATGAGTCGCGTCGTGTTCCACACTTTCCAGAGAAAGTCAAGCCAGCGCATCCCCGAAGGCACCTGAGACATGGGAACAGAGAATCGCAGAGAACAGGGCTCTCAGCCTACGCTGGCACGGGGCCTGCAGGTGATAGTCTTCGGTTGCATCGCCATCGTCCTTCGACTTTCCTGAGCTCATAGGCGCAGAAGCGCAGGGGCCTGTGAAAATGAAAATGCCGTTCTCCCTACCGTCGCAACACTCCAAATCTGAGAGTGCGGCGCTTACAAGCGCGCTGATAAACTTGCGGGAGAAGCACTTGCAGCACCGCAAAAGCCATGATCACTCCTGAACAAACTTGCGCCCTTGTGGGACAGGCGACGACTGTCACAGTTCAGTGTGAACCATGGACCATGTGAGGTACGAGTAGATGCATGTAGACGCATCTACCAAGCCTGCAGCACCGGAAGCGCCGAGAACCAACGAAGTGTTCAGTGTTCGCATGTCACTTTCGCCGTTCAAGGCGACTCCCATCACCTGGTCCAAGTGCAAAGCCATAATACCATTCAACAAAATTTAGAGGGCAGCAAGTGAGATTTGCGCACTCAGTCGAACCCAAAACACTGAAATCTTGGCCCCCCCGAAGCCTTTCTGGGCTCCTCGAAGATGTCTTCTGGCCTCGAGCGCCAAGCTTGCCAACGCCCGGCGCATTGTCTCAACAAAAAGCAAGTTCTGTGGCCAGGTATATCATAGGAACTTAGCGGCGAAAGATGTAAGGTAGACACGCACACGCCACACGCAACTCAAGTCAAGCTCAAACATAGCCTGAAGGTGCTAGGAAGACCGACTGCAACGTTAAACTGTTAGCAGTTAGCTCTACAACACTGCCCTGCGGCACCCCCAACAGGTATCTCCAACAACTAGCCAGCCAGAGTCAGCCAAGAGACTTGGCACGTTCCTCAGCTACACCACACACAGAGCCCTCCCTCACTGCAGCCCCCCTCTCAAGAAAGGCAACTGCTGTCTTGAGTCTTGACTGGGAAGGGGAGACATGATTCAAGTTGCGCAGCCCGAGTTCAAAGTTGGTAGTCATGAAACCTCGGAAGACAAAAAAACTGGAAAAAGATACGATTCCTAGGCTTTTCTCTTAGACGGGGTCTCCAAGGGCACCATGGCCGAGTCAGAGGTGTTGCCGGACGCGTTGGGTAGATCCAGGTACCCTCGCAGCTTGTCATGCCTGTAAGGCGGGTGTCAGATGGACATCGAATCCACAGAAACAAGGTCCAGCAATGTGCAACCCGACCTTGGGGCACTTTTCAGGAAGCTGGAGCTTTTCGCCTGGAAATCTGGATTCTGCCTTGGCCGAGCATTGCAAGGGACAGAGTATGTCGGGAAGCGCACAAGCTGTGGCAGTCTCGCAGCCCCGTGAAGAGGCATTGCCAACATTGCCGACTTATGTGTATGCTTCATCGTCGGTGCTCAGCCACAAGTGGCCATGATGCATCGATATTGCACCAGTGCTGTCTGCTGCAACGACAGAAAATCTCGGGTTTTGAGCAGAAAGTTGTTTGCCGGCTCCCTTGCGCAAACCAGAAACATGAACTTGGCTCAACCTCAGTCTCTAGGGCTAACAGAACTGCAATGCCTTCCAAGCCGCAAGTTCAGAAGCCGTTGTGGGGTGGAATCCCCCTGCGCATGCTTTGTCAAGCCATCAGAAGCAGAGGGTTTAGGATTTTGTTTGTAAGCAAGCAACAGACAGCCCCCTGATCACAACCCTCGAACCCCAAGCCCACCAGCTAATCGAAGCGCCATACAGCGAGTGAGGCGCGAGCATCCTTGTAGAATCTGGACTCTGGTTTGGAGCCATAAGAACGTGGCTAGCATAGTCCAGACACGCTTGCGACCTTCTGACAGCTTTTGAACTGAAGTCTCACCAGACTCTACGAACATCTGTGAAAAGGAAAGTCACACACAGGAATGAACAGCCCCTGGAACGAAGGGTGGCAACGGTGACAAGACTGGCGGGTCGCTCCGCAGATCGCACGCACCCAGTGAGTATGCTCAAACCTCCTCGGAAACACGTTTAAACAGTCTGAGATGTCAATTACCACTTAACAAATTTAACAGCTGCTTCCGGGCCTGCAGCAAGGCCCGATCAGTGGATACCTCTTTCAGGGAAACTGAGGGCCTTCTAGATGTGTGCGAATCAGGGTTTTAGCCGCGAAGGTGGGGAAGGTTTAGCGGACAGTGCAGGTTTCGGGGCTGCAGGTTCACCGTTTGGTGTGGCTCCGCATCGTTGAAGTCAAGTGGTGTGCCGATGGCTAACGGATCCGCCTACATCTACTGATCTATCCCAGGCTTGCCATGGCAGCTGAGACCTCACCTTGCTCGTCCGACCCATACATGCGGCCAAAGCAGCTTTGGCTGCCCAAATACCCTGCACCGACAGTGCCAGTAGCCACAGGCCCATCGCGCCTGCACGCCCCCTTTTGGGGCAGAGCGCCTGGGCGCTACATTAAGAAGTCAGAGCCTTGGAGCACAGCGGGCCGAGCGTGAAACTCACGAGAACACACGAGGCCCTCATCCCCTCCTCCTGCAGATCTTGAGTGCAAGCGTATAACGCAGCAGAGCGCAAGCACTAAGCTGGCCAGGGATGCGCGCTTGTGCCTGGCATGACAGAGGACCGCCAATCAAAAATGTTGATAGCGACGGCTCTTGACTGCGAAAACGGAAAAGGCCCAGGTCCTCGCTGATAATCTTGCAAGCGTGACGTGTCTGGCTTCTTGACGACTACGGGTGCCTCGCTTGAGATGAGCAAAGGCGTACAGTAGCCGCGTAGCTGGGCATGTCCAAAGCTACTGACCTATCCCACTCACGAATCCCTATATGTGCTACAAAGTCAAAGCAGATTGTGGAACGGATGAACCCTTCCCTTCCGACCTTCCCTGTGTAGCCACCAGTGTCCTGGAAGAGTTCACGGCCCAAACATGTTTAAAACATAGTATCATGCTAATATCATAGAACTGTATGTAGCATTTTCATGATGGGCTCCTTCGGATCGAGTCATGTTGTCAGGGGGAGCTTCAGATACGCCCTCACCTGTTCCAATTGTCCTTCTGAACCAAAAGGTTGGAAGCCCAGAGGTGAATCTCGATAAATTGAGCAGCCGCCCTCACACCGCAAGACCCAGCAAGCAGGAACCAGTCTCCTCTGCGGCGGGCATGGCGACTATTCTGCACGGCTGCGGGCTGAGACTAGAACTGTGAGAAGGGAGTGCTGAAGGAGTGCTGAAGGAGTGCTGAAGGAGTGCTGAAGGGTGAAGAAGGGTTGGGGTAGAATGGAAAACCGAGCTTCCGGGCTAAATCTTGCAAAGATCGCCTGAGGCTAATGTGCACGCAAAAGCTGAGCGGCGGCAGCGCTGAAGAGGTGCTCTCAACATCTCTCAACCACGCACTCACTGTTTGTGTTTGCATCCTTGCATCAACTGTGCTTGCACAGTTTGCAGGATGCGTGGGATCCATAGCTGGGTCCATACACATCCACACCTGTGACCTCTGCATATTTCTGAATCCTTCAGAAGTCATCTTGGGAATGCATCAGGCTCGGAACAAGCATCCCTCAGCCCTTTTGCAAGTCCCCGCCGAAAAGCGCTTCGCTGGCGGGCGAGGCGGTTCCGGCCGAGCCTGCGTGGAGGGTTTGGTCAATAACAAGCCGCAAGCCGTCTTTCAATTAAACAGCCTCGGTTTGTGGAAATGTGTGAGAAAACAAGATGGGGCCGCTTCCTACTGAATTGGAGGGAAGTTTGCCATTGCATTGCAAGGGGCTCTGCGAAGGCAAAGACTGAATGAAACGAAGCTTTCGCATAGCCCTGACCTGTGTCCAAAAACGCCGGCAAATGCACTTTTACAGCGATCCGTTCCGCCCTCCTGCCTGCAACGCCCGGCAGCACAGCTCCTGCAAAACCAGACACGGGCACGCAGACTCAGCTAATCTCACTACACATCGCAGCAGAGAACCAGATCCAACATGCCAGCAGACTTGCGAACCACTGAGGCACACATCAGGAGCACGTGCCCTGTCATGCATCGATTTCATAATAAGCGAGCTCCGGTTCCTCCGACAAGACATCCGAATCCTAAATCCCCCCTCAATCCTTGCATCCAAAAAATATGTGGTCTTTCGTTGGATTCCGTGGCTCTCCCCCCGAATCTGCCAAAAGAGGAATCCGAAAGGTGCTAAAGGAGGGGCTCCTGGCTGTGAGCCCATCGAGCCCTGCTTCTGCCGATGCATCTCCTGGCTTTTGTGGGGGAGAAGGCTTTGGGTGTCTCATAGTTTGGGTCTCTTTCTGAGGCTTTGCTGACTTCTCTTGGTTCGATCCCCTCTCTCTTTGTCTTCTCTCTCGTCTTGCTCTGTCCTGCTGCTTCTGCAGGTAGAAGTCCAAGAGGTTGCTGCCGCCCGAGGTCCGGGAACCCCCAGCAGCATCGCCCTCTGCAGCTCTCCTGGGCTTTGAGGGGATCTGCAAGCCTCGTAAGGCAACGCACACGGCGACGAATCACCTCTGCAGCTTTGAAAGTGAGCCTTCACAGCGTTTGGGACTTCCTAGCTCCAGCCAGGGCATTTCTGATTGCCCGAAACTTTGCTGCAACTATTGGGAATGCTGTTGCACATGCAGAAACATCCCCCGAATCTCCCACTAATGCCTCTAGTCGGTTGAGTCGCAGCCTCTGCGGGGGAACATTGGCGACAGGCCGGCTCTTGGCCCGCTGGTACGTGTTCCACTCCTGAACACTGTGTCTATGCCTAAGCTACTGTCAGGAAGGCCTAGGGTGCACGCTAGGGTCCCTGACAGTTTCGCTTTTAGAAGCATGTGCATGGCTTCAGTATGCAGTCATTCCTGAAGGAAGGAGGCAGCGAAGTAGATCCAACCCAGAACTACCCACCATCTGGTCGGCCGTTTGGGAGTCGTCTCCATCTCCCAGATTTCGTCCAGGGAGCGGTTCTTGCCTTGGTGACTGAGGGCCGGGAGAGAAGAAGAAAAAAAATAAAAAAAACAGCTCAAAGCACCTTGGAGATCAAGTCTGCGTGAAAACTTCAAGACCGTCAAGCCGCGACTGGCCAGAAAGGGCAGCAAGGAGGAGAAGATCCCACGCAGAGAGCTGCCTATCCACACGGCAAAGCGCCTTTGGCAGCGATCTGGCTCCAAGGTTATCTAAGCAGCCCGACAAAGGGGACTGGCAGGTGGGGGCGCGTGGAAAGCGAAAAAACCCTGTCCAAGTGGATGCCCCTGAACTGCTCCCTTCTACTTGCCGACACAGATTTGATTACCATTTGTTGAGCCCTATAGCAGCAAGGAACTCTAACAAGTGATCGACGCGCAAGACAACAGACCACAGCTTGGGTCTTACAAGCACCCCCAATGCCCTGAAGATAAAGCAGCGGCCTAAGGGGCTGCTCCTCGTTGGAGCCCATCTCCTGGACCCACCCGTTCCCCATCCTCAGATGCGTCATGGCGCGAACAGGGGGGGGGGGGAAGCACTGATTTTTTGGGACCACCTGAATCCAACCGATACACGCAGCCCAGCATCATCAGAATTAGGGAGAAGCCTTGGATAATGGCGGCGATCTCCATGAAGCATCGCACTGTGGTGCGGAAGTTGAACTGAGGCTGCATGTCTTGTGGTGGCATGCCTGGTTGGCCAGGCATACCTGGCTGTCCCGGGTAGCCTGGCTGCCCGGGCATGCCCATCTGCCCGGGGTACCCAGGCTGTCCGAATTGACCCTGACCCATGTAGCCCCCTCCCATGTAGTTTTGCTGGCCGTACATATTCATGCCAGGCTGGGCCACGTAAGGCTGCTGTCCTGGCGAGAGACTCGAAAGCATGGCACTTCCTCTTGCACCGAATGTGTGCCAGGAAACAGTCGGGTTACAGGTCAAAGCAAGAGCCTGGGAGAACTTGGGCCTGTCCAACAGCAGGCTGACCTGACCAGAGAAAACAAACAATGTCAAAGTACAACTGGCGACCTCCGTGCCGCCGAGACCTGTGCTTGCCGGAGCTGAGGCTGTAGGGGCTGCTGCAGCAGGAACTGCGGAGGCAGCAGGCGCAGCTGCAGCGGGTGTCGCAGCGCCGGGCGCTGATGCAGTGGGCGCGGCTGCCGCAGCATCAGCCATGTTCGATGAACATGAGCTTTGGCATGGTTGAAGACTCATACTGCATTCCTGCAAATTCATGCATGAGTATTGCCGTATTGCTTGCAGCTGATACGCTGCGGAAGCTTCATTGCGGAAGGTGCTTGCTGAACACAGGCAGCATCTCGTCTGCAACGTAGCGGCGGCATGCCTCATGGGAGCAAACTATTGAACATGATTGAATGATGTACGGATGTCGGAATGAGCCGCGGTCTCGTACCCTCACCCCCCCACCCCTCCTGTCACCAAAACTGTTTTCTTTCTGTTGCACTGCCAAAATCACGCTGCTGCCAAACTCCCTCTGCAGACCTGGACTGCATCTGCTACAGGAATCCTCTCCAGACCCATAGAGCCGTGGCTCAGGAATCTCAACCACTTTGCGTGTGATGATCATGAGCTCAACATTCGCAACGGGCGTTTGCGGGTCTCTGAGCAGAGGACTTCCACTGCACGCACCGCCTTTGCAAGGCGCTTCCGGCAAGCTGCCAAGGTGCGCTCCTCGTGCCGCAGCTCGAAGCTCCTCCGCGCCTTATCCACCATCTCCTCTGCATTCTGCTTTCGAAGGGGCTTCATGCGTGCACGTCCCCAGGCTCGCGATGTCCTGCGCTGCACTGTCGCCTGCAGCACAGAAAGCCAAGCCTCACGAAAGTGACTCCAGCCGGCAGCGCGGCCACTCAGCAGCAGACTGCGATGATGGACGGCTTCATCAAGGCATGTACTCGACCTGGAAGAGACCGAGCATCCCACGATGCCAGTTGCATCCACGCATGCGTTGAAGGAGGGTGCCAGGTCATTCAGCTCCAAGCCTGCCTCGTGGCAGGCAGCCACGAGAGCCTGCTTGAGAGGTTGCGTGCTTGATCCGCTTGAGCTTGCGATGCCGATGCCGATCATGCTGGCCAAGTCCCGCGCTCGGCAAAGGACCTTGAGCATCATGCCCGCGCGATGCGGGTTATCGAAGCACCGAGAGGACACATACAAGTAGGGACTCAAGCAGAGCTTGGCGGTCCAACCACCTTTCTTGTGGCTGACGCCCACAAGTCGAGTCTTTCTCTTCTTGGTCTTGGGCATCTGATGCGTCTGTGACGCCGAGTGCCCGCGGTGGCCGCGCCGAGCCTCAGCCTGTCGGTTCTGACCGGCCGGCTGAGTCGGCTGTGCCAGCTGCGCCGGCTTTGCCGGCTTTGCCGGCTGTGCCCGTTCGAGCGCCTGGCACATCTGGCGCTCCATGAAGGCGAGCAGCGCCTGCCGCGCTGTCGGCGGCATGCCCTCCAAAACCTCTCGACGGGCCTCGCGCGGAATCTCCGACACGGCCTGCTGCAGCCGGCAGAGTGCCCGATGCACCCGCGCAGGCTTGGGCCGATTGGGCTTCGGCCGACAAGGTCGGCGCGAGCTCTGACGCCCGAGGCAGCCGCGCCTCGGCATAGAGAGTGAGAAAGAAAGAGAGAGAAATAGAGAGAGAGAGACAGAAAAAAAAAAAAAAAAAAAAAAAAACAGGAAGCGAGAAAGCGAGAGCGACAACGAAATGTCTTCAGGTTTGTGTGTGTGTGTGTGTTCTCCATGGATCCAGGGTGTCGAAACTCGGGTTCAATAGCTCTGTCCCACATGCGCTGTGAGGCCGCAGACCCCATGTTTGAAGCCCGTGACCTCTCAAGGACTGCACAAGCACTCCTCTGAAAAAATGTGCCCTGATGATCATGAGGCACCTGTGCTTTACAAGCGGAAGACCTATGAAATACGAGGTACAGCAGCCTAGAGGTAAGGGATACGATCACATTTGCCAAGCAGCGCCGTGCACCCGGAAAGGTCCAGGGCGGTGATCTCATCCTTAGTTGATCCGTGCTTGGCGCCCGCTCCCCCAGTAAGCCCAGTGATTGAGCTCGGGTCTGTCTTCGGACTGCTCATGCCAGTCATGGCTTTCTGCAAGTTCATCTGCCTGGAGAGCGGCAACCGACCCAGCTTGCCCAAGCGTGTCCGGATGCTCGGCCGACGTAATGCAACAAAAGCCGAATACGTGGCACCGGCCTCCTCTTCTCTCTCTGTCTCTTCTTCTGCTTCTTCTTCCCGGAGTGGCCTCAGCCTGGCACCATGGAGCTTCGATGTCAAAATGGCCCCGTGAAACTTCTCAAAAGCGACATGCGTGCCTTCATGGATGCACCGATCGGGAGGCACGTCTCAAAGAATTCAGACATGGCCGACATGGCCTGCAATTTTGGGCACCGATGTCCGGATTCCGGATTCGAACCCCTTCGCACCCCGTTTGGGCGTTCTTATGCTGTCTTCCAAGCGCTGCCAAGCAAGTCAACGAGCATATTCTATCCGAGGTTGCTGCCGACATGGCGAAGAGCATCGGAGCCTCACACTTGGGGACATCCAACAAGTTTAGAACGCACTTGGAGCTTACGAATCCCACGTCGGTGCTTTGCAACCCAGGCACGAGCCGAGGATTTCCGTGGGGGAGGAACCCCGCAAGCTTTCGAGCCAGAGTGAAGGTCAGCAGCAACAGCCTGCAAAGCACAACCCTGCTGTGTCCAGCTGGTTCAAGGCTGCCTCTCTCGAGATCCCTGTCCGCTCTCAGTGTCTCGACATGATTCTTCGCAGAGCCCAGCACCCAGCTCTAGAGTGAATTCAGCACGTTACCCGTATGCTTGAAAGAGTCTTGAAAGCATACCCGGGTGGCCGGGGGGGGGGGAGTTTCGGGTCTACAGCTTATTACGCACCTATCCCTGTCTATCCCCGTCGATCCATCTTGCTTTTTCAGTGAAGGACCTGGAATGTTGCAGGGTGGCTCAGCTGTACAGGGCCGGAAAACTGCAGAGGAATTCCACTGTCCGCAAGTACACGAGACCTTCGCGGCCTTAACACTCACAAGGCTCACGGATGATGCAAGGGTATCCAACACATGTCATGAGACTTCAAATCTCTCACTTTGTGAGGTCAGCTCCTACTCAGCCGAGTCGTGTGGTAGCCGGAAGAACTTTGGGCTTGCTCTCCAATGCCTCTGTCCTAATTTGTCTTTTTTTGTATTTCCAGACTACTCCTTGCACACGGCGTCAGCGCCACAAAGGGATCTCGTCTTCGCGAGAAGTTCTTAACTGCAGCATCTTGTCGCGGCGCCTTACAACAAAATGCCACAACATGTAACCGCAACGCACAGAAACATGACAAGCAGAGGATCTTCGAATCCGAGCCGAGATGGGGACTCAGTCGCGAGGCCCATTTCAGCGTTTCAGCGCGGCGCAGGCCTGCAAGCGGTCGCAAGCGGTCGCAAGCGGGTGCAAGCGGCTGCAAGCGTTCAGAGGCAGCTCGCGCCCATCTTTTGTCCTCCCCAAACACGCCTGCCTATTCCCGTCCGAGGATCCTGTTGGTGTAGTGGCCCAGAGGCTGTCATCTTGGAAGACTGATGCCAAGCGCTTGCCCACGGTCTGCCACTGCTCGACAACTACAGGCGACCCACTCCACACTGCGCTTGTTGGGTTTGTTGGGCTTGTTGGGCTACTTGGGCTACAAGGAGCCATAGGAGTAGCCACAGGGCTCCACGGACTTGCCATGGAACCCCAAGGAGCACACGGAGGGCTCAGAGGGCTCAGAGGGCTCATAAGGGCAAGGACAGGCTGGGCTGGGCTGGCACCCGGCGTGGCCTCCTGGAAGATGTTGGCCAGGCTGCGCCCTACAGTCTGCCACTGGTCTAAATGGATTGGCGAAGCCCCGCAAAAGCTCGGTGAGCTTGCCGAATAAGGAAAGACATCTGCTGGAGAGCCAGGCTCATCATTCTGGGAATGTGCCAGGAAATGTCGGGAGAAGGGAGTTAGAGGGATGGAATCTGCCAAGGGCGCCGTCTTCGCTCTTTCAAGTCGAACACGAGGCTCGGGGAAGAAGGGCGAGATCGGGTAGGCGGTGGAGATTGCAGATGGGCCAGTGTAGCAAGCACCTAGAACTGCCATCCCGGCTGCGAGCGTTTTGTGGCTCTCTGGGTTCCTTAAGCCAAAGCTGTCGAAGTTTACATGCTTTTCTGCCAAGTCTCGATCAGGCCGCTGAACTGGATTCGGGAGATTGCTGCTGCCTCTGCTGGGGTCCACACACACAGTGTACTTTGCCTAGCTGCCATGGTGCACCCCTTTTCGCCACGGTTCTTCGCATCAGGTAGGTTACACAGCCCATTGGCCTCGTTCCTGTGACGTAGCCCTGGCAGTACTCATTGGCACTGCCGCACCACCAGCTTGCGACAGATGGCTTCTGCGAGATCCATCACAGGCACAGAATTGCGAATTATTGGTGCTGCCTCACATCAGCCAGCTAGCTGCAAGGACCAGAGCTGGTGCTCCGCGACGAACCACTGCCGCCGAGGTCTGTCAGGGCTGACTCATGAGACGCACTCACACGTCATAGCGCACCGTGCGATGCGGGCACAGTCGGAAACAGCAACAAACAAGGCCAAACAGTCCCAAGTGCCGAGGCGGGTGTCATTGTGGTCGTGGTCGTGGTTGTAGTCGTGGCATTGGGATCGGTTGTTGTCGTTGTGCTGGTGGCATTTGCCTCAGCGCGAGGCTGGAACAAACAAAAACATCAGCGTTTCAGTTGTTGAAAGTTGGTGAAAAGTTGGCTGCCTGTCCTCGCCTTGAGACAGTCCTTTATACGGACCTGTGAGCAAGACTCCTGAGAAAGAGTCAGCAACAAGACGTTTATGACATGCTAGCCACGTCCAGGCTGACCATCACCTCCGCGGCAGCCCACCTCACTCCAGGTAGAGATAGTCTGGGGGAAGGAGCGTTTGGGACCGCACGAAACCTGGGGTTTGGGACGCAAAGGACGGAAGATGATGAAAGCTTGCCCAGGAATCGACACTGCAGCCTCCTAGGACGCGAAGCGCCAAGGCCCAAGTCCTCAAAAGAAAAATGACCAGACAGTCACGTTATGCCCCGTGGCATCTCATCGATGTCTCCGCCGGCACCGCAAAGCGCCCGGAAAGTCACCTCATTCGCCGAGATAAAGCAAACAGACACCGCGACCTTCCAGAAAGCTTCAATCTGCTTGGACTTCAAAGGAAAGCTGGAGCCACATATCCCACCAAACAAGTCCAGGCCACGTCCCCCGATGTTGGGGCCGTCCAATCGTGAACCAGAGACGTGGATTTTCCCTCCAGGCTTCAAGGAATGCAGTTGCAAAATGCTACCAGGCTTTGTTGTGGAGTGGGAGAAGATTCAGGGCTTGGGGCTGTAGAGAGTGTAGGCAAATTTTCCCGGGCTCAGCCCAATACTCTTTTCTGTAGCTTCGGGCCTCTTACTTATAAGAGCTGTGCACGGAGCAGAGTCCCTCCTAAGGGTTTTCAGACGATCGTGCTACAAGGTGAAGGGCAGGGCAGAAGGGAGGGTCTGGGAGCTGTGCCAGCGCGTCAGCAGAAGGGGGGTGCACAGTGCCGTCTGTCTGTACTTCAACCACTCCCACTGCCGAGGGCGGCGCGAAGGACAAACTCACAAACCAAAAAGATGCAACATGCACGAAGCCGCTCAATGGCAGGTGGGAGCCCAACATCGCACACAGGAGTCTCGGCCAGAAAGTTTTGTCAACACAATCAACACTCAACACTTCCCAAGAACTCCTAGACGTGCGAAGGCCCCCACCGTGCTGTCGGACACCATGCCGCTGGCGAATGTCCCACCGTTGGACACCAGCTTCTGTCCTGAGCTGAAGAGTCGCCAATTGGTGCAAAGCTTGTCTTTCCACCTGAATTCAGTGCAGCTGATGGCAGGGAGGTGATCACCCGAACTTGCCCACCTTCCCTGAACAAGCCCCAATTCTCCAAGCTGCCCAGCGCGGTAACCGAAGTCACTGTGATCGCGTACCTTTTTTGGGACCGACAGCACGAAAGAGAGCGTCACAGAAAATGAACGCTACCCCCGCCACTGTCCTGCACGGACAACGCAAAACGATTCCACAATTGGACATGGCGCGACCCTCCAGCCATGTAGCCGCCACTCGGAACGTTGGTGGCGATCATGCAGGTGTCACCCGTCGTGTTTCCTGTTCAACAGGACTGCCGTGCCTATGTCCCATGTATCGAAGGATTGCCGAAAGCACCCGAACCCTATGACCATGCCCGTTGGGCAAAGGACATTGCGTTGACCCACGTTGCTGGCCCGTCCAGGTCAGTAGAGCAAGAAAGCAAGAACACGAGCGAACTCGTTGTCTTGGACTCACTCCCGAAGCCTTTGAGAAAGCCCCTTCAAGCGGTCAGCAACTTTCTCACAAAGCTCCAGAACCATGTGAGCACGAAGCACCCTGGTCCCGTACCAGTTCTTGCGCCTATGGTTGCGATGCCCATGGGTCCGAAGCTGCTGCCAGCCGTGTATTGGGCCATGCACGCAAAGTCACAAGTCATTGAGGAGGGATACGCAGCTGCCTGGAAAGCGACCGCTCGCAGCTCCAGGGTCGACAGTAAAAGTCTAAGAGTCTCGTCGGGGCACTCCAGCTACCAGCTCGGGATTGCTGAATGTTACAGGCTGCAGCTTGCTGGGTGACTTTCTGACAAAGAAGTGGGCTCACTTGGGACCTACCTAGAAAGTGGCAGCATGTGAGACTGTGTGCCATGCGCCTGGGTCAGAAGGCAAACCAACCCTCCAAGCTGCGACAAAGCCATGGCAGCAGACACCTGTGGCGGGGATGCAAGGCACAAAAGGCTCGGATTGTTAGCTTGCTCCATGGCTGTCATCCGCCTTAGTGATCCATCTAAACTTGTTCTAGTCTCTCAACTTGAGCGCAGCTTTTGCGGCCCAAGCTCGAATACCTACACAGCCCCTGACACCTTTGCAAGATCTGTCTCGCCCAGTGCACGGGACTGCGATCTGCAAACCCGTCGCCACATTCAAAATGTCAAAAGACTGTGCTCAACGGTTCTATGTGCTTGTCACGTGCGTACACGACGTGGTGTACACATGTGTACAGCAACCACTGCCTCAAAGTCTGCGCGCGGGTAGTCTTAGTAAGCCCAATCCACGCAAGAACAACCAAGCCTGTGTTTGTTGAAGCACGTTCAAGCTTTACAGCAGCCGCCAGCGCTGGTCCGAGCAAGGCAGCTGCAGAGGGAGCTACGTGTGCCGTGGCATGTCTCTGTAACGCACGGTGCTTGTCAATTGTAACCAAAACCTGTCACGGTGTTCGCTGCCCTTCCTGCAATTGGGAAGGATGTCAGCCCACAACAATCAAACACACACACACACACACACACACACACACACACACCTTCCTTTTCGTCACGGTTCTTCGCATCAGGCACGTTACACAGCCCATTGGCCTCGTTCCTGTGACGTAGCGCTGGCAGTACTCATTGGCACTGCCGCACCACCAGCTTGCGACAGATGGCTTCTGCGAGATCCATCACAGGCACAGAATTGCGAATTACTGGTGCTGCCTCACATCAGCCAGCTAGCTGCAAGGACCAGAGCTGGTGCTCCGCGACGAACCACTGCCGCCGAGGTCTGTCAGGGCTGACTCATGAGACGCACTCACACGTCATAGCGCACCGTGCGATGCGGGCACAGTCGGAAACAGCAACAAACAAGGCCAAACAGTCCCAAGTGCCGAGGCGGCTGTCGTTGTGGTCGTTGTGCTGGTGGCATTTGCCTCAGCGCGAGGCTGGAACAAACAAAAACATCGGCGGTTCAGTTGTTGAAAGTTGGTGAAAAGTTGGCTGCCTGTCCTCGCCTTGAGACAGTCCTATATACGGACCTGTGAGCAAGACTCCTGAGAAAGAGTCAGCAACAAGACGTTTATGACATGCTAGCCACGTCCAGGCTGACCATCACCTCCGCGGCAGCCCACCTCACTCCAGGTAGAGATAGTCTGGGGGAAGGAGCGTTTGGGACCGCACGAAACCTGGGGTTTGGGACGCAAAGGACGGAAGATGATGAAAGCTTGCCCAGGAATCGACACTGCAGCCTCCTAGGACGCGAAGCGCCAAGGCCCAAGTCCTCAAAAGAAAAATGACCAGACAGTCACGTTATGCCCCGTGGCATCTCATCGATGTCTCCGCCGGCACCGCAAAGCGCCCGGAAAGTCACCTCATTCGCCGAGATAAAGCAAACAGACACCGCGACCTTCCAGAAAGCTTCAATCTGCTTGGACTTCAAAGGAAAGCTGGAGCCACATATCCCACCAAACAAGTCCAGGCCACGTCCCCCGATGTTGGGGCCGTCCAATCGTGAACCAGAGACGTGGATTTTCCCTCCAGGCTTCAAGGAATGCAGTTGCAAAATGCTACCAGGCTTTGTTGTGGAGTGGGAGAAGATTCAGGGCTTGGGGCTGTAGAGAGTGTAGGCAAATTTTCCCGGGCTCAGCCCAATACTCTTTTCTGCAGCTTTGGGCTTTTTACTTAAAAGCTTTGCACGGAGCAGAGTCCCTCCTAAGGGTTTTTAGACGATCGTGCTACAAGGTGAAGGGCAGGGCAGAAGGGAGGGTCTGGGAGCTGTGCCAGCGCGTCAGCAAAAGGGGGTGCACAGTGCCGTCTGTCTGTACTTCAACCACTCCCACTGCCGAGGGCGGCGCGAAGGACAAACTCACAAACCAAAAAGATGCAACATGCACGAAGCCGCCCAATGGCAGGTGGGAGCCCAACATCGCACGCAGGAGTCTCGGCCAGAAAGTATTGTCAACACAAAACACTTCCCAAGAACTCCTAGACGTGCGAAGGCCCCCACCGTGCTGTCGGACACCATGCCGCTGCCGAACGTCCCACCGTTGGACACCAGCTTCTGTCCTGAGCTGAAGATTCGCCAATTGGTGCAAAGCTTGTCTTTCCACACTGAATTCAGTGCAGCTACTGGGAGGTGATCACCCGAACTTGCCCACCTTCCCTGAACAAGCCCCAATTCTCCAAGCTGCCCAGCGCTGTAACCGAAGTTATTGTGATCGCGTACCTTTTTTGAGACCGACAGCACGAAAGAGAGAGTTCCACAGAAAATGAAAGCTACCCCCGCCACTGTCCTGCCATCTTCCCGAGGAGCTCAAGCAAAAGAGGTCTCGCGTGGCACCGGACACGTAAATAACGATCCACAATGGACATGGCGCGACCTCCAGCCATGTAGCCGCCGCTCGGAACGTTGGTGCGACATGAAACGGTGTCACACCGTCCGTGTTTTCCTGTTCAACAGGACTGCGTGGCCTTAATTGTCCTATGTATCGACGGCTTGCGAAAGCAACCCGAACCCTATGACCATGCCGTTGGGCAAAGGAAATTGCGTGGACCCACTGCTGGCCCGTCCAGCGTCAGTAGAGCAAGAAAGCAAGACACGAGGAGATGTTCGTTGTCTTGGACTAAGCCGTCACCGACGAGGCCTTGACCGAAAGCCCCGATCAACCACGGTGGTCAGCAATACTAGTCTCACAATAGAGCTCCAGCAAACCACAAGTGATGCATCGAAGCAACCAACTGGTCCCGCGTACTCTTGTCTGGCGGAGAACTCGCTCAACGGGTGCGACTGACTATGGCGTCGAAGCGGCATGCATCTAGTAGCGTGGGGTATTGGGCCATGCACGCAAAAATGAAAAGTCATTGAACACCGGAGCGGACTTTACGCAGTCTGGCCAGTGGAACGCCGACCGCTCGCAAGCCCTCCAGGTGTTCGACTAAACGTCTAAGAGTCCCTCAGGTCTGGCGCCACTCAGCTAACAGCTCGGGTGTTGAATTCGTTGGCATAGTTTCAGGATGCCAGCGTTGCTGGGTGACTTTCTGACAAACGACAAGTGGGACTGACTTGGGACATACATAGAAATGGCAGCATGTGAGGTGAGACTGTGTGCCATGCGCCTGGTTCAGAAGGCAAACCAACCCTCCCGCTGCGGACAAAGCCATGGCAGCAGGACACCTGTGGCGGGGATGCAAGGCAAACAAAAGGCTCGGCTTGTTAGCTTGCCCATGGCTGTTCATCGCCTTAGGGATCCATATAAACTTGTTTCTCGTCTCTCAACTTGAGCGCACTTTTGCGGCCCAAGCTCGAATCCCTACACAGCCCCTGACACCTTTGCAAGATTTGTCTCGCCCAGTGCACGGGACTGCGATCTGCATAACCCGTCCGCCAATCAAAATGTCAAAAGACTGTGCTCAAACTGTTTGTTGCTTGTCACGTGCGTTACAGACGTGGTGACACATGTGTAACACAACCACTGCCTCAAGTCTGCGCGCGGGTAGTCTAGTAAAGCCCAATCCACGCAAGAACAACCAAAGCCTGATGTTTGTTGAAGCACGTTCAAGCGTTTTACAGCAGCACCAGGCTGGTCCGAGCAAGGCAGCTGCAGAGGGAGCTATGTGTGCCGGGGCAGTCTCTGTACGCACGGTGCTTGTCAATTGTAACCAAACCTGTCACGGTGTTCGCTGCCCTTCCTGCAATGGGAAAGGATGTCAGACCACAACAATCAAACACCACACACAACACAAACACACACACACACACACTACACACAAACCACACAAACACACACACACACACACACACACACACACACCACACACACACACAACACACACACACCACACACACCCACACACCACAAACACACACGCCACACCCACAAGCACACCCACACCACACCCACACGCACGGCACACGCCCGCACACGCCACGCACACGAACAGCACACACCCCACACACACACACACAAACACACACACACAGAGACACACACACACACAAACACACACACACACACACACCCACGCGCGCACGCGCGTGCCGGGCGGGCGGACGGTTTTACTTTGCTCGCTGCCATGTGTGCACCCCTTTTCCACGGTTCTTCGCATCAGGCCACTGTTACACAGCCCATGGCTCGTTACTGAGACGTAGCGCTGGCAGTACTCATTGGCAATGCCGCACCCACCAGCTTGCAAACAGATGGCTTCTGCGAGATCCGTCACAAGCCCGAATTGCGAATTACTGGTGCTGCCTCAACATTCAGCAGCTAGCTGCTAAGGGACCAGAGCTGGTTGCTCCGCGACGAACCACCGCCGACGACGTCTGCAAGGGCTGACTCATGAGACGCACTCACACGTCCACAGCGTGTGTGCGCACGAGCACCGTCAGAAAAACAGGCAACAAACAAGGCCAAACATCCCAAGTGCCGAGGCGGGTGTCATTGTGGTCTGGGCGTGGGGTGTAGTCGTGCATTGGGATCGATTGTTGTCGTTGTGCTGGTGGCATTTGCCTCAGCGCGAGGCTGGAACAAAAAAAAAACATCAGCGGTTCGTAGTTGTTGAAAGTTGGTGAAAAGATTTGGCGCTGTCCTCCCTTGAGACACTATATACGGACCTGTGAGCAATCGACCTCCTGAGAAAGAGTCAGAAAACAAAAGTTTATGACATGCTAAGCCACGTCCAGGCTGACCATAACCTCCGCGGCAGCCCACCTCACCTCCAGGTAAGATAGTCTGGGGGAAGGAGCGTTTGGACCGAACGAAAACCTGGGGTTTGGGACGCAACGGACGGAAGATGATGGAAAGCTTGCCCAGGAACGGACACTGCAGGCCTCCTGGAGCGAAGCGCCCAAGGCCCAAGTCCTCAAAAGAAAAATGACCAGACAGTCACGTTATGCCCCGGGGCATCTCATCGATTCTCCGGCGGCAACGCAAAGCGCCCCGGAAAGTCACTCA